GCTTGAATTTTTCGTCTCAGGTGAAATTTATCAAATTTTCTTATAAAGTTTCAAAAATACATGTAAACTCGCAGTAGCGAAAGATGTGTCAGGATATATACGTTGAATTATTAAAGAATTAAATGGGCTTTTAAAACTGAAACATTGTAATTAAAATATGCAATATATTGATTATCCGTATGTAGAACATTTGCTTTTAATATTATCATCATAGTATCATAGTATCATATCATAGTCCAATTCTCTTTAGTCTATTGATGGCGGATTTGGAGGAGAAAATGAGCGAAAGAGGGAAGGGAGGGGTGGTTTTGGGAAAGGGGAGAATTTATTCGATGGCGTACGCCGACGACATAGTGTTGTTGGCAGAGTGTGAAAGTGGAATGAGATTGTTGATGAGAGAGTTCGAAAAGTATGTAAGGGGAAAGGATCTGTGGGTGAATGTAGAGAAAACAAAGGTTATGAGATTTAGGAATAGGAAGAGTGGAGAGGTTGAGGTTTGGAAGTTGAATGGAAAGAATGTAGAGGAAGTGGATGAATTTTGTTATTTGGGTTTTTGGTTTAAATCGAATGGAAGTTTAGAGCTGCATGTGAGTAGAAGACTGGAAAAAGCGGGCAAGATTTTGGGTCAAGTGTGGGGGATTGGGAAAAGAAGGTTTAAGAATGATTGGAGAAAGAGAGTATGGTTGTTTGATGTGTTAGTATGGTCGGTAATATGTTATGGGGTAGAAATATGGGGGTGGAAAGAAAGAAAGAAAGTGGAGAGTATGAGTGAGAGGTATCTGAGATGGACAATGGGGGTAAGCAGAAGTTGTCCGGGGTATATGCTCAGGGAAGAATTAGGTAGGGAAAAAATGTTGGTAAGACAGAGGAGGAGGGCGTGGGGATTGGAAGAGAAATTAAAGCAGGGCAGGGGAAATCAGTGGACTCAACGGTGCAGGGAGCTTATTGTAATAAGGGAGGAAAGGGGGGCGAAAGAGATGTCGAAATGGGAGGTTGAAAGAAAAGGGGTAATGAAGGAGGCGAGTAGAGAAGGAAAAGGATGGTATGAAATGGAAGAGGGATGGAAGGGAAAAGATTGGGAAGATAGGTGGGAAAAGATAGGTAAGTCAAGGTACAATAAGTGGTACGGAATGGTGAAGGGGGTGGGGGTGCCAAAATATCTAACCAGCGGAAGAAGGGGGACAAAGTGGAGTAGGGTAATAAGATATAGGATGGGGGAGGGAGTGAGAGAATGCAGATACTGGATGGGGAATGAAGAGAAAATGTGTAGGGTATGTGGATATGAGGTGGAAGATTGGGGTCATGTGTTGGAGAGGTGTGGAAGAGGCGTGAATGATTGGGGGGAAGAATGGGGGACTGGGCAGATAATAAAATGGATTTTGGATGAAAGTGGACAGGGGGTGAGATGGATGAAAGAACTGGATGAGAAAAGAGAAATGTATGTGGTTTAAAGAGGGGAATAAATGGGGTGGGTTTCGTATAGCTCGATTTTTAATTAAAACGATAAAGCCACAATGGGCACAATAAAAACAGGAAACGGAAGCCCAGGCACTGGAGAGAGAGAGAGAAAATTTTTGCGTTTTTGTTTTTGCGTTCTTGAATAGTTTGTAAGGTTTTGTATTATAGTTTAAGCGTTAATGTATTTAGCTATAAGAACAATGTATATGGATCCTCGAACCCTGATATTGCAGGGAGAGTAAATAAATATATATAATATTATCATACCATCTATATAGTACATATAATAAAAGCAAATAAATTATATATAACAGAACAAGAATATAATTAAATTTTCAACGCCAATCAATTCTTCTTTTTCTGATTTTAGAACTGAAAATTATATTTACAGAGATTTAAAATGTGATGTTTAATTAAATCAAACTTTTGGAATTCAAAATTATTATCAGATTTAAAACATGATGTTTAATTACATGAAACTTATTTTACTTAATGTGTGCATTCCCAACGATATTGTATTTTTAATTAAAGTACAAAAACGATTTGACGTAATGTAATTATATTCTTAAATGGGAAATTGTAAAATTTTTATATTATTATAATTTTAATGGTTTTTTGTAATCTGCTTATCAATAGTGATTTTTAAATTGAATTTTTTTCCCTTTTGAAGAAATTAAAATTATAATTATCTTATGGATATTTTTAGTTATTTCATGGAGAATATTCATAAATTGCAATTAGATATTTGCAAAAAGAATTTTAAAGTCTATCAAATGCATAATTAAGAGGGAGATAATTTTTTGTTGTCGATTTCCTCTCATTGGGCAGAAATTTATGTCTCGAATTCCAATCGCTATATACAGATTTTCTTCAATTTTTCTTTGAAACAAGAAAAATGTTGATTCAATTTACAAAAGTGGAATTATTTCTATAAATTGGTTAGAAGGGATTTTTGAAAAAGAAAATCCGTATTACCATCTAAAATATATATTTTTGTAACTTTATATGTAAATAACATATTTTTACATATATTTTTTATACCGTTCTTCTTTATAATCCTATCGCTTTACAACTTTCATTGATTAAAAACGAAAAATCTTATAAATTGTTTACAAATAAATGTCTTTCTCTATGTACATATTAAAATTTCTCTCAATAATATATATAAGAACCTGAGTTTTCTTTTCTGCGTAGAAAAATTTATGGTTCTACATTTTATAGGAGAAATTATTTTATAAATTCTTAAATTAAAAATAACATCGTCAATAAAAATTTGGAAATATAATTCTAAATTATTTTTGATATAATTTTTTTAAAAATAATTTTCGACTCTATATTTTATAATGAGTCTAAATCTATTATATATAATTTTCGTGATAATAAGCATTATTCGCTTTTTTTTCCTCTGCAACTTTGTTAATTAAATAACTTTGTCAAGCCATAAAATATAGCAATTTCTCAAGCTGCGAACATTTATGTGAACTACCTAAACGTTATTAAAGTTAAGTGGCCTATTAAGTTGTTCATATTCATATGTAGAGTCTTTTCACAAGTGCTGGTTAAAAATATGCACAAAGGATATAATACAACAGCGATTTAACTCGTGTCAATTAAGAGAGAGGGTCTTTCACATTAGGGCATCTTGAGAATTATTATTTAAATGACAAATATTTTTTTCAATCAGTTTTCTTTGTAAAATCGTTTCTTTTTTTCTTTTTTAAAATTTTAATTGTAAAAAAAATTTTTTATTAAAAAATTTTAACTTTTTCTAAAGAATTTTATATTTAAATGAGAAATATTTTTTCAATCAGCTTTCTTTGGGAAATCATTTCTTTTTTTTTTCATCTTAATTGAAAAATTGAAGAAAAATTTAATTTTCGGGAAAGTTTGAGATTTTTTTTTATTATTTTCTCTATTTATCAATTTGAGCTTCAGATACTACATAGTTTTGTTTATTTAAAAATTTATTTTGAGTATATTTTTATATAGGTATTTACAATATTTATCTGTATATAAATTTTTAATTGCAGTTGAAGTTAAAATTTTTTTCTGTAAAGAAGACATTTTTTTTCAAGAATAAGATGCTTTTTGGTCACTTTTATAATCTTAAATTTTATTACAACCCTGTTTTGTTAACACAGTCTAAGTGAATATTGTTTGAAAATAAGAATCTTTATACGTAATTAGAAAGTAAAAATTTAATATTGATTGACTGGTAAAAATATACAATTATTCTTCATTGAGAAAATTTTTATAAAGTCAATAGTTTTTTTTTTAATGAATAAAATCCAAATTTTTGTAAAAAAGAAAGTTTTTTTAAAATCGTAAATAATTATCAAATTATTCTTATAAAAATTTCCTGCTAACTCGTCATTAATATTGTTCAATTTAAGTACACTTGTTACTTTTTACGCAAAAAATAAAAAGTCGCGTATGATAATTGAAGTGTATATCAGAACTTTAGTTCTCTACTTCTATATATTTATAAATCTAATTTTTTCTTCTATTTTTAAATCACTTTTTTTAAAGTTCTAACTTTGTTTCATTCTTTTATGGTAATTTTTCTATTTTTTACTTTTTCATTTTTATTTTCATTTTATATTTTATTTTATATATTTATTTTATATTTTATTTTATATTTTCTTTTATATATTTATTTCATATTTTATTTTATATTTTCTTTTTAAATTTCATTTTATATTTCATTTTATGACATTTTTAATTTATTTCATATTGCATCTTATTTTAATATAGTCTCTACTTTTTATTTATATTTCACTATTATTTAAATTTTTTTTCTACTTTTTTAGTTTTCTAAACATTTTCTAAACAACTTTTTCTCAAAAGTATATTTTTATTTATTTAAATAATTTTCTATTTTATATATTTGACAACCTTTTACGAAAGTGTAGAGTTGTTAGATTTTTTTTTTTTTAGTAACAAAGTGACTAAAATTATTTTTGAATACTTTTTCTCTTTACATAAATAAATATTTCCAACTGTAATTTTAAATGTTAAACTTTTAAACTCTATTTAACATTTTATTTTTATACATTTTTTTTGTATACAACTTGAAAACTAATTTTATATTTATAGACATTCCATATCAAAGCGAAAGTTCAACTGTAGATTTTTAATTAAATTTTTATTTGATTCTAAATTGCTTCCTCATAGAGGGAGTATTTTTGCTTTTACGAACAAAAAAATATATACTTTTTTCTGTTACTTGTGTATATTTTCAAAAAGAATTGTTTTGAATTAAAATAATTTATGGAAATTAAGTGTAAATTTGAAAATGATTAAGATTCATTATTGTAATTACAAAAAAAAAAAAGATTAATATTATTAAAACTGAAGATAATTAAGATTAATTATAAAAATAGAAAATAATTGAGATTAATTATTAAAATAGAAAATAATTGAGATTAATTATTAAAATAGAAAATAATTAAGATTAATTATTAAAATAGAAAATAATTAAGATTCATTATTAAAATAGAAAATAATTATGAATAATTATTAAAATAGAAAATAATTGCGATTAATGATTAAAATTGAAAATAATTACGATTAATTATTAAAATTGAAAAAGATTAAGATTAACTTTGTTAATATTTATCTGTTAAATTTTAAATAATTACTAGCTTCTATAAATTGATAAAAATGGAAGACATGATCTTTGGCTTTCATATGATACATACTAGATCAACTATTTCACAATTAACTATAATTTTTGGATGGAAATATATTCACTTTTATCTACTCTATATCTGAGGATAATTTTTAAATATTCTAAAAAGCTATTCAATCCCAATAAAGGGAATTTTTCTTTATGATTCTTAGTTAAATCATATGAAATAAGTAAAATTTGCCTCATATTTGACAATTTGACAATTTAACATTTTGCCATTTTTTAACTGCCAGTTCGTTTCGATTTGCTTTCGAAAAAATCGTGTTCGATTTTTGATCTTATCGAGTCTTTAACAGAATTATTTATGTGCACCCTTATCGTGACAGACGATATGCACTAGCCTTAAATTTTTTATCGTGAAAAGATTGTCGTAAATTTCTACAACGTCCTCCTGACTCAACTGTTCCTCTTGAGATAATTGCAGTAATTGTGGAATTAAAGTTCTCGATCTCTCGATTCTGAAATATTTTCATTTTTTGTTAATATAAAGTAAAGAAGGGATTAAATTCAAGAATTAATTAATAGTTGAAGAATAATTAAATGTTAGGATTAAATAATTGAATAAGGATTAAATAATTATTGAATAAGGATTAAATAATATTTAAATAGGGATTAAATTGATAATAAATCGATTTATAAAATATATTTTACCTGTGATCGAGATTCCATGTTGAGAAAAGAATGAGTTCTTCTTTAGATCGATAAGGATTGATTTTGTGCTTTCCATCATATGTACATTTATCCTTATTCCATACTCCATCACATTTAAATTCTCCTTTATGATCGCAGAGAGTAATCAATTTTCTTTCTTTACCAGGAGTCACTTTATAGAACGATTGGATTTCATCGTCGTCTTCTTCTTCGGTTTGCTGCATTCTTCTCGCATCTATTTGATCTGATTCTAATTCAAAGAGGCTTAAATAATCAAAGTTTCTCAATTTGCACGGACAGTGTTCGTAACATTGAAAACCACTATCAACTTCTTCTCTCGAAGCATTTCCATTATTATCATTGTCATTATTGGTTTTGTTTTTAATTTCATTTGATTCACTCGTGGAAATTTTGCTTCTATCAAAATAATGACCATAATAATGATCTTCTTTAAGTTGTAATCGAAAAAATGCAATTGCTCGTAATAAATGCTTTCTCGCTCGTCGATCGGTTGTAAAAATATTTGACGATTTTATTTGTTCCACTGCTTTTGTTAAGTACCCTCGTATTCTGTCTTGACATCTTCTGTGCATGAAAGCCTCCTTCAGTAAAAAAAATATTACAACAATTATTAATAATAATAATAATAATTAAATTGTATTGTAATATTTAATATTGTATTCTTACTTTACACGTGTAAGTTGTGTCGAGTCCTCGAAACCAATCTCCATGATCAATTCGCGAACTAAAATGAGTCTTTGAATCGTCGCTATTTAAAATACTATTTAAAATAGAAATCTTTGCTTTAAGATTTTCTGACAGGAACTTTGAAATTTCATCACCGGCCATTAAATAATCAATGTTCACTCTCTTTAGTGTCTCGTAGAGTAAATCAGCGTCTGAAAATAATTTTATATTCGTAATTATATATATGTTTTATTCGTATTTCTCACAATGTAATTTTTCGAATTTTAATTCTTCAAACCTGTCATTATTTTTTCCCCCGGTCTCTGAATAATCAATGTCGTCTGCGCTTTTAATGTTGAAAAATATTCCTCGTCTATTTCCGATCCATCCAAAAGAAAAACGCTGATTTCTTCCAATTTCCCGGTAATCTGATTGAGAAATCCAGTTATAATTTTTTGTTCCACTATTCGAATTTTCAACAAGTAAAAATTTTTAATTATGTACATAATTAATTTTACTTTATTGAAAGCTGGCTGGCTTAATATTTAATAATATATTGAGAAATGAAAGGAAATTATTTTCAATTTATAAATGAATATGTATTGTAATTATTAATTATTAATTAGTAATTAATAATTAAAATTTATTCGTTGCTAATTGATAATGAGAATAAGAATAGTAATAATAAAATAATATTAATATTCATTTACAGTTATTATTTTCTATTCACAAAGTTTTTATTCATTTGTTTACTATTTTTTTTTCTTTTTGTTTAAAATTGGTTTTTAATTTGAATATTTGAAATTTTTGGTAAATTGGAATTTTTTTAATAGACTTTTTTACAATTCGGTTATCTCAGTTTGTGAGTAAAAGTTATTAATAACTTAATGAAAGAGAAAATTGAATGTAAAGAACGATGTTATTGAAATGTGGCTTTGACCTCACGAGATCCTGTGACCGTGACATTGAAAAAGAAATGCCAATGTCCCTGGCCTCGCACGCGGCAAAGCAACCCAGCCAGCGTTCAATAAAGCTAGCTGAAGGCCAAAATAATCCTGCTCCAAGGTCAGATTCAGCGTGCGAATGTCACTTTTAAATGAGATTCAAGTCAATTTTCCCTCCAGTGAACACTATCACTAAAAATAACTTTCATCATAAAAAAAAAGTATAATATATCGTAGAAATAGAAAATATATAACAAAATAAAAAAATACGTAACAAAGTAAAAAAAAATACGTAACAAAATAAGAAAATACATGACAAAATAAAGAAATACGTAACAAAATAAAAAAATACGTAACAAAATAGAAAAATACGTAACAAAATAAAAAAAACGTAAAAAAATAAAAAAATAATAATAAAAGAAAAACGAAACATAAATTAAGAAATGAATTCATAATAACAAATCGAAAATTAAAATTACATAATGGAAGTAGGTAAAAAACTTTTTTTTTTATTTACTTGCGAAAAAGAAGCTTTTTAGAATATTAGAGTTAAATTGAGAAACTAAAAGAAAAAAAACGATGTTAGCTTACTTTTAATTTACAGCAAGCCTTTTCTTTGAGCTCCTCAAAAGTCCGACAGGCAACTCCAACTTTTCTTGTGCGACTGGCGTTTGTTACCTTATATCCCATTACCTGTAAAGAAATTTTAAACAGTTTTGATTCATCATTTAAATGAGATGAAAACTTAAAATTATTGCTTTAGGTTACTGAAGGCTGGCTGATGTTTACATTATGTAAATCGAGTTAAAAAGTTCTTTTAACTTGAAACTCGTCTTTCTAACTTTTATAAGTAGAATAAGTAGATGTTAAGTTCATCTTTGACACTTTATAAGCCTATAATTAGATACTTATTCCATTCCTTCTCAGTGGACGAGGAAAAAGGAATTTCTAATCAAATCATTCATTATTTAATTACCTCCTTTTTATTTGGAGCGCCAGTCGATCTTCGAAAATAATTTACCAACATGTTTTGAATTTTATTTTGATTATTTGAAAATTCTTTCCAATTTCTTCAATACTTGTTCTGGTTTTCCTGTGAAAGAAACAGAACTGGTAAATAAAATCAAATAAATAGAATAATAAATAAATAAAATAAATAAGAAATAAAATAAAAAATAGAATAAATATAAAGTAAAGTAAAAAATAAAATAAGAAATAAAATAAAATATGAAATGCTGCTTGAGAATATCGGAGAAAAGTACAAAAAGAAAAGGAGATATTAAAGAATAAATTTCCAATGAGATAATTTTTTAATTACGTTGCCATGGTTTTTATTCTGAGTCTATCGGATTTATTGATTCTGCATCAAAGAACACACGCGCTATAAAATGCACATTGATCATTCATGGTCAGTTTTCATTATTATTTTAATCTAGGTCACTTGTAATTTAATATTTATGTGCAAAATTTTCAAAGAGCTTTCGCGTAAATTAATTATCGATAATTTAATTTTTATAGTTTCTAGAAAGCTTCTTTAATTTTTTTTTTTCACTGGCCTAATATAAACAAGAGTAATTCTTTTTTTAACTTTATGAATTTTTCCCATTTTGAACTTTTTTTTCTTTTTAAAAAGCTTTTTATTTTCTATTCCTTGTGATATGGAAAAAATAGGACATCTCAGAAATGATGATAGCCTGAAGCCATCACCAACTTTGGTCACTATCTATGTCGTATTTAAAATTAAAAAAAAAGATGTTAAAAATAGTTTTAAAGTTTAGAAAAGAGATGACTATTTAAACATTCAAAATTACAAGAGAGTGATTAAAAGATTGAAGTATTTGAAGTGAGGAATTTTTTCAGTTAATTTACGAAGTTTAAGTTCACAATGTTTATCAACGAAAAAAAATTAATTTAATGCATTTACGTATTATTTTTAATTTAATTTTTAATTGTAAAATAATTATTATCAAAATATAAACATCAATCTTTTTTTTCCAAATATTTTTGTGTCAATATTTATGCGTCATTTTTAATTATTTTACTAAGTGGACAATTTTTTTTCGTTGATCAACGTTGTGGACTTCAACTTAGTGTTAATTTAGAAATTTATCACTCGATTTGTTTAGGGAAATTTTTTTGTTTGTCATATATAATACTATAAGTAATATTTCGTTCTTAAATTGAAAAACAAAAGCGTAAAATATTGTTAAAAAAATCTTTTCTTAAAAACCTGAGAAAGAAAACAATACTTTTCTTTTTTAGAGAAAAAGTATAAAATCATAAAGAAAATAAAGTTTTTCGATTATTATTTGTAATTTTAGTAAGATATTATTTTGTTGCAGTAAAATACTTACTTTATTTTAATGAAAATATGCTTTTTTTTCTTGTCAAGACGTAAATTTTAACTGTCAACAAACAACGAAGTAAACAAGTTCTTTAACAAGTTTCCAAAAGTTACACACCAAGGTAAAAGTAATCTTTCTCCATAAAAGATTTGCAAATTTTTAATTCCTGGAAAATTGTATTTTCAAAATTAACAACAAATTAAAATTAACAGTAAAGATAAATATTCAACAAAGAACCGTCCTTGTGAAGGCGCGGCGGCAATCTGACATTTGCTATTGTTTTTCTTTTGCCACTAGTGACATTTCTAGTAAATTTCGATGAAATAGGCGCCTAAAATCAAAAGTTGTTTTTAATTATTTAAAATCGGTAATTGAGCTGGTCAACATAAACTGGTTTCTGGATTAGTTCAAAGTAATATTCTTTCAAAGAATACTTTTCCTCTTTTAGAGATTGTAATTAAACGGTATTCTAAGTCTTCTAAATAATGGTCGATTTTATCTCTAGGGACCTTCCTTCAGGATCGTAGCTAGATGAGAAGAACTGGAGACAAAAATATTTTCTGTACTTTAAAGATACTTTAATAGTTTGCAGTAGTTTGAATATACTGTCCAGAATATAATTTTCAGTATTTAATTACAAGAAATTTGATTATTTATCATTATTAGCAACTATGATTTACTGGTACGCATCTATAATTTGCTATACTTAATTAATAATTCTGAGAAGAAAATTCTTGTTACGTTCCTGGTGGTAATGATGTTTACTGCCCTCTACATAGCTGTCATTCTGACTGACAAAAACATCTGTTAAAAAATATGGCTGCTTGTAGTGTGGATGCTGTCATTTGCAAACTCTTAAATCACTTTAAAAAGTTGTAAACAGTGTTAAGAAAATATTTCGATTTGAAGCAAGTGAATATATTCAGTATTAAGTTTTTCGAAAAATGTGGAAAAATTTGCTTTTTATAGTGCCGCTACTTTTAATATTTATATCACAGAGCGAGGTAAGTAGAAAATTACCTTTTAAAGATTATTTCTAATTTTTGTAATTATCAACAATAACATTGTGTCTTAATTGAACAATTATTAATTAGTTCGTTTATGATAAATTTCAGGCCCAATCTTACGATGATAAAAGATGTAAATGCATCTGTCCAAATCTTGCAGCAGTCCTTAATATTACAGATTCTTCAAAAATACGTTCGAATTTTATTTCGAACGTAACGCCAAATCATTGGTATTTATATTTTGTTTCATCGTAAATTTAAAATTCTATTTCATTCTATTTCATTCTATTTCATAAAGAATGGAATAAATTTTCTGTGAAATTTTTAATTACTATTCTCGAAGTTATTAAGTTTTTCGGTAAAATAATTTTTAATTACTATTTTTCTCGAAATTATTAATTACTTCTTTTTGTTGTAGTAATTGTAAGGATGCAGTTTTAAATCATCTTGGCGATAAAATTAAAGGAAAGGAGCAATTAGTCTGTCCTAGGTGTGATTGTAAATATGAAAATAGAAATACAACTATTATTAAAGTAAGTTATTTATTCTAAGGAACAATTGACAATTTTAGTGTTGTAATAACACGCATTTTACTTTGTTTTACTGTAACAATTAACGATTAGAAAAAATTACGAAACAGAATAAAATTTATTTTTCAGATTGTAGTAATCATTGTAATATGGGTGATATCATTATTAGTAATTTATATGCTGTTTTTAATATGCTTGGATCCTCTACTTAATAAGAGATTACCAAAAGCCGGGGCTGGTTATCAGGAGCATAACAACGAAGAGGTATTTTTAATCAACACACATTCGTTATCAGTAATTTATTTCTAGTTTTAGTCGTAGAATTAAAATACCTGTTATTTAGTTTGTTTCTTTTTTTTTAAACTGAAAATAACAAAATTATTTGCATTGAAATTGAAAGCAAAATCAATTGAATTTGAATTGAAAGCAAAATTAATTTAATTTGAATTGGAAGCAAAAATCAATTAAATTGAAATTGAAAGCAAAATCAATTTTATTTTAATTGGAAGAAAAATCTATTGAATTTGAATTGGAAGAAAAATCAATTAAATTGAAATTGAAAGCAAAATCAATTTAATTTGAATTGGAAGAAAAATCAATTAACTTGAAATTGAAAGCAAAATGTATTGAATTTGAATTGGAAGAAAAATCAATTGAATTTGAATTGGAAGAAAAATCAATTGAATTTGAATTTAAATTGAAAGCAAAATTAATTTAATTTTAATTGGAAGAAAAATCAATTGAATTTGAATTGGAAGCAAAAATCAATTAAATTGAAATTGAAAGAAAAATCAATTTAATTTTAATTGGAAGAAAAATTAATTGAATTTGAATTTAAATTGAAAGCAAAATCAATTGAATTTGAATTCAAATTGAAAGCAAAATTAATTTAATTTGAATTGAAAGAAAAATCAATTGACATGAAATTGAAAGCAAAATCAATTGAATTTGAATTGAAAGAAAAATTAATTGAATTTGAATTGAAAGCAAAAATCTATTGAATTGAAATTGAAAGCAAAATCAATTGAATTTGAATTGAAAGAAAAATCAATTGAATTGAAATTGAAAGCAAAATCAATTGAATTTAAATTGAAAGGAAAATTAAACTGTCTTGAATTTTTTATAGGACGATACATCATCAGCACCCGGAATGTCACATCCGATGGGTGTTAGGGGCAATGTTTTAAATCGTGTTGGACATCAACAAGATAAATGGAAACGACAAGTCCGAGAGCAGAGACGTAATATTTACGATCGGCATACAATGCTAAATTAATTAATTTTTACAGACTGCAATGAACATCTCGCAGGTACAAAGCATTTCCTGTCTTCTGACTTGTCTCATTTATATATATATATAATATATATATGTATACATACTCAAATATTTAAGTCCGTTAATTTAGTTCGTAAATGTATAAATAAATATATTTTTTAAGGTAATAATTATTGAAAATAAATGTATATGTCTATAGAGTATTATCGTTCTCTTTTTTTGTTAGCCTTTTTTTTCTTTTCTTTATCGAAAAAAATTTTTTCTTTTCTTTAACGAAAAACATTTTTTCTTTTCTTTCAAATGTAACGGGAAACTGGCAATGTAACGAAAAACATTTTGTGAATCATCGAAAGTTAATTGATTATTGATTTTTCAATTAAATCTTTTGCCACGTCGTAGAAAATTAATACGAGAGCTCCACCTGTTCCGCGTAGAATATTCGAGAAAGCTCCCTTGAAAAAAGCTTTTGGTCCTTCTGTTTTGAATGTTTTTACCCAACAGTCTATTGTACTTTGATACATCATATCAGACTTTGCTCTATTCGATTGCATCATCATTCTTCTTCTCACTGTATCGAACGGATAGGAAATAATACCCGCGAATGTTGTCACCATCTAATATGCAAAATTTATTCATTTTTCCAGGTGTAATTAACTTTAATTATTAATTAGAAAAAATAGTTTCGTACCTCGGCGATAAAGAAATTTATAATTAATGGCGACTCTTTAGGATTTGGCAATTGGCTCTTTAGTGTGTCGTAGAATCCAAAATATGTTGCTCTGTAAATTACGATTCCTTGAACGCTGACGAAAAATCCTCTGTAGAGTCCAATTGGTCCATCGGACTTGAAAGTTTTCTTCATGCAATCTATCATTCCGGAATATTCTCTATTCTTCTCCTTTCCAATGTCTGCTGCTAATCTGTGAAAACAAATTTATTTTTCGATACGTTATATTTAAATTTTTTTTTTTGGGAGAATTTAAATACCGTGTTCGTGCATAATCGAGAGGATAGACAAAAATTAAGGAAGAGCCTCCTGCTGCTCCTCCGGCTGCCAAACTTCCACCGAATTGTTTCCAAAAATCATCTTTCGGCACACCGTCCAAAAAGATTTTTTTGAATTTGTCCTTAAAGGCAAAATTTAGAGCTTGAGTGGGAAAATATCGTATCACGTTTGCTAAATTCCCTCTCCAAAGACTGAAGAATCCTGTTTCTTTAGGGACTCGAATTAGCACGTCAAGAAGCCCTATTTTTATTTTTAGTATTATTTTTTTTAATTTGAAAAAAATATATTTTTTAAAAAATATTTTTTAAATAGAATTTAAATTAAAAGAAGTAAAGAAAATATCGAAACTTTAGGAATATTAATTTTACGTACCTTTATATCGTTGTTCAGCTTTAATGTGCTGAGAAGTTTCTTGTACTTGTAGGAGAATTTTCACCCGCTCAATTGGAGCGACTGCAGTTTTTGAAATTGCAGCAGAAATTCCTCCAGCTAAAAAGTCGACCAAAAACGATTTGTACTCGTCCATGTTTCTTTAAAAATAGATTGCTATTTACTTCCTTCTTCAAATTTGTATTGAACACCTGATAATTAGTGCTTTTTGACAATTTCAAAATTGAAATCATTTTCTTAACAAAGAGGAAAAAAGTACCGTTAGGATAACATAGAAATTGACACTATTTGACAATATCATTATGAAAAATGATGTATACTAATTTTATTTCTATCAATTTCTATGAAAAATAATTATGTGAAGTGAACCGAAAGTCATTCAATTGTTATTCTGAAAATAAAAACTTAATAGAAGTTTATTCTAATTTAATTTTAAATGAAATTAATTTTTTTTTTAATTTTTAAATCAAATTTAATTATTAAAATAAATTTTAGATAAATTACATTAAACAGGGTTGCCACAGGTCAGGGAATTCAGGGAAAAGTCAGGGAAATTAGAATTATTGGTCAGGGAAATCAGGGAAAAGTCAGGGAATTTTATTAAAAGTACTGGAAAAAATTAAATTATATTATTTAATTAAATTAAATTTTTGAGTCTTTTTTGTTTACCTCATAAACTATGAAATTTTCAAGAATTATAATTCAAAACCTTCAATTTTTTCTACTTTTATGACAATAATTTCTTTTTCAATAACTTAATTAACTATTAAATAACTTAATTCTTGAAAAACTATCATAAAATTAATATTTATAAATTATTTAATGAATAATTTTACTTAAAAATTTCAAAATTAATTGCATTTCAAAAGAGAGTTGCGTTTATAATCTTCATAAATAAATGAACTTCAAAGGTCAATTATTTATGAAATTTTAATAAAATTCTTCCCAAAAATTCAATTCTTTTCAAAAATAAGCATTTTCAAAGGAATTCAATTATTAAAAAATTTTTTTTTTAATTCTTTGTCACATTTCAATTATTTTCAATTTTTTAATGAAATTTCTCGGTGGAATTTAATTATTTTCAAAAAGTTTTTTAAAAATTCTGAGAAATTCAATTATTTTAAAAAATTTGAATAAAGTTGTTCACAAGAAATGAATTATTTTCGTAAATAATAATATTTTTCTCCAGAATTCAATTATTTTCACAAAAAAGTTTTTTCATAGGAATTCAATTCTTTAAAAAAGTTTTTTTTAATTCTACGTCAGATTTCAATTATTTTCAATTTTTTAATGAAATTTCTAAATGGATTTTAATTATTTTCAAAAAGTTTTTAAAAATTCTGAGAAATTCAATTATTTTAGAAAATTTGAGTAAAATTCTTCACAAGAAATTAATTATTTTCATGAATAATAATATTTTTCTCTAGAATTCAATTATTTTCGCAAATAAATTTTTCATAGAAATTCAATTCTTTAAACAAATTTTTAATAAAATTTGTTGCAAGAATTCAATTATTTTCTCATCTTAAATTTATTATAAAACATGAAGAAATCGATTGCTCCGAGTCGAAGACTCGGAGTAATCGCTCTCTTCATGTTTTATAACAATTTTTTTAAATTTGTTTTATTTCAAAAAGGTTTGAATTTGAAATTTTTGAAAATCTTAATTCGTATAGAAAAACACAAAATTAAATTTTTGTGGCAACCCTGTTAAATTAATTAAATCAAATTTTAGATAAATTACATTAAATTAATTAAACTAAATTCTAGATAAATTACATTAAATTAATAAAATTAAATTTTAAACGATAAAAAAATACAGTTTTTGTTCATTTTATTAGTAGCTTTTATTTTTTTCAAACTTGAACTTTTCTTTGCTATATTGTAAGGCTTTGCACATGGTCTTACGACTATTCATAAGTTCAAAATTATGTTTAGCAGACTAACTATATCTAGAGAATTTTATCGGCATTTTTTTTTTTTTTTTGCATATTATATTCTATTATAAGGGAAAATACAATATGTAGTTCATTTTTCAAATAGAAAAAATATAACCGAAGGTACATACGATTTTTGGAGACTAGATACGTATTTTGGACACTGACACAAAGTGATTTGGTACTTTCATCTCTAAACACTTAATTAGTAGAGGTTTTAACATTAAGAAGGTACACAGTGTCACAGAATACTCAGAGGAATGTCATTCGGCACATCGTGGCATAAGTTATTTTTTTTTTCTTGTCAGATCAAACTGTTTCTAAAGAATTTTAATCAAAAAATTCTTTCATAAATTTCTTAGGGTCCAACTTATTCATTCCGTTTTTTTCTCTCAATATTAATCATTTTTTTCATTGACAAAATTTACATTTGTGGAAATGTAAATATTTTTTTCCTCCAACTTTCCCTTAGAATTAAATCAAAGGAATAGTATCATTGTTCATTAATTATTCATTATTATTCATTAATCAAATGAATTAATTTAATTAATTTAATTAATTAAATGAAGAATGATACAATAACCAAATTTGTTTCTTAAAAATAAAAAAAGACGATACAATTTTGTTTTTCTAAATTGTCGATTGCAATAGATGGACGAATTCACAGTCACTGCCATAGAGTAAATATACATAAAAAAATTGAATTAAATTCATTATTGTGCGAAAGAATTTTTCTAAATCTAACGACCAAGTTTAACATCTATAGAGATAAAAAGAAAAGAGTATATATTGTCTCGAAAAAATGATAAAAAATGTTGAATGGCAGTAAAAGTGTTGAGAAAAAGTAGCAAAAAGTCACGTAACTTATTTTCTAGTATAAAAGAAGATTTTTTAGAGACAGATGATTTTTTTAAGCATCATTAACAGAGATTCTGCAGTTTTTGGAAATATTTTCCAGGAAAGTTTCTTCCATTCCCATTTACGCTGCATGAACGGACTGAAAAAGAAAATTGCAGATAGAAATATAAAAAAAGGTTATTAAAAACGTGTGATGCTTTAGCAAATTTCTTTAGATGCTCCAATTTTTTTTTTTTTTTTTTTTTTTTTTGGTTAAAAGCCATTTCTCTTTTTGTTAGTCAGCAAAGCTCAATGAACTTTTGTTGAACATACTTTCGCGATGTCAACACCGGTCAAATTTTTAACCAATGCCGGAACACGGTTTACGATATTCAAAACCTCCTCGGTTAATTTCTCAGCACCAATTGCACCATTGCCACTTGAAACCATTGTTATTTTCTTCGCCTGCGAAAGTGGAGCTGCGACTTCAGCAGCAACCTGAAATTAGAGTAGAAAAGTAGAATAATTAAATTATTAATTAAAACAGGCTTCGCACTCATCTACTAAAACCTACTATTTACTACTTTTCTATTAATTTAAATTTGCTAATACTAGAAATCAAAAAATTATTCACAAAAATTATAATCATATTTTTTAAAAAGGTTCAATTATTTTCAAAAAATATTCAAAATGCAATTATTTTCAATATCTAATATTTTCATAAAATTTTTCAAAAGAATTCAATTATTTAAAAAAAAATTGATGAAATTCATCAAAAATTCAATTATTTTCATAAATAATAAAATTTCCACATGTATTCAATTAATTTAGAAAAGCATTTTCGAAAAAATGTCGAAAAAATCAATTATTTAATAAAATTTTTATAAAATTCTTTTTCACAATAATTCAAATACTTTCACTAATAATATTTTTCATGAAAATTCAATTTTTAAAAAATTTTTTTGATAAAATTCTAAGCAAGACTTCACTTATTATTTTTGTAAATAATAAAACTCATCAAAGAATTTCAATTATTTTTAATACTATTGTAAATTAATTAATCGAAAAAAATTCAATTATTTTCACAAATAAAGTTTTCCACAAGAATTCAATTATTTAAAATAAAATTTTCATAATATTTCTTATATTTCGAAAAAATAAATTATTTAAAACAATGTTTATAAAATTCTTAAAAAGAATTCAATTATTTTTAAAAATGACAAAATTTTTCACAGAAATTCGATCCCTTTTAAACATTTTAATGAAATTTTTCGCAATAATTCAATTATTTTCATAAATAATAAAATTATTCTCAGAAATTTAATTATTTTTGAAAATTTTAATATAATTCTAAGCAACTATTTAATTATTTTCATGAATAATTAAATTCTTCGCAGGATTTCAATTATTTTTAATACAATTTTACAAGAATTGCACAAAAAATCTAATTATTCTTAAAAATTTATTTTTTGTTCTTCGAAAAAATTAATTATTTAAAAAAATGTTTTTTTTTAATTCTGTGGAAGAATTCAATTATTTTAAATACAGTTTTAATTAAATTTTTTTAAATAATTCAATTATTCTTTTAGACTTTAATAAAATTCTTCCCAAGAATTCAATTATTTACATAAATAACAAAATTATTCCCGGAAATTCAATTATTTTGAGGCATTTTAATAAAATTCTTTGCAAAATTCAATTATTTTCATAAATAAAAATATTTATTACAAGAATTCAATTATTTTTAAAGGTAATAGATTTCTTCTTAGAAATTCAATTATTTAAAAAAATTCTAATATAATCGTTCACAGAAATTCAATTATTTTTAAACATTTTAATAAAATTTTTCGCAATAATTCAATTATTTTCATAAATAATAAAATTCTTCTCAGAAATTTAATTATTTTTGAAAATTGTAATATAATTCTAAGCAACTATTTAATTTTTTTATAAATAATAAAATTCATCGCAGGATTTCAATTATTTTTAATACAATTTTACAAGAATTGCTCAAAAAATCTAATTATTGTTAAAAATTTATTTTTTGTTCTTCGTAAAAATTAATTATTTAAAAAAATGTTTTTTTTTTAAAAATTTTGTGGAAGAATTTAATTATTTTAATAAAATTTTAATTGGATTATTTGTAAAATTTAATTATTTTTAAAAACTTTTCGCAATTTAATGAATTTCAATATCTGTTATTTTCATAAAATTTCCAAATAGAATTCAATTATTTAAAAATTTTTTATAAAAATCTTCGTAAGAATTTAATTCTTTTCATGAATAAAATAAAAGTTTTTCAGGAATTCAATTATTTAAATTAGAATTTGCATAAAATTAATCGAAAGAAATCAATTATTTAAAAATTTTTATAAAAGTCTTCGCAAGAATTTTTTTTATAAATATTTAATATTTAATTTTTTATAAATATTTAAATTCTTTCATGAATAATAAAATTCGTTGCAGGAATTTAATTTATTGGCAGGTTAAGAAAGAAGTAAATATTTTTGATAAAAATTAGAAAAAAGTCAGGAAAATAAAATATAGAATGGAATTTTTGTTAGTTTTGTTAAGTGTACTAAAGTTTTTGTAAATTGTTTTGTAAACAGTTTTTTTGGTCATCAAGTTTAATTTTTCGATAGCTACTTTTTTACTACTTTTTTTAATTTGAAAGATACTTTTTGCTAATTTTTTAAAATTAATTATCGAGTGCAAAGTCTGTTAAAAATAAAGTAATAATTGATGGAGAATTTAAGAATATTCGGGATAATTTCTTTCTACTTTTGAAAGTTTGAGAAAGAAGAAGAGAGGAAAATCGAACGAGTACCTTTGGTAAAGTTTCAAGTAACATGTCAATCATAGCGGCACTCTTGTATTCGCTCATTGCAGCAGCTTTCTTTGCCATTTGTTCGGCTTCAGCCTTTGCTTTCGCCTCGATGGCAGAAGCTTCTGCGTCTCCTCGAATTTTGATAGCCTCGGCCTCGGCTTCTGCCTCCATCACTTGTCGAAGTCTATTAGCTTCAGCAAGTTTCTCTAATCTTCATCGTTAATTAACAGGAAAGTTTTAGATTTTAGATCATTTAGAATTTTAGAAACGAATTTGTGCTAAAAAATAAACTTAGGAATTTTTACCGGTATTTTTCAGCATCCGCTGGACGTCGCACAGTTGCGTCCAATTCTTTAATACGTCTCAGCATTTCCTGCTCGGCGACAGCAATTTCCTGACTACGCTCCACAACTTTAACTTGCATTTGCTCTTCCATAATTCTCTGCTTCGTCTTGGCTGCCTGAAGTTCAAAAGCCATTTCTGCCTCTGCTTTCTAGAAGGAAATTTCGATAATAAAAATTTATGTAAAAGGGAAATGAGTTCAGAATTTTTTGGTGTTGTCTTACTTTTGTTTGCACTTCGACATCATAAGCGGCTTTCTTCAATTCAAAATCACGTTGAGCTTTCGCAATTTCTGTATCATTGAGAAAACGAGCAGCCATCCTCTGCTCTTCTGCAATTGCCTCTCGAATTTGTGCATCTCGACGAGCTTCTGCTTCTCCAATTCTTGCGTCTCTTTTAACTTCAGCTGTTCGAGCCATTCCGAGGGCTTTCAAATAACCCTAAAACGTATTTAAAATTTTGAATAAATATTCAATTTTTTTCCCCAAAAAATAATAGAATAGGAAGTACAGGATCAGGTTGTATGTAAACATCTATAGAGACTTAAAATTAGATTCAAATAATCTTCCTAAAATTAATTATAAAAATTATTATACATCAATATTATCGTGCAAAAAAATTCGTGACAGAGTGTACTGCTAAAAAATAATTTCTAATTTAGAAAAAAGAACCACAAAATTAAATATTGCAAAATACAAAAAAACAATTTATCAATTTGAAATTTTTCGGCAAAATCTAATTTCACGTAAAGCAGTTTCTTGTTTTTTTTTCTTTTTATTGTTTTTTCAATAAAAAGAAGTGCGCAAACGTGCAAAAATAGTGCTGCACTACAAAAAAAGATAAAACCAGTTTGAAAAATGTTTCCTTTGTTTTTTATAAAATGTCCTTGGTTTTTTTTAATAGTCTAGAGATATTTCTTCTCAATAGGAGTTTTTGGCAGGGCAGGAAGTACTGCTATTAAAAAGAAAATAAGTGAACGTACCTTCGAACCCTGCAAGTAGCAAAACAAATCTCAATTGTATAATTATTATAAAACTGTGTTTCATCATTAAAAATAAAATGAATAATGCTTGTAGTGAAATTTTGAAAAGAAAAAAAAATGGTAAATAATAATTTTATCTAGAAAAGAAAAAAGTATAAATTTTTCTATCTAAAGGTTGACTATATTCTATTTAAAGAATAAATTTTCAATTCCAATTCTTGATGCAAGCAAGCAATTTTGTTGAATAGAAATATAATAAATTAACATACTTCCTCGTCTCGAATATCTTTCAGTGTATACGAAACCACTGTTATTCCCATATTAACAAGATCACTGCTTGCAACTTCAAACACTTCCTTGCTAAATTTCTTCCTGTCTTTGTAAATTTCCTGGAAAATTTTTTATTAATTAATTACTTATTATCTTGTTATTTTATTCCAATTTTTTTATTTTATTCTTATTTTGTTTTCATTTTATTTTTATTTTACAGGATTGCCACAAAAATTAATTTTGTTTTCCACTAATTTTTCCCTGGTTTCCAGAAAAAATTTTTAAATTTTTTCTGGCCCTAAATAGGATTTCAATTATTTTTAAATTTTAATACAATTAAAATTAAATTCTTCGCTAAAATTTAAATATTTTCAAAATCTACTATTTTAATAAAATTTCTCAAAAGACTTCACTTATTTTAAAAAATGTAACACAATTCGTTGTAAAAATTAAATTATTTTTATAAATAATACAATTCTTTACAGAATTTCAATTATTTAAAAAAAATTTAATAAAATTCGTTGCAACAATTCAATTATTCTCATAAATAATAAAATTCTTCACAGTATTTCAATTATTTAAAAAAAACGGAATGAAAATTCGTTGCAAGAATTCAATTATTCTCCTGAATAATATAATTCTTCACAAAATGTCAATTATTTTTAAAAAAATTTAATAAAAATTCGTTGCAAGAATTCAATTATTCTCATAAATAATAAAATTCTTCACAGGATTTCAATTTTTAAAAAAAAATGGAATGAAAATTCGTTGCAAAAATTCAATTATTCTCCTGAATAATATAATTCTTCACAGGATTTCAATTGTTTTTAAAAAAATTTTAAGTGAATTCTTCGAAAAATTTCTTCAATTAAATATTTAGAAAATAAAAACTTGAAATAATTTAAAAAAAAAAATTCAATTAAACTTTTTCAAAAAAAATAATTTTACAGAATTATCAGTTAAAAGTATAAATAATTTTTTAAAATTCATGCTACAATGCTTTTAATATTCAATTATTATCTAAAATTTTAACTGAAATTCATTTTTAAATAAATTTCTATTTGAAAATTCTACGAGAATTCAATTATTTAAATACAAAAATAAATAATTTATTTTATTATTGAATTTTATCAAAAAAATTTTAAATAATTGAATTATTTAGACGAATTTTAATAAAATTTTCACATTTTTTGAGGAATTTGATTAAAATTGTAGGTATTAAAAATAATTAAAACCCTGCGATGAATTTTATTATTTATGAAAATAATTAAATAGTTGCTTAGAATTATATTAAAATTTTCAAAAATAATTAAATTTCTGAGAAGAATTTTTATTATTTATGCAATTAATTGAATTATTGCGAAGAAATTTATAAAAAAAATTTGTAAATAGTTGAATTCCTGTGAAACTTTTATTATTTATGAAAATAATTTAATGTTTGCTTAGAATTTTATTAACACTTTTTTAAATACTTGAATTCTTTTGAAAAATTTGATTAAAATAGTAGATATTGCAAATCATTGAATTGAGTAAAATTTTTGAAAATGATTGAATTTTTGCAAAGAATTTTATTAAAATTTTTGTAAATAATTAAATTTTAGAGAAGAATTTTATTATTTTTAATTAAAGATAATTGAAAATTTGGACGAGAATTGTTTTTTAATTTTTGAACATAATTGAATTTTTGCGAAGAATTTTATTACTTTTGAAAATAATTGAATTTCTGCAATCATTTGTAATTTCTCCAAAATTAAATTTTTTCGTCAGTACTTTAATAAAAATTCCTGACTTTTCCCTGATTTTCCTGATGTCCCTGACCTATGGCAACCCTGTTTTATTATTCAAGTTTTATCAGTGAAAAATTGTCAGAATTTATTACCTCCACTGTCATGCTTCCCATTATTGCTCTTTGATGTCCCTCTAATGTTACCAATGCAATATTGTGAATTTCATCTTGAGATTTTCCCAAAAATTGTTCACAAGCTGTTGATAACATTTCTTCATTTTGTCCTTGAATCTTTACCTACAAAGATTGCAAATAAGAATAGGAAATATTAAAATACAACAATAAAAAAATTAGTGTAAAGACAAATAAAAATAGAAAATAAGACTAAAATGCTATAATCAAAAAATCTAGTGTAATTACAATTAAAAAATACTAAAATGCGACAATAAAAATGTTTAGTACAAATAAAAATAGAAAATATTAAAATGGTGTAATAAAAAATTTAATTAATTAAAAAAGTTTGCGAAAATTGATATTTTTTCAATTTTCTTACCTGTGCTATACCAGTTACTGAAATTGGTACTCCTTGACAGGTATAAACAGTGGGACTTTCTACCTGTAGTGTCATTGTATTTAGTGAAATCCTAAAATTAAAATAATGAGTTATTAATCCATTAGAAATAAAATTTGTTTTATTTAGTAGAAATTTATTTAATAGAAATTTATTTAATAGAATTCTATTTAATAGAAATTTATGTAATAGAATTCTATTTATTAGAAATTTATTTAAAAGAATTCTATTTAATAGAAATTTATTTAATAGAATTCTATTTAATAGAAATTTATTTAATAGAATTCTATTTAATAGAATAAAACGAATCAATTATTAAGTTACAATATTGAACGCACTTTTGAACTTGTTGAACAATGGGCCAAACAAAGACTCGTCCTCCAGGAACTAACAGTGGTTTCCCATAACAGCATCCTAGAAATTCATTTAAATTTTCAACTTTTTATGAGAACGTTTTATTTCTTTTAAGAGACATTTTTTTGATTTTACAAAAAAGTGAGTAATTCACTAAAAATTTGTTCAAATTAGGTTTGATTGTGTTTCAGAACTTCGAAAACATGCATCAAATATTATTATAAAGATTAATTTAAACCAAAGTTGAAATTACATTCACAGCAGAAGTTCAAAAGATTCTATTTCTACTCTGAAGTGAATGTCAAAACATTTTCTGATATCTTGTATAAAAATGAAAAATTACGAAACTAGATTAGAAATTAGATTTATTCTTTTTGATTTTATAGTAAAAGTATGATTATTGAATGAAATTTAATTGAATTTGGGTTATTAACATTCGATTTGGATTATTAATATTCGATTTGGGTTATTAACATTTGTAAAATGTTAATTTGGGTTAACATTGCATTTGGATTATTAATATTAACATTGGATTTTTCTTTGTTTTTTTACAGAGATGCTCCTCCCAAAGATTATCTTTACGTCATAATAGAAGTTCGATGGAGAAACATGTTTTTATACAATTGACAAAGCCGGTTTTACATTTGTATATAGAAGTGCATAGAAAAAAAATTACCTGAAACAACGAGAGCTTCATTTGGACCGCAGGTAACAAATCCACAAGTATCCATTGCTAAAACGAAAACAATATTGACGATTTAATAGTAAAATATTTTTTAACACTGTTGCACACTCTTTCACAATTTGTCTAATTGTCAATATTGAATATGACTAATAGTTGGAAATTCTATGTAAGCGATATAATACAGATGAGCTGTTATTTAGTTGTGTTTGGTCGTTTACACATCAGCGCCAGAGTCGCTCGCTGTCAAACATGGGCGTCGTAGTATGGTCAGGAACGTGTTATAAATTCAAAGCTAATTCCATAAGGAAAAAATTATTCTCAAAATTAATTTCTTAATTAATGTGTTTATTGAAATTGGTTTACTTTTGTTTTCTATTTTTTATCTTCAAAGTCTATGAAGTTTTTTTCATTTTTTCTTTTTAAAAGTCATTATTATTTTTGAAAGAATTTTAAAGGGCACCATAGAAAAATATCACGTCATTGATTATGGGAAGTTCACAATTCATTATACATTTATTATTATGTAATTGATTAAAATCTTCAAAACACTTCAAAATGAGTTTTATAATTTGCTTTTTTTCTTTTGAAAAAGAAATTTATTCAGTTTTTTTAAATATTAATTTTTTAAAACGACATTTTTAAGTTATTTTTAATTAATTTTCCCTAATGTTGTTTGGAGAATTTATTAATTAAAAAATTAAGGAATTAATTTATTAAATGGGTGATTTAATTATTTTTTAATTTAATTAAAATTAATTAATTTTTTGTTCTTTTAAGAAAATTTCAATGCAATTAATAGAAAAGTTATTTTAGTGAGAGAATTTAAGGAACGGGTTTAAAGATTAATTTTTAGGAAAATAAAGTAGGACGAAAAGTTTATAAAGTTCTTCTTGATGGATTTATCTGCTTGTCTTTTTAGGGCTTCTGTATTTGAGAAAATTTGCATCAATAGCGGTTTGCAAATTAAGTTAAGCTTTCGTCCTACAATCGCTTGTATACACATTTAGAAATTTTAATTATAAAACTTTTTTTATTAAATCAGTTTTCAATTATGCGTCGTACATGTAGAAAAATTTAAATAAAATGACATTTTTCTATTTACAAATTGTTGACGAAGGTGAAAGCTTATATTAATCAATTCCATGAAAATTAATTAGAATCTTCGGAATTGCTTTTTAAATCTTTCGTAATGATAATCATCGGTTGCTTTATCTTCGGCTTCTTTTCTCTTTTCTTTTGAGCTCATTGTCGATGAATTCGCCTGCCTCTGTTCTCGTGCATTATTTTTGCTTTTTTGAACATCGGATACTTCGATATTGACTGGAAAGGAAAAGATATTTTATTATAAAAGAAATTGAATTTTTAGCTTCTTTTTGAATGGAGAGAAATAAATGTTAATACTAATTATGTATTGAGAATAAATATTTGGAAAATAAAAATTAAGTAATAAAATAAATATTACTTACATCTATTGTGTTGCACAAAATTAACAGCCATATTTGTAGGCACAAATTGTGACGGTCCATCTTTTTTTCTATGACGATCCCAAAGGAGTTTTAATTTTGCCTCCTCTGTCGCTTCAATGTTCTTTATTTTAGCTCTGGATTAATAGAAGTTTATTAATTAAATTTTAATTTTTAGAAGTTTATTTTATCGAATTAGTAGAAATTTATGAATTTAATTCTCAATTCTAATTTTTTAGGGTTTTTATTTTATTGACATAGAAAATTACTCACTCAATGCCGAGATCAACTTCGGGAATTCCGGAGAGCATTTGATTTGAAAGCATCTCTTCGCTCCTGTATGTGGAACTTTGTCTTAAATGATCAGGAACTGCTTGAAGAGCTGCATCTTCTGGTGAACAATAAGCTCCTTCGTTTACTGTATTTGTTTCTGATTCTTCCTTGTTGATTCGTTTTCTTTTAGATAGGTGCTCTTCTATATATTTCACCCTGTCAATTTCAGAAATAAATTAATTTTTCAGTACAAAGAAAATTAAGTTTTAATTAATTAAATAATTAAATAATTAATTAAATAATTAATTAAATAATTAATTAAATAAAAAATAACTAACATCTCTTCGTCCTCGTCGCGTTTATTTGTCTCGGCGTTAAATTGTGTTCCTATTCCTGTTTCATAAGCGTCGTTTTGTTTTATTTTTGCATTTTTCAAAGCTGCCATGTTCACCATTCCTCCGGCTTTAACATTAAATGGGTCTGACTGCAAATAGAAATTTTATTATAATTAGTAAATTATAATAGCAGGCATCACAGTACCTTTTTTCCTCAAAAAAGGTAAAAAAATTATTCGAAAATAGTAATAACTTCTTTTTAAAAAAAAATTCTGTGAATTTTCAAATGTATTTGTTTACAATTAAATTTTACGAAATTTTTAGATTAAAATTCTTGTTAATTAATATAGAGGTATAATAATACTCACCCCTGAATCTTCTGTTGTTATTTTTTCTCCTGAATAATCTCCATCGATTTTCACACCGTTACTTCTTTGTCGAAGTTTCTGAATTGTTTTCAATTCCTCTAGTTTCTCTCTAAATGATATAAAAAGTTTAATATAGAAATATTCAAATATTACAATCATTTTTTACTAAATGTAAACAGTAAAATAATTGAATGATAATGGAAAATAATACCTTAAAGTGTTACCATCATCGTCATCACCCTCTTCTTCGTTTGAACTTTCTCGTCTCCTAAGAGGTTTGCGAGATTTTTTCTTAAATACTATTTTTGGTACAGATTCCTCTGTATCAGACATTTCTAAAAAGAAAAATACTTTGTACTATAAATACTAAGAATTAAATAACAAATACCATTTAATAAAAAAAACGAAAAGAAACTACTGAAATTATAGGTTAAGTAAAAAAAAATTGCCCCATTAAGAGCAGAATACCTGCAATAATGAAATTTACAAGTTCTTTGAATATTCGTTTTGCTTGTAATTAAAATACTATTGAATATTTTTTCCGTGCATTTAACAATATTCGATTATTTATTTTACAGTTTCGATGAGCGATGAGCACATGACGGATTTTGACGTTTACACTCTGCGTCGTCTGCTTCGCGCTTGCTCATTTACTTGACAACAAGTGACGTCACTTTTCTTGGAAACCGCATTCGAAAACTAACCTAAAAACTATTTAAAAAATCCACGAGTTTCACTTTAAGTGTAGGTGAAATATTTTATTTTTTAAGTGAAAATTAATAACAAGTTTAATTAAAATGGAAATAGAGGAAGAAAATCCCAATGTGGAAACCATCTCAAATAGAACGTCTGTCGAGGAAAGTAATTTAGACGATATTCCTTGTAAAAAAAGTTGTAAACAAAATATTCATAATTCTGAGAGTGATAATATCCAAGAATTAATTACTAGTGACAATTTAGAAAAACAAAAAAAACAAAAAGTTAGTACAAAAAATTGTACTAAGGTACAATTTATTTCAAACATCGAAAATAATTCTGACGATATCGATATGAATGACGATTTTACCAAGGATGTGTGTATGAATGATAATCAAGATATTTCTTTAAGTGAAAATATGCCCGTGGAAGATGAATTAAGACAATTTGACGTTCTCGACGATTTAGATCGTCATCGTGAGGAAAGTACAACTGATTCCGATACTTATGCCAATGAAAGTAGTGATTCTGATGTTCCAGATGAAGAGATCGAGGCAATGTTGGAAGAGAGTCTTCCCGAGGAATTTCGAAAGAAGAGAAAAGGTTGCAAGGACTTTGTTCCGTATGAGGAGAAGGAAAAACTTGTATTAGATGAAATTGGACACAATCATTTTGACGTTCTCCCCGAAGGCTGGGTACAAGTAACACATAACAGTGGAATGCCACTTTATTTACATAAACATTCTCGTGTTTGTACACTTTCAAAACCGTATTTTCTAGGCGCAGGTAGTGTGAGAAAACACGAGGTACCAGTGAGTGCAGTTCCTTGTTTGCAATATCGAAGAGCACTTCAAGAGGAGCAGGCAGAGAAGGAGAGGGAGAAGGAGAAGGAACAATCTTCAACTTCCGATGGTTGCAATCTACCAAGTGCAAAAATTGAAACAGTTCAAGAAAATCGTGCAGCTCATTCTTTAGACAGTGAACAATTGAGAAAATATTGTCTCACCATGTTTCGATTTAAATCAATAAAAGTCATGAGATTTCAATCGTGGTCGGCGAGGAGAAAATTCACGAAGAGTAAAAAACATAGGAAACAATTGGAGAGGCCTACACTGCCCGATGGAACGAAATTAATTACTTTCCCAATTGCGAGTTCAACAACATCGGGAATGAATGATTCTAATGAACAGGATTGCAGCGGTGGTGCACGTCCCCCTAAACACTGGATTATGAATCCATCGGGTAAAAGTTATGTTTGTATTTTACACGAATACGTTCAGCATGCCCTTAAAAAGCAACCAACTTACAGATTCAAGGAATTGGAAAATGCCGCAACTCCCTACTCGGCGGTTGTTTGTATCAACGAAATGGAATACGGTTATGGTTTTGGAAGTAGTAAAAAACAGGCGAAAGCAAATGCAGCGCGTAAAACATTGGAAATTCTAATACCACAGATGAAGGATAAAATATCGGGTGATTCAAATACAGACGGTGTTTCATCGAATGCCGGCTGGGCAATAAAAGCAGCCAAGGGCGATTCAGACGCTGATCTTTCATTCTTCGATGAGATTTCAATCACCGATCCACGTGTCGCTGAATTTTGTGCAAAAACAACTGAACCATCGCCGCACGCAATTTTAATTACTTGCCTGCAGAGAAATTTTGGACAGGGCGATATGCAAATTGATTATTCAGTGAATACATTGAAACATCAGAGAAATGAATTTACAATGCGTGTGGGTAAGCATGAAGTCACTGTTGTTTGTCGAAATAAAAAAGATGGAAAACAACGAGCGGCGCAGGAAATTTTACAGAGATTACATCCACATATTCATTCGTGGGGATCATTACTCAGGCTCTATGGTTCACGGAGTGTTAAAACATTTAAGGAGAAAAAACAATTGGAACAGGAAATTACTTTACTGCAGGGCAAAGCAACAGTCAATCAGCCGAATCATGCGATTTTAGGGAAATTGAAGCAAGAAATGAAGAAATTGGCTGAACAACGAAAAGCCATGCAACCAATTGGTAAATTTGTTTCGTCCGATTTGCCGTCTGGATCAGCTGCCAATTTGAATAATGTCGATTTATAAAATCCGATTGTTTTGGATATAAATTCAGGTAAATTAATTATTTTTAATTTAACCTTCCTATTATTTATTAATTGATTTATTTTCTTGTTTATTTACTTACTTATTTTCTTGTTTATTTAATTATTCATTTTCTTGATTACTCACTTATTCATTTATTTATTTACTTGTTTGCTTATTTTCTGGTTGATTTAGTTATTATTAATTCTTGTTTCTTTACTTATTTATTTTCTTCTTTATTTACTTTTATTTTAATTATCTTGTTTATTTACTTATTATTTTTTTGTTCATTATCTTGTTTATTCATTTATTTTCGTAATTATTTATTGACTTGTTTATCTGTAAAAAGAATTTTTTCAGGGAAAATAATTGTAATGTCTAAAACTTGCGGCCACCCTGGTTTATTGACTTATTCATTTATTTATTTTTTTTTACTTTTTTATTTTCTTGTTAATTTAATTATTATTTTCTTGTTTATTTATTCATTTAATTTCTTCTTTATTTACTTTTTTACATATTTGTCTACTTATTTATTTTCTTATCTATTTATTTATCAATTTTCTTGTTTATTTACTTATTTATTTTTCTTCTTTGTTCACTTGATTGTTTGTTTTTAATTTTTCTTAATTGATAATAATTAATCTTCTTGTAATAAAATTGTAATTCTAATTTAATTGTTTACAGGTATTCAACACCAATTATCCTAAAAGGAAACCAAGGATAGACATGCGGATTGTTCAGGATTATTGTTTTTCTATTTCTACTATATTGTATATAGTTCTTGTTCACGTAACGTATTTCTGATTTTATAGAGAATAGAGATCAATAAACTATAATTTTATGAAGTCACGTATATTAGATAAATAAAATATAAATTATAATTGAAAAATTTTTCTTTAGTTTTCAACAATTTTTAAATTTACGCGCGCTATATAGCGGAGTAAGTTATATCAATTCTGATTGGATCGGCTGTAGTGGACAAGTTCTCTGCTCTCAAACATTGTTTCTAATTGGCCATTAATCGTTATAAACTGACCAATTAGAATTCAACGAAAGAAGAAACATCCAATCGGGAAAATTCTTTAATTTCCCCTTATTTACCTAATAGAAAGAAAAGTAAGTGATAGATAGGTCTTAAAACCCTTGACACGTTTTTTCGATTTCTTCTCAAATGTTATAAGTCTTATAATGTGTTTATTATTTACAAAATAGTTAAATATTATAGATTAAATTGAAAAAATACCCAAGTGGAAAATACTGATTAATTTTCTAATTACTTATTTAAGGAAAAATTTGTATTTGTTTTTAGGTTATGTTCTCCAATATTGTCGAAATTTTCCGCATAAACCACAGTACAGCCAATGAAATCATTTGATAGGACGAGTGACCTAGCGTCGCGACAGTCTTTTTGCTTCCCAATTTGTACCGTGTGGAACGTTTGAGAAAATTACTGACGTTTCGTTGTGGTTGTGTGCTTTGCTATTCGCATGGCCGACGTGTGCATTCCTGAGTTTTTGTTCGCGTGGTGTCCCTCGTTATTTTACAGGTGTCTTTATTAAAAAAAAAAATAAATTGTGTTTAAAAAGGGTTCAAGAAAATTAAAATTCTCTTAAAGAATATCACAAAGTGAGTGTGCATCGTGTCAAACCCACAAGTGTACCGTTCGAACGTTATGTCGTGCACGTTCGACCTGACATAATCCGGTTTGAACTGGATTTCGGCAGGTTCTTTAAGATAAATGGACTGGCCGTTCATTTCAGAAATTGTGCAGAACGGCTTTAACGAAAAGAGAAGTGCTACTTTTCAGTTTTAATTAACCCCCAGGGGAAACCCCATCCAGGAACTAGGTAAAGAATCATTAAGTATAGGAACCACGCGACTTCCAGCACACAGCAATGTCCAACGAGGAGACATCCGCCGATCGTAATGTCGAAATCTGGAAGATCAAGAAACTCATTAAAAGCCTTGAAATGGCTAGAGGGTATGTTATTTTCGAATATTATTACCTAAAACTTTCCTTAATTGAAACAACATATGTTCCCATACTTGTGCATTAATTGCAAATTAAAGTCAGCCATCCACGTATTATATTTTCTCCAGGATGTCCGGAAAGTTTGTTTAGCTATTTATTTTCTACTTTGAATTCACTGATTTCTATTTCAGACAGTTAATTGTCAACATGTAGGTTAATATTCACCATTCGGAGCATAATTAACATTATGCAAGTTGTTGAAAGCAATTTTCTTTTCTTTGCCATATTTTTTTAAAGCAATATGTTATTTGAAAAAATGTTATTGATTTTTAATGAAAATAATTGGAATGAGTTTTGATTGCGCATTGACTGTAATTAATTTTAATTTTTGTCTTTTAGGAATGGCACAAGTATGATTTCGTTGATAATACCTCCAAAGGATCAAATATCAAGAGTAAGCAAAATGTTGGCCGATGAATTTGGAACTGCATCTAACATCAAATCTCGTGTAAATAGATTATCAGTTCTTGGTGCCATCACATCGGTACAGCATAGGCTAAAGTTATACACCAAAGGTAATTGGAATTTCACATAAAAAAAATACATAAAGTACATAAAAAATTGTGTATTTAGAAACTTAAAAAAAGTATAAAGAGAATTAATAGTATGAAGAGTAAAGAGTAATTAGTTAATTATAATTTCAAAGAGTAATTTATTACTTATAGTAATTAGAAGAGTAATTATCTTTTTATTTCAGTACCTCCAAATGGCCTGGTTATTTACTGTGGAACCATTGTAACAGAAGAAGGGAAAGAAAAGAAAGTCAACATCGATTTCGAACCCTTTAAGCCTATTAATACTTCTCTTTACTTGTGTGATAATAAGGTATTAATTAACAACAGTCAAAACAATTTAAACTGTGCCAAGTTTGCTTAATATGAATTATGTAATCTAATTTCTTTAGACGTACTTTTTTTTAAACTTAGTTTATTATTGAGAGATTTGAATTTTTTTTTTTATAAACTTTTCGTAAAATTTTTAACAGATTTTTGTATTGATAATTTAATTATTTTCTTCTAGTTTCATACTGAAGCGCTTACTGCGCTGCTTGCAGACGATAACAAGTTTGGTTTTATTGTTATGGACGGTAATGGAGCGCTTTTTGGTACACTACAAGGAAACACACGTGAAGTCTTACATAAATTTACGGTGGACCTTCCCAAAAAGCACGGTTCGTATATTTGGAAATTAATCTGATATAATGTGTTACTAATTCGAATAACATTCGCTTTCAGTGCAATTTTTTTGACGAAGTTGAAGTCCACAACGTTTATCAACGAAAAAAACGTATTTAATGCATTCAAGTATTATTTTTAATTTAATAATTGTAAAATAATTATCAAAATATAAACATCAATCTTTTTTCTAAATATTTTTGTTTCAATATTGCTGCGTCATTTTTAATTAATTTACTAAGTGAACAATTTTTTTTTCGTTGATCAACGTTGTGGACCTCAACTTTGTATTTTTTGCAAAGATTGTAAAAGTACTTTTTTATTCTTACTTTTTTGTATTTTTTCTCTTTCTGTAAGTTTTATTTCTAGTATTTCTCATTTGCTTAACAGTATCACTCTAATTATTGTTAATAAAGATTTTTTTGGTATAGAAAAAATTGTTTGAGCAAAGAAAATTGTACAAAAAAATTTGAATATACTAAAACATTGTTTGTAAAGAGAAAAATTGTTTTATAATAATAAATTGTTTTATATTTCAAAAATAATTTTAACAATTATGTAAAAGAGAAGAGAAGAAAGATATGTTTTAAGAAACAGTAATCTAATTACAGGCAGAGGAGGACAGTCTGCTCTTCGTTTTGCCCGATTACGTATGGAAAAGAGACACAACTACGTCCGTAAAGTTGCTGAAGTAGCGACTCAGCTTTATATTACTAATGATAAGCCTAACATTGCGGGTCTTATTTTGGCTGGTAGTGCTGACTTTAAAACAGAGCTGAGTCAGTCTGATATGTTTGATCCTGTAAGTTACATAATATATTAATCACTTCCACGCAATTAATTTCTAACGTTTTTCTCATTTTTCTTTCTTCCTTTTTTTATTATTCTTTCTATGTTTTTTCGTTTCGTTTCTTTCTTTTCTTTCTATTTTTTCTTTTTTTCTTTCTTTCTTGATGGAAAAATATGGAAATATTTGTTTAAATACAGTCGAGCCCAGGGTGTCTACTAACCAGGAAATCCGGGAAATAGCCGGGAATTTAATTTGACTGGGAAAACCGGGAATAAGCCAGGAATTTTATGCTAAATCGGGAATTTTTTTTATCAAATTAAAAAAAGTTTTATTATTTTAATTTGCTTTTAAAAAATCGTTCTTTATTTCAATTTTTATAGATATTTACACTGTTCTCTAAAATTTCAATTAGTTAAAAATAATTAATTTGATAATAAAAAATCAGTCACTGATTCAAATATAGTTAGTAAATAAATTTTAAAAAAATTATCGAATTAATAGAAATTTTGTAAAATTCAACTGAAAATAATTAAATTTGTTAAAGAATTTCATAAAAAATTTTTTAACAAATCGAATTTTCAAAGTATTTTAATTTAATAATTGATAAATAATTGAATTTTATAAAGAGTCACGTTCTAATGTTTTCATGTTTCTTAGTGCGAAGATTAATAATTAAAATTTTTATTAGTTAATTCAAAAAAAATATACACACTTAAAATTATTTAATAAAATTGAATTTTCGCAAAGTTTTTTTAAAAATTCTGAAAAATAAGATTTTTGGAATGTTTTAATTCTATTGTTTCAAGATAATAGAATTTTTATAAACAAATAATTGAAAATTTTTGAAATAATTGAAATTTCTTTAAATTGTATTAAAAATAATTAAATACTATTAAAGAATTTTATTTAAATTTTTCGAAAATAATCAAGGGAAGTTTGCCACCGTAATTATAATTTTATTTTTAAAAATTTCTTCGCAATATATTCAATTATTTTCATAAATAGTAAAACTCATTGCAGAATTTCAATTATTTTTAATACAATTTTAATCAAATTCCTCGAAAAATGTAATTAATTATTCTTAAAAATTTTATTAAATTTCGTCAAAAGAATTCAATTATTTCTAGAAACTGTAAAAAAATTCTTCTCAAGAATTCAATTATTTATATAAATAGCAAAATTCTTTAGATTTACTAAATTATTTTGAATATTATTTTAAAAAAAAATTCTTCACAAGAATTCAATTATTTTCACAAATTTCCATAATATAAATTTCTTCCCAGAAATTCAATTATGTTTAAACATTTTTTAAATTTCTCCTCAAAATTTCAATTACTTTTATAAATAATTAAATTGTTCTCCACAATTCAATTATTTTCAAAAATTTTAATAAATTTTAATTTATTTTCGAAATCAAATAAATTTAAATTTGATGAGAAAGAAAACGGGAAAAATTAGGACAAAGCCGGGAATTTTGTTGAACGAAAATAGTAGACACCCTACGAGCCTGTCGGAATGCAACACTATTTTAAGAATTTTTTTTTTATATTATAAAATGTCCAACAAGAATTAATTTCACTTAGTTCCGGAATATTGTAAAATTATTACAAACTTAAATTATAAAACAATTTTTTAAGGATTGTTTACTGCAATAAAATTTGAAAAATCGAGTTACATTCCGACAGGTTTTACTGTACAGACATTTTTTTTTAGAAATTTATTAACTTTTGAAAAATTCGGTACTAAAAATCTGTTGTGAGGTTTTTGTAAATGAAGAAATTATTTTCAGAGATTGCAAGCTAAAGTTATAAAACTAGTTGATGTTTCGTATGGAGGAGAAAATGGTTTTAATCAAGCCATTGAATTGGCAGCTGAATCCTTGCAGAATGTGAAATTCATTCAGGAGAAGAAACTTATTGGTAAATTATTTATTCTTCAAATTTATTGTTCTTTATAATTTTTTTTACGTAGTAAAAAATTTTTTTTACGTAGAATAATTTTTTTTAATATGAATTTTAAAGTAAAATTTTTTTAAACTGAAGTTGGCGTCGACCCTGAGCGTCGAAACCTTAAATGATAGTTTTCGACAATGAGCGTCGATGTACGGATACAAAAGAACCAAAAGAAATTAAAATTATGTCCCTGAAGTTACCTTCAGGGACATAATTTTAATTTCTTTTGGTTCTTTTGTCATCCCTTGATTTTTATTTCTTGAAATCGTGTTTAAGACAAAATTTTTGAATTCAAGGTCGCTATTTCGATGAGATTTCCCAAGACACAGGAAAATACTGTTTCGGCGTTGAAGATACGTTGAGAGCCTTGGAATTAGGTAGCGTAGAGACTTTAATTTGTTGGGAGAATTTAGATATTCAACGATACGTTCTGAAGAATCACACGAACGGTGAGGAAAAAGTATTGCACCTAACGCCTGAACAGGAAAAAGACAAAACACACTTTACTGATAAAGAGGTAAATTATTCTTTAGAACACACACTAGTTTTTAACACACACACACATACTCGTTATTTTATTGATAAAAATACTTTCCTTTTTTTAAATTATCAGAGTGGTGTAGAATTGGAATTGGTAGAATGCCAACCGCTACTCGAATGGCTGGCGAATAATTACAAGAGTTTTGGAGCAACATTAGAAATTATAACGGACAAGTCCCAAGAAGGTTCACAATTTGTCAGAGGCTTTGGTGGAATTGGCGGTGAGTTTTTCTCAATAATAATTTATATATTAAAAAAAAATTAACCGCTCCGATTAGTTTAATTCGAAAAATTGTGGTTCCACGAACATCGACAAGTTCCTTCGATAATTGAGATTTGACTAAAGAAAAAAAGAAAATGAAAATTTAGAATAGGTTTTAGGAGATGTAATCTCCTTTAACTAGATTTAAGAAGAAAAATACTAATCAAATTTTCACCTGATAATGCATGTTTTTTTTGCCACTAAAATGTGGAAAAAATTTTTGAAGATATGAGAAGAGATTTTTAGCTTTTTGAGAAATCGTGTTCGATAGTTAATAATAACTGTAGAGCATATGTTCGAATTTAGGAATCCTCCGCTACAAAGTTGATTTCCAGTCACTGCAGGCTGATGAGCCTCTTGATGACGTTGACCTCGATGATTACTAATTTCATCCGTGAAATACTCAAGAGTCTACCAGGTAGAAGTTTATCTGTTTTGAGTGAATTCATTCATATTTCGTGTTTCGTAGAATTTCTCATTCTTGATAAATAATTCGATGGATTTGTCGAGTCGTCTCACTAAACTTTAAATGAACACACTTCTTTCTTCTCAACTATTTTGACAAATTTTCTTTTCTTTTTGCTATTTTTCTAGATAAAAATAATATTTTCTCTTTTTGTATATTCTTTTTTTTAATGTTATAATGTTTGAGTAATTTTTATTTTTTTCTATTTTATTTTATTCAGTGAAGTAATTAAATTGAAAAAGTGCGTTCATTTAATGTTTGAGAATCGTAGTAAAAATGTATATCGACAAACTGCTATAATTTCTTCATTGAGTTTTCACTGATTAGAATAGTCCTATATATTATTTCAAACGCTGAATTCATAAAATATGTTTGTTTCTTCATGTCATGCATATGCACTGCACATTTATTACAATTTCAAAACAGTATAATTTGGAGTTTTATTTTTTCTTTTCAAAAAAAAAAAGGAAAGAAATTGTTTATGGAGAAAATTTGGTTTTTAATCGAACTGAAGGAAATTTGTTTTTTAACTATATATTGAAGGAAATTGTTTATGGACAAAATTTAGTTTTAAAAGAATGAATTCGTGGAAAAAAAAATTAAAAAGAAAAACATTTGGTTTTTAGGGATGGAAAAAAATTTTTTGGAATTGAACATTTTTATTCCTCTATTTAATGGAAAACACATAGTATTTCTAAATCAATAATTACGTAATTTCAAATGATCAATTTATTATCTTTACATTTGCAAAAACTACATTCATAATTAAGTAACAATTTCATAAATACTAAATAATATTGTGCTCGAAATTATCTTTTTATTGCTGATTCTACATCTTTTCTCTTTTATTAATTGCATGACAAAAGCTTTTGTAGTTTTTCTTCCTTCTTTTAGATGAATTAGATGGAATTTCTGTAGATTTTTATTTTACCTAGTGCTGTTCAAAATTATTTTAACTAAAGATTATTTTTAACGATACTTCACAAGCATTTTAAATAGGAAATTAAATTGTAAATATATTTTTAATATTCCTTTCGCTATTCTGGCAGTAATTGTTGAATATTTACCTTCTTTTACTTTATTAAAATTACTAACGGTAGATTTTACTAATATACTCTAATTAATTAATTGATAATTAAAATGTAAATTTTAACCCGGCTGTGAAAACTTTTCCTTAAGTTTAAAATGTACTTTGTTTAAATATTGAGGAAACACTTTCTTCAAATTGTGCATGCTTTGTTGTTCAGTACCCGAAAGTAAATGAATATTGTATCTGTAGCTAATTCTAAAATATTGATGTAATTTTCAAAAATTGCTGTTATTTATTTATAATTTTTTGAAAACGTGATAAAAATTGGCAATTGTTTTTAAATGTAGTTACTTTTCTTTTGAATTATTAAATTTGCACGTTAACATTTGATATTTTAATAAATGTTTTGATTAAAATTCAAAAAGACTTTTTTAATCAATTTTTTTTTTTACTAACAAATTTTGATTACGATTTTAGAGGGTAATGTACTAATATACCTTTTCGTTTTTATTAGCTCGCATATCGGGAAAGGTATAGTACATGCTTTTTAATATAAAATTCCCAATTTACAAAAAAAAAAGAATCAAACAATACTATAGAGTATTCCCTTAATAATAATTTCTGTAAAATTCGCTAATTTTAGAATACTGGTTTTTGAAAGAAATAAAATCATGAGTCTTACAATCCTTTGAGTATTTTAAAACAATTATGGCTAAGTTAGTCTCCCTGTACTTTGAAAATCAATAAAAACAAGCTAGTGTATTTTTCTAGAAACCTTAATATTCTTCTAAGTAAATTATCGGTTCACTTGAAAAACAGTTTTACACTCTGGGAATTGACTACACATTTTTATTTACATAAATTAACATTTTTAAAAATCGTTTTTTATAAATTAACATTTTTCTAATTCTATAAATTAACATTTTTAGAAATCTTTCTTTCGTAAATTAACATTTTTAAGAAACAACGTTTTTTTGTCTTTAAAAAAAACAAGAAAATAAGTAATTTTAATTTGAAAAAATACATAAAGAAAATTCGTAAAAATTTTGGAAAAATACAACTAGGAATTAATTACAAAATTATAACAATAATAATAAAAATTGTCTTTTTTTATTGCAGGAATATTGCGCTACAAAGTCGACTTTCAAAGTATGCAATTGGAAGAAGATGAACTCGATAATTTCGATCTGGACGATTATTAAAGCAGTTGAATTTACACAGACTACTCGGTTCTCAATGCTTATGAGAAAAATAATTAAAAAAAAAAAAAAAAACAGAAAAAAACGCACTGCGTGTTTTCTCAATCGCGTAGTATTTTAATGAGAAGCACTTTTTGAAAAAGAAAAAAATTCCAACAAGAGGCAATTTATAAAATTTATAAAATTAGTGAATCGTTTCAATTTTTATCAAGCATTACGCGATGAGAGAAATCTCCAGTTTGTCGCTTAGATTGATGATGTGCACGGGAAAGAGCAACACGAAGACTGTGACACTTAATAAAGCCAGCTTGATACCTGCCTACCATCTTTAAAATAATAATATTAATAATAATAGTAATAATTCACGCAAAACATTTCAGAATTAAACGATATTTTATAATTCTTTGATTATTCACATGGATTTGTTTAATCATTTTCAAATAATCTTAGCAATATGAAAAAAGACAAAACAAAACTATTTGTATAGTGCTACGAAATATCGGAAACGATAAATTTTTGTAAAATCGCCTTTTGCTCCTTTTTTTCTAAATGTTATCGGCTCAAAGAATAATTATCATCATGGAGAGAGAGACAGAGAGAGAAAGAGTTATATTGTAATAAATTGAATTTTAGATATATCATTTAGCCTACATCGTGCATTTCGTAAAATTCATATGAATAATGAAAGCATTGCACAAATTTTTCAGACTTCAAATTATTTTCAATTTGTATTTTTCTTAAAAAAAATGAAAGGATAGATATTTGGGAATTCAACTGGTCACATCCGTCTCTACGACAATATAAATATACATGAAAGAAGAAGAAACAAAAAATTGTATGTGAAAAAATTTTGCCTTAAGCGTGTCATAGTTTTGTACGATATCTTTCTTAGTTGTCAGCGAAAAGAGATAAAAAAAATAATAAAATTTACACAATAGCGTAAGATTTTCGAGTCAAGTTGGTTTTTGAACAACTTTGAAAAATCAAAATCTCAATGCTTTTCCATCAATTTTTCGCGAATAAAAGCAAAAAAAAAAACAATTCTTGAGTGAAACGAATTATTAAAAACTAATTAAGAAACGATCCTAGTGTTGTTACTTTTTACTTGCTTTCTCATCATGATGCCTTTGTAATAAAAAAAATGAAATTGAAAAAAAGATACGATATTAACCGAAGTATTATAAATATTGCAAACAAAATGCACCAGTTATTAATCGAATATGTCATTTTTATCTATATTGTAGATCGTAGAGATTGAGATTCAAGTCCGGAATTTATTTTTAATCAATTTTTAGAGAAAAATGAAAATCAGGCAGAAATTTAAATACGTCTCGTCATTTTTTATTGTGAACAACGAATTATCGTTCACTTGTTTCTTATCAGAGATTGGTAATAGAAATAAATTTCAGTTTTAAGAGAAATTTTTAGCTTTTTAATCGATTGTTTATAAAAAAAGGGAAAAATTTGAAAAATTGCTCAAGAGTTTTTTTCCAATCTCTGATTTGATTTGATAAGCAAAAGGTGGACGTGAATGTTTAATTTTTTTTTTGGAGTAGATAGCTAGATTATTTATTGCCATCTCTTTTTGAGAAGTTTGTCACTCTTGTTTTGATAACAATTCTCATTATTGAAGAGATCCACATGATATTTAGAGAAGTAAAAGAAAAGTATTTTTCTTTTCATTTTACTTTTTGATCTTTTTTTTGTTTTTTGTTTTACAATGTACTTAGTTTACGCAAAGTGACAATGATTTTTATTTTAAAATTCAAGGAAATTAATTTTGATTTTATTTCTTCTTTGTTTTGTTTTTTTCGTAAGTGAATCAGGCAAGCGATGCTTTGTATTGATTTTGAAAAATGCAACGATGTAAGCACTGCAACACACACTTTAGAATTCTTTTTTTTTTAAACTTTTTTTCTCTTCTGAAAATTATGAAATAGTTATAAATTAAGCCTCATGCCTGGTGTATGTACAATGCAATGCAATATTTATGTATGTTGAATGATTCAATGGGTATCAAATGGTATGTAATTGTTACTAGTTGATTGTAGTGCTGCTAAAAAAGAAAAAAGAAAAAAAAAACTATGTTTATCCGGGCGGAAGAAACTGTGAAAATGGTGACTTTAGATATGAAATTGAAATTGGTTTAACATAGAGAATAAATTTTTATATTACTAAAAAAAAACAAGGATAGCGGGTATCATCCTTCATTCGATGAAATACATAAAAACAAAAGGTTACAGATTATCAGACTCGGCCCTCGAATTAAGGATTAAATTGTCATTTATAACTTTTAAACTTTTTGCATTTGCATTTATTTAAGAACCTGCATGTTCGGCTCAACGAATTTTTATTTTCTTTTCAATGTATACTTTGTTACGTATTGTTTTCTCATAAATATGAAAATTTTCATGAGATTTTATTTGTTTTTATATTATCGATAAAAAATAGTCACTGGAATTTTTTTTTCAGATGCAATATTTTTTGACTGGATGATTGATATTTTTTTTGGTAAATAATTTCAAATGGATTCGCTCGGAAAGAATCGAAAAATCGAAGGTACGGAAGTTATTTTCTTAATTATATTACATTAATTAATCTATATTTTTTTGCAGTGAAACTAGAAATTATATTATTTTCCATAATTTTGCGTTAATAAGTGGATTTTTAAAAAATTTTTAAAGACGATAGTTTTGATTTAAAAAGATGTTATTTTAAGTCTTTTAAACTTTCATAATTACAAAACTGTAAATAATTTAACTCTTGCATAGAATTTTATTATAATTTTTGAAAATTTTTTAATTGTTTGGAAGAAATTTATTCAAAACTTTTGAAAATAATTAAATTCTATACAAGGAGTTTATTTAAAATTTTACTAAAATTATTTGAATTTTTCGAAAGAAATTTATACAAATATTTGAAAATAATTAAATTCTATAGAGATTTTAGTATTCTTAAAAATAAATAAATTTTTGCAAAAAATGTTATTATTTTTGAAAATAATTGAATTTTTGCAAAAATTTTTATAAAAATTGTTAAAAATAAATTAATTTCTGCAAAGAATTATATTAATTATGGAAATAATTGAATTTTTGCAATGAATTTTATTATTTAGGAAAATAATTGAATTCTTGCGAAGAATTTTATTACTTATGAAAATAATTGAATTGTTTCAAAAAATTTGTTTATTTAGAAAAAATATAAATAATTAGTTAAATGAATTTTTTTTGAATTTTGAATCTGAAATCATTCAAAAATTAAAGTTGATACTTGAAAATAAAAAAATTTCCAAGTTGGAAAATAATAATAATAAAAAGAGTAAAATTTGCTGGTATTATTAATAAATTAATTTCAGTTACAAAAAAATTTACGTGTTAATCGATTCAATAAAAAATTGGAATATTTTTAATTGATAAAAAGTATAAAATTGAGAAAAATGAAAGTATTGTTGTTTAAAATATTTGCGGTAATTTATTATATATTTTATTTATAGTACATTTTCTCTTTTGAGAGAAAAAAATATTTTCTAGGCACAATTCTGACATTGATGGTCAATTTTCCATTTAGTGGTGATTATTTACAAGTGGAAAATTAATTAGATTATTCCGGAACGAGGAGATTGAGATTTGAGTTTGAAATATCAGAACCAATGAATTTCTCTTCGCCTCCTCTGATTGATAATGCTGTACCGGGAATTTTCACCTTCTTCTCGTCCATCATGGCAGCACGTTTCCAATTTGAGCCATTGCATTTTTTACAACTCGCTGTTGGCACAACGTCCAATGTCACTGTTCTATTACCGCAATCGCCACATTTGAAAAATCTCTTCACGGCGTCAATAACTTTAACGGAATGTGCCAATTCCTTGCATAAATCTGATCTCGAGAATGCCGTGTATTTGCACATTGGACAAATTACTGCCTTACAGGGAACCTTAAATGTTGACATCATTTTCTCTTCCATTTTTTCCTTTATCTCGAGTTTTCCGAAATATTTTTCCTTCTCCTCTTCCTCGGATTTTTCAATGAGATTAACGTGCGATGAGCTGGTTTCTAGCATTTCTTTGAATTTGGCGGAAAAATTTTTTGTTTCTTTCAATTTCTTCTTTTTTTTCTCCTCTTCGTGGTCGATTTCACGTTTTCGTTTTAGGGATTGCTCTTTCTTTTCTTTGCTCTCGAGAATGTGGTTTGGATTTGATTTTTTGAATTTTCCATTTTCTCGGACGAATTTCAGGGCATTTTGCTTTGCGGAGGCCTTTTGTTTGTTTGTGATTGACTCTGATAGATCGATGCTACCTGATGTTATTCCACTGCCAAGTTGGGGAAATGAAAATGTTGGTTTTGTATCGGAGAGTCCGGGGGAAGATTGTTTGGGTGTCATAAGGGAGTTTAATTTTGAAATTGGTTTGGAAGTTTTTGGAGATGTTGTAGATTTTGTTGATTTTGAAAGGCGGCTTAGATCGAACGGTGAAGAATCGGTGGGAGTTGCAAAATTTTGCTTCATTGTCCATTCTTGTAGTTTGCTTCGACTGAAACCGGGAGTTTTTGATAAATAACTATCCTCGGAATTTATTTCCTGTAATTTTGACAAAGTGAAACCGTCTTTCTTTTTTGGTATCGATGATGGACTTTCATTAATTTCCTGGACATTTTTTTCTTTCTTTTGTGGTGTCGATGCCACGATGGGAATTTCAAAAGTTATTTCCAAATCTTTAGGTTTTTTACTTTCTTTGTCGTTTTTCGAGAAATTTTTCAATTTACTAAGTCTTTCGAAATCTTTCTTTGACTGATTGCTCGTTAACTCGACCATTTGTTTTTTAACTTGTGATTTAGTTTCGACGGGTAAATTTTTAATTTTTTCGGTAGATTCTTTTTTTTCGAATTTTTTAGAACCGGTGAGTAGAGCTAAACGTTCTTGATCTTTTTCGAAGAGTTTTTTATTTCGTTTGGCGGGAATTCCGTGAAAATTTTGTGGCTGACCTTGTGTTATTGCGGCTTGAATTTTCTTTTGTCCGAAAGCTTTGCCAAAGTTTGAAGGTTGTCCTAGGCCTCTTCCGTTTGCGCTGGATTGAAGATCAGCGCGACGGGAGCATTGTTTGTATTCCTTTTGAACGTGATAGACGCAATATTCACATCGGTTTCGATTCACAACTGATGAGCAGGGTTTGCCGCTTTTTGTCGTTGACTTGCACAGTCCCATGTCCTTGGAAGTGCCGAGGATCATCACTTTTTGAGCATTATCAACTGACAGTGTCGCTTGATCCTTGTCGTCTTTATTCTCAAGAACATTTGGATTTAGAATGCCAATGACAACGCCAGTTTCGGTTTTCCATAAGTTTTTGTACGCTCCACTAAAGAGAAAAAGGGAAACGATATTCATATCGAAGGAGAGATCGCTGATTTTCCAGATGCAATATTGACTTCCTTTTTGTGATTTTAAAATTGGTGATTTATTTATAACAACTCCGGCGATTACCCAGTCTTCTTGGAGATTTGCAGTGGCTAAATGTGATTTCACTTTTGAAACTGTAACTGGAGTACGACCGAGCATTCGTTCCTTTAATTCCGTTGATGACACTAGAGGTTTTACTATTCGAAGTCCAAATATTGGATCACTGTAAACGTCACTTTTTTCTGGAACTTTTGTCGAAACTGCGGATAAATCAATATGAAATCTCGATTTATTGGCTGTATTTATATTACTTGATTGAGCAATACTTGGAGAGAGACTATTAATGTCGAAGGATTTTTTACTTTCTTGTAATACTTCCCTGGTGATGAGTCTGTCCTTCTTCTCGAATTCCTCTTTTTTGAGAATATCCTTTATTTCTCGACCACCCTCTGAATATCTACTTAATTCAAAATATCGTTTTTCCTCATCATCAGAAGAATCAAGATTTTCATTGTAAATTGACTTTGTACTTTTCTTTGCTTCTTCAGTCGAATTTGAAATCGAATCCAGAAAGTTAAAATTTAATTCTTTTAAGGAATTTTCTGGATTTTTTGGTTCACATTCAGCTTCTTCATTTAGAAGATCATTTAACATATCTCCTAAATCTGAATCATCGTCGTTGTCCATGACTGAAAATAAAATTTAGTTTAATAATTCATTACTTTAAAAAATTAGACTAATATTTCGATAAAAAGAATAATTATGAAATTATAAAATTATTAATGATTATGAAAATTAGAAAAATTTCTATAAAGAACGAGAATTTTCTTTAAAAAAATTTCTGCTGTAAAATATTTATATTTCATAACAATTTGGAGGTTGTATTCAAACACAGTGATTTTCAATTGAATAAAATAAAGTTGGTTTATAAACGAACAAATTGTTTCACAATAAATTATATACTTTTGTGCATTATGAAATAATTTTTCATATAATGATCATTATTACTCTTTCATTATTTTACTTTTGACAACATAAAAAGAAATGATAAATATTAATTTCTTACCTTATTTGGAATTTAAAAATTCAAATTCTTTGTTTTCTAGTAACAGAATAATAGACTGTTTTTAATAAATATTTAAAAATATATATAAGTTTGTAAAATTAATTAGTTTTTGCGATAAAAACTTGACTGTTTGACATTTGTGTTCTTAACACGTTTACACGCTTTACCCGCCAATAGATAATCATGAACTAATTAATTTTAATAGAAGGTGTTAATAATTTTTGAAAGTTAGTTTCTATTTTTTCGAATAAAAGAGTAGATGGCGCTATGATCTGTTTCTTATTGGGGAATAAAGGCGTATTTTCAAATTTGATTAATTTTTGCAAACGATATGTTTATTGGCTACTTAACCCCGCGTATATTTAAAATAGCCAATTAGGATTTTTGATATTAGCGCTTGCGCAGTGCAATTAAGCAGATTTTTGAAATTTTTTTAATTACGGAAAATTTGCGTGGCGACAATCAAAGATCTAAAATTTGAATTTGAAAATATTAAAAACAAAATTATAAAAATAATGTATTAATTATTATAAAATTAATTAAATTGCATTTTAATTTGGAAATATTAAAAATAATAATAATAAAAACAAAAATAACAATTTAGCAATCGTAATAAAATTAATAAAATTGCATTTGAATTTGAAAATATTCAAAAAGAAATTTTAAAATTATAATAAATAAAAAATAATTAAAATAAAAATTATATTCAGGTATTTGAAATAAAATTAATCAAGTAATTATAATAAAATTAATTACATTTTGAATTTGAAAATATAAAAATTCAAATAAAAATAAAAATCTAGTGATTTTAATAAAATTAATTAAAAGTGCATAAATAAATTAAATTTTCTTAGCTGTAGAAAAATCTTTCTTTTAAAAATGAATTACACTTATAAAGTAATTCAAATAAAATTAATTTATAAATTACACTATTTTGAATTTGAATATTAAGAACAAAAATTGTAATCAAGTAATTGTAATAAAATTAATTAGATTCATTTTGAATTTAAAAATATAAAAATTCAAATAAAAATCTAGTGATTTTAATAAAATTAATTAAAAGTGCATAAATAAATAAAATTTTTTTAACTTTAGAAAAACTTTTCTTTTAAAAATGAATTAAACTTATAAAGTAAAAGTTAAATTAATATTTTGTATATTAATCGCTCTAAATTTTGTTTATTTTTTTTCATTTGAAAGATTGTAATTTAAATTTAATAAAACAATTATTTGTTATTAATTAATTAAAGTTAATTTTAAAAATATATAAAACTTAAGTTGTTTAAAATTTTTTATTCATTTTATTTTGTTTATTTAAAAAAATGAAAATTTATTTTAAAAAGTTATTTTTATAGTTTCTTAAGAAAATATTTCTAAAATACATTTACTGTAAATTTACTTGTAATATTAATTACAACTTGCTAGCAGTAAATTCTAAATTTGAAATGTAATTTTAAAAATGTCAAAGTATCAAATTAAATTTTTGGATAAAAATAAACATAATTTAAAAATTTCTAAACAAAAAAATATTCCTAAATTAAAAATGCAAAAATATAAAGTGATTTAATTTTGTCTTTAAGTAGAATCAAAAAATTTTGTAAGTTTTAAAAATAACAATGGAAAAGAATCGAAAAATTTAATTAAGTTAATTTAAATAAAAATTAAATTATTTTGAAGAATTAAAATTTTAAATTTATGCAAAATACAAATTTAATGATTCAAAATTGGTTAAAAGTCAAGAAGAACACAGAAAATTCATTAAAAAAGGAATTTATTTTAAAAGTTGAAATCAAATTTCGTGTGAATACATTAAAATTCCAAAATTAACCAGTAACTGGAACGTACTCTCAAATACTGTCAATACTTCGTTTTTTTTTACGTAATTTTCTCTTAAGAATATTAGTACAGTCTTATCAGCCTTTTTATTCGAATATAATTATTAAAGCTTGGTATTTTTTGCGTTATTATTTCTAAGAAATTGTTATTTTCGATTTACGCGAACGTTTAAACGCTGAAGACGACAAACTCATTATTTTATGGTGAGAACAAACTTCATTGCAGATCTTTACAAGTATTTTGTGAAACGTGTTCATAAAAATAAAAAAAAGAATTTTTACCAGGGGGACTACTTAAAACGCAGTCACACTCGATAAAAAAGAAAAAACAGTATTTTTTGCACTAAACATCACGGAAACTCAAAAAAAGAGAACTTTCATCATTTTAACTTTTGCAAATTTACACTTAATCGACTTCCTCCATTCGCGATGCTTCCTCGGATTCACCTTCTAGTGGTGGGACATCATCGTCGGGCTTTTGTTCCTCGACGACTGGTTCCTCCTCGTCGATTCCCAAGCCGAGTTTGATCATTCTGTAGATGCGAGCTGCATGAACTTGTGGTTCATCCAACGTGAATCCGGACGAAAGGAGAGAAGTCTCGAAGAGTAAAACTACGAGGTCCTTGACAGCTTTGTCGTTCTTGTCAGCTTCGGCCTTCTGACGGAGGGTCTCAATCACAGGATGATCGGGATTGACCTCGAGGTGTTTCTTCGCCGCCATGTAGCCCATCGTTGACGTGTCCCTCAATGCTTGAGCCTTCATGATCCTCTCCATGTTGGCGGTCCATCCATATTGGGAGGTGACGATGCAACACGGTGAATCGACCAAACGATTTGAGACCACGACCTTCTCAACTTTCGTGTCGAGAATTGTCTTCATGACTTTGCACAATTCCTCGAATTTGGCCTTGTCTTCCTCGCGCTTCTTCTTCTCCTCATCGTCCTCGGGAAGCTCCAAGCCCTCTTTGGTAACGGACACCAATTGCTTGCCGTCGAATTCCTTGAGTTGCTGAACAACGTACTCGTCAATTGGCTCGGTCATGTAGACAACTTCGAATCCACGTTTCTTGACACGCTCAACGAAGGAGCTGTTGGCAACCTGATCCTTGCTCTCGCCAGTGATGAAGTAAATGTGCTTTTGATTGTCCTTCATGCGTCCAACGTAGTCCTTCATCGAGCACATCTCATCGCCGGATGCTGATGTATGGAATCTCAATAATTCGGCGAGTTTCGAACGATTGGAACTGTCCTCGTGAATTCCAAGTTTGATGTTCTTGCTGAATTGCTCGTAGAATTTCTTGTAGTTCTCCTTGTCCTCGGTGAGTTCCTCGAATAGTTCCAGGCACTTTTTGACTAGATTTTTGCGGATTACTTTGAGAATTTTATTTTGCTGAAGCATTTCACGGGAGATGTTGAGGGGAAGATCCTCACTGTCGACAACACCCTTCATGAAGTTCAAATATTCGGGGATGAGCTCCTCGCAGTTGTCCATGATGAAGACGCGACGAACGTAGAGTTTGATGTTGTTCTTGCGCTTCTTGTTTTCGAATAAATCGAATGGCATGCGACGGGGGATGAAGAGAAGTGCGCGGAATTCAAGTTGACCCTCGACAGAGAAGTGTTTCACTGCCAAATGATCTTCCCAATCGTTGGTGAGTGATTTGTAGAATTCACCGTATTCTTCTTGGGTGATTTGATCGGGGCTGCGGGTCCAGATGGGTTTTGTCTTATTGAGTTCCTCGTCTTCCTCGTACTTCTCCTTGATTGTCTTCTTCTTCTTCTTTTCCTTCTCCTTATTCTCCTCATCCTCATCCTCGCCAACGTCTTCAACCTTTGGTTTTCCGTCCTCATCCTCCTTCTTCTCCTCGGGTTCGTCTTCAGCTTCGTCGTCACTCAATTCCTTCTCACGTTCCTTTTGCACGACCAATTTAATCGGATAGCCGATGAATTGCGAGTGCTTCTTGACAATTTCCTTGATTTTGCTTTCCTCGAGATATTCAGCTTGATCCTCCTTGACGTGGAGAACAATTTTTGTACCGCGTCCAAGTGGCTCGCCTGGATCTGAACGAACTGTGAATGATCCTCCGGCGCTTGATTCCCAAAGATACTGCTCGTCGTCGTTGTTCTTTGAGATGACGGTGACCTTGTCGGCGATCAAATAGGCAGAATAGAAACCAACGCCAAATTGACCAATCATCGAGATGTCAGCTCCGGCCTGCAGAGCCTCCATGAACGCTTTGGTTCCTGATTTAGCGATTGTTCCCAAATTGTTGACCAAATCGGACTTTGTCATACCGATACCGGTGTCAATAATTGTCAAGGTGCGATCATTTTTATTTGGAATAAGTTTAATGTAGAGCTCCTTGCCTGAATCCAATTTCGTCGGATCAGTCAGCGACTCGTAGCGAATCTTGTCAAGTGCATCACTGGAGTTGGAGATCAATTCTCGAAGAAAGATTTCCTTGTTGGAGTAGAAAGTGTTGATGATCAGAGACATCAGTTGAGCAATTTCAGCCTGGAAGGCGAAGGTCTCGACCTCTCCAGCGGCAGTTTCCATTTTTTCAGGCATCTGCGAAAAAAATTCTCATATAATAACAGAAAACACCAAATGCTTTAGTAAATATTTTAAATTTTATAATTATTCCTTTAAAAATTAGCAGATTAATTTTAATTCATTTTCTGAAACTTTAGTTCAAATTTAATTAATTTTGAAAATATATTCCAATTATAATTATTAATTTTGAAAATTTAGATCAATTTTAATTTTAAAAATTTAGATTTTAATAAACTTTAAAAATTAAAAATTGAGTTTTGTTATAATTGATTTGAAAAATTTATTTTATTTTATATTAATTTTGAAAATATAGTTTAATTTGAATTTAAAAAATTTAGATTTTAATCCTACTTTAAAAATTGAGTTTAATTTTAATTAATTTTGAAAATTTAGAACAATTTGAATTTAAAAAATTTAGATTTTAATAAACTTTAAAAATTTAGTTTTATTTTAATTGATTTTAAAAATTTAGTTTTATTTTAATTAATTTTGAAAATATAATTAAATTTGAATTTTAAAAATTTAGATTTTAATACACTTTAAAAATTGAGTATAATTTTTTGAAAATTTAGATCAATTTAAATTTTAAAAATTTAGACTTTAATAAACTTTAAAAATGGAGTTTTATTTTAATTGATTTGAAAAATTTAGTTTTATTTTAATTAATTTTGAAAATATAGTTTAATTTGATTTTAAAAAATTTAGATTTGAATGAACTTTAAAAATTAAGTTTGATTTTAATTAATTTTGAAAATTAAGTTTAATTTTAATTAATTTTGAAAATTTAGATTTATTTTAATTAATTTGAAAATTTTGTTTTATTTTTATTAATTTTAAAAATTTTACTATATTTTTAATGAATATTAAAACTAGAAATATATAATTAATAAAAAGCTATCAATTTGCACTAATTTCAAAAAACAATTTCTCGATGAAGCAAAATCTATAATTAAATTTCAATTTATTCAAATATATTTTAAAAGCAATCAAAATTATTTTCATTATTTCAAGTTTATGAAAAATACTTAATTTGTCCTCTAATACAAAACAAACACTTTTGAAATAAATCCTAACAGTAAACAAAATAATAAGGAAAATAAAAGTCGTGTTTATCTTATTAGAGGTGAAATTAAATTGAAAGAATAAATCGATTATATTTTACTGAAGAAAATAAATTTCTATCACTAATTCATTTATTAAAACTAAGGAAAAATGTATTTAAAAATAAGGGAAAATATATATAAAAAAAGGAAAAATATATTAAAAAAAAGGAAAATATATTAAAAAAAGAAAAAAATATTTTTTAAAATAGACCAAGGACTATAAATTCAGTAAATTTTAAACTGGAATTGTTGAACTAAATTCCAACAACAAATAAATACAAGAAAAAGAAAAGTCACATATTTGTTTACCTTATTAGTGGTGAAATTAAATTACAAGAACAAGTCGGTTATATTTTACCAAAGAAAATAAATTTCTAACATCGTTAATTAATCTATTAAAAATTCAAGCTAAGGAAAAATGTTTTTTAAAAAAACGAAAAAAATACAAATTAGAAATCGAGCAAATACTATAAATTCATTAAATTTTGAACTATAATTTTAAATTAGGAATAAATTTATTAGAATAAAATTATTTTCCGAAAGACGCTTTTAAGTTTTAAATTAAAACAATCTCTTCGTTTACAATAATGAATTAGCAGAACTAGTAACAAAATTAACTAAATTACAAAAAAACATGACTGAAAATAATAATTTATTAATATTAATATTTAAAACCAAATTTTCAACAAATTATCCAAAGAAGTCACGAATAGTAACAAATTCAAATGATGAGTCACGAGGCATCATATTCCTCTTATTGTTCTAATTCCCAAGGTAAAATTAAAATTACCATTAATTAATCGATAAAAAAAATATGCTGATTACAAGGCTTTTAACATAAATAGAAATTTGTTAAGTAATGCTTCTTGCAAATAAAAAAAAGCTTCTTAATCTTTATCATTATACGCAATCTACGAGCACGTGTTTGAAAAAAAATCAAATTTTGAAAAAATTCAACTAATAATAATTTTTTAGAATTTGTCAACAATTACACGGTACAAATACACGGTATTAATTAATAATTAAAATATAATATTAAATAATGCCTTTAAATAAAATAAAATGCCTTTGAATGGAAAAAAATCTATAATCATGATTTTGCAGAACGCTAGAGTGCAAAGTGGTTTTCAAGTTAAAAAAAATTAATTTTTTCAATAAAAATAGATTAAATAATAACAAACAATGAAATTTAATAATAAATTATAAATTATCTTACCTTTTTTTGTGTAATTTAGAAGTTAAACTAATGAATATCCTTAGATTAAAGCGAACAGCGGAACGTGCTGCGGTCTTCGCAGAGAATTATTGAATGTGAAGTATCTCGAATGAACACACAGTAATATAACTCACAGAATGAATTAGTAGTGGTAGATGCTTCCAGAACCTTCTAGAAGCTTCTAGAACAAATTTCCACCGGTATGTGAAGTCATATCCGGTAAAACAACCAATTTTGAAAACATTATTTCCTTCTTATCGTTTGTAAAAGACGTAATTCTTCATTGAGGGAAGAAATTAAAAATACTGGAAGTATTTCCTCATTATTATCAGTCAGATTGATAGTAACTTGAAAATAAAAATTGTTATTACAGACTTTATTTATACTAATGTTGTATATCCGGCATAGATTATACAATGGGAGTGGATAGGTTATAATTACCGCGAAAAGACAAAATTCGATGAAATATTCAAATTTTAATATGCGAAATTTTTGCTGCTTTTAAATGAGTAATTTTATTTCTCTATTCTCTGTAAACGTAATAAATTTATTTAAAAGTAATAGAAAGTAAAGTTTAAAAAATCTAAAAAAAACACGAGGACTTTAATTCGCAATGCGCAAGCGCATATTCAAAGTTTTTGATTGGAGAAATTTTTACTTGTTATTTGTAAAAAATAACTATAAATATGTATTAACGACGATAAGATTTGAATATAATATGCAAAGTTGGAATATTTTGTACCATTATACACATGAATATTTTATTTATTTATTAGAAACTTAATTTAAATAAATGTTTTCGATAAGGTAGACGAGGTAGACGTTTGTCATTGGTGAACACTTTGACAACTTATAATTGGCGCTTAAATTTGAATTTTAGGAATTCGATTATTATAATCTAATATTTTATAGTTAAATATTATTTTTCATAATTTGGAAAAAAAATAAAAGTGTATATTTTCAACGTTTCTTACAACTAAAAATTGAATAATCAATTTTAGTTTACTTTCCAAAAGGAGCAACGTGCATTGATAAAAACACTTAAACATAACCTCGAAAAGTACTTGCATCTGTCAAATCTGTCAAAAGTCATATACACAAATTTTGCTTTCCTTCCATAAACATTATATTACAAACAAATGAAAAACAATTAAAATTCAACGTTAATTGTGAATATCACTAGTTTAAATTAGGTATTTTCTTCAAAAGCCTCTAAAAAAATAGATCTAATAGTTTTAATGTGCAATAATCTTTTGTGTTTCAGAAACTGTTTGTATTGTTTACAATTCTGCATACATCACTCCTAAAATAATAAAATTCTCGTCTATTATTGAATTGAATGATAGAGTTCAAATTATGGATTAAATTTTACAAGAATGGAGAGACCAATTTTTAAACAGCAAAAGTTTAACCCAAGTGAATCAGTAACGTATCATTTTGGAGATAATAAAATAATACAAGGCACAAGAAGGCCAGAAATCGAATTAAATCCAGCAATTTTTAATAATAAGTCACAAGAAGATGATGACGATCAGGAAGAAAAGGAAATGGAATTTGATTGTATGCAACCAAAGATTAAGAAAGAAGAGGAAGAGGAAGATCCACTGAAAATCGATGATATTAAACCTGATATAAGTAATTTAGAGACTGTAAGTTATTATACTTGTTACTTTACTTTTTTACTTTGTTACTTTACATTTTTATTTTGTTACTTTACATTTTCACTCTACTTTTAGAAAATATTTTTCTCGGTTATAATTTGTTACTAGTCAAAGGTTTATTTAATTCTTCGTAGACATTTTTTACTGGTTTTAATATAAAAAAAATAAAAATTATATTAATGTAGAAATATATATTATGAACACTATAATAATATTGAAATTTTACAGGATAACAAATTAAAAAGAGTTGTACTATTGATTGCCAATCGAAGGAATGAATTGGTGACGACTGATACGGAACAAAGTAAATTTTCCAGTTTGCAAAATAATTAAATTTGATATTATTACTTTATCTTATTTTTAGTAAGAAATTTAATTTTAAATTCATTTTTACAGAGCCGAAAAAAAGAAAGGGAACTGTTTCTAATAAGAAAGCTTGTAATAATGGATCAGTGGAGAAAAAATTGAATGTAAGTCTAGGAGTCGATTTATCAAAAACATCCAAATGATTTTTATTATTTTTGTATTTAAGTATTTAATTATTTATTTTTTTATGATTTTTATTTACTTTAATTTTTATTTCAACTGAATAATAAATTTCTATTTTTTTGTAGAATTCTTCGGAGTCTTCTAAAAAAATTCAATCAATAGTAAATAACGGAAGAAAAAAGTACACGGGTTATACTTTATGGCGCAAGGAAACGCGAATTGATTTACAAAAGGTTAATTCAGATAAGAGTGAGTATTTAATTTTTATAGTGTTTATAAAATACAGGGTTGCTACGTAAACTGAAAACCTGGAAATTTCAGGGAATTTTATAAACCTTGAAAAAACCTGGAAAATTTCTTCTCAGAAATTCAATTATTTTCAAAAATTTTAATTATTTTCAAAAACTTTCAATTATTTCAAAATTCAATGATTTTAAATAACTACTACTTTAATAAAAATTCCTAAAAGAATTCAATTAGTTAAGAAAAATTTTAATAAAATTCTACGCAAATATTTAGGTAAATATTTTCATAAATAATAAATACAATAGAAAATAATTAATTAATAAAAAATAATAAAAAGAGTAAAAGCGTGTCAACCCTGAAATATTTTTTCGTCGATAATTTTTTAAATATTGGCTTTTTCTTTTCATTAAAAGCTTTTAGAGAAATCTCGATTATCTTAGATCAAAAATGGAAAAAAGTACCACCACACGAAAAATTTCAATATCGTGTTCGTGCAAAGGAAGTGAATGATAAAATGATTAGAACTAATCAAGGTAATTATAATTGAAATATTTTTTACTGTTTTCTTTTCTGGAAAATTTCACCAATTTTTTCGATTTTTTTGTTTGAATTTTGTTTATTATAGAAATAATTCATAAAAATTGAATTTATTAAATTCGATTAAAAAATTAAATTATGTTTATAATTAAGAAAAGGTGATAAAACTAATTATAATTATTTTCAGGAAAAAAAGATGTAGTGAAAACCGTGAAAACAATATCACCTCCTGTCGAATTTGAAGAGGATAAAAAAATATCAAGAAAGGGAAGAGTAATTTCAAAACCCACGAAACTTGCAGATTTTTATAAAAGTCACCTTGAAAAAAATGAAAAAGATTCTTTCAGGAGAACGAAAAAACAATCAAGATGAAGCCTAATATGAAAGTAAGTTCAATTTTTCAAAAAATTTGTTAAATATAGAAAATATTCTAGTGATAACAGGAAATATTCTATTATAAATTACAGAAAACAGTTCAAGGAGAAAAATACTGGAGAAAAAGTAAATAATTTTGTAAAGTCTTTTTTTAAGTAAAAACTTAAGTGAAAATAACTTATCGTACATTATATATAAATAATTATTTTAAAATATAATTACCAAACACTCAACTTGTTATTATATTTAAATTTCCCGCTCGATTACGCTGCGTCCATGCGCAGTGCATTATGGTTTTCTTTGCAAGTCAGTTGTTTTTAAACACGTCTTTGGGTAAATAAATAACATTCGTATTTATGTTTCCCGCATGCATAATGTTCTACATAAAAGTGAGAAGGTGAAATTAAAAGTTTGTGAACATAATAAAATAGCGGGTCATGCAAAGTGAAATTCATAAGCCCGCGAAATCCGAGAAGACACCGCGGCGCAAGAATAAGTTGCCAAGCGGCGCAATGGACTTGTTCGTGTCACCGAAACGTCAAAAAACCGACGGTGAGAATGGTTTTTTTTAATAATTTCCAAATGCATTTTATAGCTCAGGCACGTGGTAAACGTTTTTTTCAATAATGCTTTAATTATTTGCATGAAATATCATTATTTTCATGGGAAAATTACATCACTTTTCGTGACATATTACTCCCAAGTTGTGTGTGAATAGCGCTGATTTCGCTAGTGGCAATTTCACGAACAAACATGGCGTGTTTGTTGTATTTTTACACAAATTCTAAAATTCAAATTGAATTTTCAGTTTTTTTAAAGAAACGATTTGTCAAATGTTGAATATTTTTATGTCCATTTGATTAGTTTTATTCATTTACCTTCTATTTCACGTGTCAGTAAAATTTTATGTTATAACTATAAAAATATTTTAATCGATTTTTACATTATTTTTATTTATACAATATATTTATTTGTTAAATCTGTTAAAATATCGTTTAAACTGATTTGTATTGTAATGATTTTTTAAAAATTATTTCCACTAGTTTTATTTATTATTTATTTTTCATATTGTTTTTAAAAAAACTCAAAATTTCTTGTTTGGAAAAATTTTTGAGGTTATGATTCATTTTTATTTGCAAAAATCAAAAATTTTTAGGATCTTTAGTATTTTAATTTTTATTTCTAATTCGTTTCTTATTATTTTTTCTACTTTTTAATTATTATATATCCTAACTATTTATGATTGTTTTAATTATTTATAATTATTTAAATTATTTAGTTTTAGTTATTTATTTTTATTTTAATTATTTATTGGATTTGAAGGATTTGTAGTTTTTATAGATTTGATTAGTTATAATTATTTTAATTAATTGTATTATAATTTATAAAGTAAATAGACTTTGAAAATAGTAGAGAGTAGAAATGATCTTTTTATTAGTAGAGTATAGATTGTTTATTGTAGAATTGATTTTTTGATAAACAAAAAAAAGTAGCTAGAAAATAGTGCAATGCATATTGGATCCTCTCCTTGTCTTGGCAAGATGCAGTCTGCTGTAATTTACAGATTTAGAAGTCACTGGAATATCGCGGAGTGGTCGTGTGAGAAAAAAGTCTTCAAAACTTATGGACTTTGAGTCACCTGATGATTTGGATCAGAAATATAAACGACAAAAGGCACAACTTCAAGTACAACAATTAATTGATAGATATGAACAGCAATCAGTATCAGAGCAACAGAGTCCGGTTCATCAGGGAAATACACCGACGAGGCCGAGGAAAAATTCCCATAAATCGAATAGAATTAAAAATGAACCATTATCTGATAATGAGGCACATTCTTCAGGATCCGATTCCGAAGATGGTGTGGAGATGAATGACGAGGAAAGATTTAGCATGGAATCGGCAACGGATGATGATGTAGATCCACTTATGATTGACGATAAGGAGACTGGCTTCAGGAGATTGGAACCTCCTGGTCAGGAAGCTCCCTCACAGGCAAATAGTTTGTACATGCTCGAAAAATGTAAAAAGAAACTTATCATTAAAGATGGAAAAATTATCGGTAGAATGAAAGCTCAGAGGAAGGACAAGGGCGTAAGTTTTTTTTATTATCGATTTTTATAGAATTTTAATACAATTTAATATAATTATAATATAATTTAATGCAATTTAAAACAATATCAATGTAATTCAATACAATTTTAATAAAAATTCAATATAACAGAGTTGTCACATGTCAGGAAAATCAAGGAATTCAGGGAAAAGTCAAGGAAAATAGAAATGGTCAGAGAAATCAAAAAAAGTCAGAGATTTTTAATAAAAATACTGAAAACAATTAAATTTTTAGAATTCTTAAGAAAATTCTCAATTTTGGTGTCTTTTTTGTTTGCCTCACAAACTATGAAATTACCACGAATTCTAATAGAAAACCATCAATTTTTTCTATTTCTGATAATAATTTCTTTTTAAATAATTTAATTCTTCAAAAACTATTATAAAATTATTAAGTATTAATTATTTAATGAGTAATTTTACTTAAATATTTAAAAATTAATTCAATATTTTTGGGCTCTTCAAAAACACTTTACTTAATTAATAGTCTTCACCCTTTGGTTAAAAATTTAAAATTATTAAAAATTATCGAAAATTCAAAAAACCGAATTTCTTAAAATTCAACATTTTTTCTTCTCTTGTATGGCAATTAGCTTTATTATTTTTGTGCTTTTCAAAAATAGTTTAATAACTTAATAATCTCCACCCTTTGGTAAAAAATCAAAAATTATTAAAAACTAGCCAAACTATCCGCGCGCAAGCGCGCGGGAATGTTATATGGGGCTGCTTATTTTAAACAATTTAAAAAATTTTAAAGAAATAATTATTATAACCTAACAAAAAGATTTAACTAACTAAAATTTAAATAATTTCACTTAATGGTCTCAATTTAAATAGAATTTACATTACTAGACTTAAACTATGGCTAGAACAATTACAATTAGTATCTGGGTCATCTTTTGCATTGCTTATTTTATAAAGCCATTTTAAATTAAATACTTTTCAAAGAAATAATAATTATTACACAATAAAAAAAGTTTTACTTGAAATAGCGATAAGTTTCTCTAGAATAACGAAAGTATTAATTGAAGCACTGAAAAATTTCGCTACTAAAGTGAAATCTGTAGTTCATCCAGCTAAATATTTTTTGCCGTGCATAACGAAAAAAGAATTAAATTAACATCAGATTTTCTACATTAAAAAAAAAACGAATTCAAATAGAAATTAATCATTTTACAACTTAACCAAATTCACCACAGAAATCACTGAATTCGATAATTTAGAAGAAAGTCAGACAAAAGCAGGGTTCCTACAGAATCTGTAAAATCATGAAAATGGTATGGAATTTTTAAAAGGCTTCTGGAAATCAGGGAAATCATGGAAAAGGCCTGGAATTTTTAAAAGTTTCTAAATTTTTTAAGTTTTCCATTTTTTCTCTTGAATAAAAATTCAAATAATAATAAAGCTAAATGGCATAAAAGACAAAAAAAAATGTTGAATTTTAAGCAATTCGATTTTTCGGATTTTTGATAATTTTTAATAATTTTTGATTTTTTACCAAAGAGTCGAGACAATTTAATAAGTAAAGTATTTTCCAAAAGCACAAAAATAATGAAGCTAAATCCCATAAAAGAGAGGAAAAAATGTTGAATTTTAAGAAAAACGGATTTTTGAATTTTTTTGAATTTTTGATAATTTTAGATTTTTTACCAATGATTCGAGACAATTGAATAAGTAGAGTATTTTCCAAAAGCACAAAAATAATGAAACTAAATCCCATAAAAGAGAAGAAAAAATGTTGAATTTTAAGAAATTCGGATTTTTGAATTTTTGATAATTTTCGATAATTTTAGATTTTTTACCAAAGAGTCGAGACAATTTAATAAGTAAACTATTTTCCAAAAGCACAAAAATAATGAAGCTAAATCCCATAAAAAAAAAGAAAAAATGTTGAATTTTAAGAAATTTGGATTTTTGAATTTTATCGAATTTTTAATAATTTTAGATTTTTTACCAAAGAGTCGAGACAATTAAATAAGTAAAGTATTTTCCAAAAGCACAAAAATAATGAAGCTTAATCCCATAAAAGAGAAGAAAAAATGTTGAATTTTAAGAAAATCGAATTTTTGAATTTTTTCGAATTTTTGATAATTTTAGATTTTTTACCAAAGAGTCGAGACTATTAAATAAGTAAAGTATTTTCCAAAAGCACAAAAATAATGAAGCTAAATCCCATAAAAGAGAGGAAAAAATGTTGAATTTTAAGAAAAACGGATTTTTTAATTTTTTCGAATTTTTGATAATTTTAGATTTTTTACCAAAGAGTCGAGACAATTTAATAAGTAAAGTATTTTCTAAAAGCACAAAAATAATGAAGCTAAATCCCATAAAAGAGAGGAAAAAATGTTGAATTTTAAGAAATTCGGATTTTTGAATTTTTGATAATTTTCGATAATTTTAGATTTTTTACCAAAGAGTCGAGACTATTAAATAAGTAAAGTATTTTCCAAAAGCACAAAAATAATGAAGCTAAATCCCATAAAAGAGAAGAAAAAATGTTGAATTTTAAGTAATTTGGATTTTAGAATTTTTTCGAATTTTTGATAATTTTAGATTTTTTACCAAAGAGTCGAGACTATTAAATAAGTAAAGTATTTTCCAAAAGCACAAAAATAATGAAGCTAAATCCCATAAAAGAGAGGAAAAAATGTTGAATTTTAAGAAAAACGGATTTTTGAATTTTTTCGAATTTTTGATAATTTTAGATTTTTTACCAAAGAGTCGAGACTATTAAAGAAGTAAAGTATTTTTCAAAAGCACAAAAATAATGAAGCTAAATCCCATAAAAGAGAAGAAAAAATGTTGAATTTTAAGAAATTTGGATTTTTGAATTTTTTTGAATTTTTGATAATTTTAGATTTTTTACCAAAGAGTCGCGACTATTAAATAAGTAAAGTATTTTCTAAAAGCACAAAAATAATGAAGCTAAATCCCATAAAAGAGAGGAAAAAATGTTGAATTTTAAGAAAAACGGATTTTTGAATTTTTTCGAATTTTTGATAATTTTAGATTTTTTACCAAAGAGTCGCGACTATTAAATAAGTAAAGTATTTTCTAAAAGCACAAAAATAATGAAGCTAAATCCCATAAAAGAGAGGAAAAAATGTTGAATTTTAAGAAAAACGGATTTTTGAATTTTTTCGAATTTTTGATAATTTTAGATTTTTTACCAAAGAGTCGAGACTATTTAATAAGTAAAGTATTTTCCAAAAGCACAAAAATAATGAAGCTAAATCCCATAAAAGAGAAGAAAAAATGTTGAATTTTAAGAAATTTGGATTTTTGAATTTTTTCGAATTTTTGATAATTTTAGATTTTTTACCAAAGAGTCGAGACAATTTAATAAGTAAAGTATTTTCTAAAAGCACAAAAATAATGAAGCTAAATCCCATAAAAGAGAGGAAAAAATGTTGAATTTTAAGAAATTCGGATTTTTGAATTTTTGATAATTTTCGATAATTTTAGATTTTTTACCAAAGAGTCGAGACTATTAAATAAGTAAAGTATTTTCCAAAAGCACAAAAATAATGAAGCTAAATCCCATAAAAGAGAAGAAAAAATGTTGAATTTTAAGTAATTTGGATTTTTGAATTTTTTCGAATTTTTGATAATTTTAGATTTTTTACCAAAGAGTCGAGACTATTAAAGAAGTAAAGTAATTTTTAAAAGCACAAAAATAATGAAGCTAAATCCCATAAAAGAGAAGAAAAAATGTTGAATTTTAAGAAATTCGGATTTTTGAATTTTTTCGAATTTTTGATAATTTTAGATTTTTTACCAAAGAGTCGAGACTATTTAATAAGTAAAGTATTTTCCAAAAGCACAAAAATAATGAAGCTAAATCCCATAAAAGAGAAGAAAAAATGTTGAATTTTAAGAAATTTGGATTTTTGAATTTTTTCGAATTTTTGATAATTTTAGATTTTTTACCAAAGAGTCGAGACTATTAAATAAGTAAAGTATTTTCCAAAAGCACAAAAATAATGAAGCTAAATCCCATAAAAGAGAGGAAAAAATGTTGAATTTTAAGAAATTCGGATTTTTGAATTTTTGATAATTTTCGATAATTTTAGATTTTTTACCAAAGAGTCGAGACTATTAAATAAGTAAAGTATTTTCCAAAAGCACAAAAATAATGAAGCTTAATCCCATAAAAGAGAAGAAAAAATGTTGAATTTTAAGAAAAACAGATTTTTGAATTTTTGATAATTCTCGATAATTTTAGATTTTTTACCAAAGAGTCGAGACTATTAAATAAGTAAAGTAATTTTTAAAAGCACAAAAATAATGAAGCTAAATCCCATAAAAGAGAAGAAAAAATGTTGAATTTTAAGAAATTCGGATTTTTGAATTTTTGATAATTCTCGATAATTTTAGATTTTTTACCAAAGAGTCGAGACTATTAAATAAGTAAAGTATTTTTCAAAAGCACAAAAATAATGAAGCTTAATCCCATAAAAGAGAAGAAAAAATGTTGAATTTTAAGAAATTTGGATTTTTGAATTTTTTCGAATTTTTGATAATTTCAGATTTTTTACCAAAGAGTCGAGACAATTAAATAAGTAAAGCATTTTCCAAAAGCACAAAAAAAATGAAGCTTAATCCCATAAAAGAGAAGAAAAAATGTTGAGTTTTAAGAAAATCGAATTTTTGAATTTTTCATAATTTTCGATAATTTTAGATTTTTTACCAAAGAGTCGAGACTATTAAATAAGTAAAGTATTTTCCAAAAGCACAAAAATAATGAAGCTAAATCCCATAAAAGAGAAGAAAAAATGTTGAATTTTAAGAAATTTGGATTATTGAATTTTTTCGAATTTTTGATAATTTTAGATTTTTTACCAAAGAGTCGAGACTATTAAATAAGTAAAGTATTTTCCAAAAGCACAAAAATAATGAAGCTAAATCCCATAAAAGAGAGGAAGAAATGTTGAATTTTAAGAAATTCGGATTTTTGAATTTTGATAATATTCGATAATTTTAGATTTTTTACCAAAGAGTCGAGACTATTAAATAAGTAAAGTATTTTCCAAAAGCACAAAAATAATGAAGCTAAATCCCATAAAAGAGAGGAAAAAATGTTGAATTTTAAGAAAAACGGATTTTTGAATTTTTTCGAATTTTTGATAATTTTAGATTTTTTACCAAAGAGTCGAGACTATTAAATAAGTAAAGTATTTTCCAAAAGCACAAAAATAATGAAGCTAAATCCCATAAAAGAGAAGAAAAAATGTTGAATTTTAAGAAATTTGGATTTTTGAATTTTTTCGAATTTTTGATAATTTTAGATTTTTTACCAAAGAGTCGAGACTATTAAATAAGTAAAGTATTTTCCAAAAGCACAAAAATAATGAAGCTTAATCCCATAAAAGAGAAGAAAAAATGTTGAATTTTAAGAAAAACGGATTTTTGAATTTTGATAATTTTCGATAATTTTAGATTTTTTACCAAAGAGTCGAGACTATTAAATAAGTAAAGTATTTTCCAAAAGCACAAAAATAATGAAGCTAAATCCCATAAAAGAGAAGAAAAAATGTTGAATTTTAAGAAATTTGGATTTTTGAATTTTTTCGAATTTTTGATAATTTTAGATTTTTTACCAAAGAGTCGAGACTATTAAATAAGTAAAGTATTTTCCAAAAGCACAAAAATAATGAAGCTAAATCCCATAAAAGAGAGGAAGAAATGTTGAATTTTAAGAAATTCGGATTTTTGAATTTTTTCGAATTTTTGATAATTTTAGATTTTTTACCAAAGAGTCGAGACTATTAAATAAGTAAAGTATTTTCCAAAAGCACAAAAATAATGAAGCTAAATCCCATAAAAGAGAAGAAAAAATGTTGAATTTTAAGAAAATCGAATTTTTGAATTTTTTCGAATTTTTGATAATTTTAGATTTTTTACCAAAGAGTCGAGACTATTAAATAAGTAAAGTATTTTCCAAAAGCACAAAAATAATGAAGCTTAATCCCATAAAAGAGAAGAAAAAATGTTAAATTTTAAGAAAATCGGATTTTTGAATTTTTTCGAATTTTTGATAATTTTAGATTTTTTACCAAAGAGTCGAGACTATTAAATAAGTAAAGTATTTTCCAAAAGCACAAAAATAATGAAGCTAAATCCCATAAAAGAGAAGAAAAAATGTTGAATTTTAAGAAATTTGGATTATTGAATTTTTTCGAATTTTTGATAATTTTAGATTTTTTACCAAAGAGTCGAGACTATTAAGTAAGTAAAGTATTTTCCAAAAGCACAAAAATAATAAAGCTTAATCCCATAAAAGAGAAGAAAAAATGTTGAATTTTAAGAAATTTGGATTTTTGAATTTTTTCGAATTTTTGATAATTTTAGATTTTTTACCAAAGAGTCGAGACTATTAAATAAGTAAAGTATTTTCCAAAAGCACAAAAATAATGAAGCTTAATCCCATAAAAGAGAAGAAAAAATGTTGAATTTTAAGAAAATCGGATTTTTGAATTTTTTCGAATTTTTGATAATTTTAGATTTTTTACCAAAGAGTCGAGACTATAAAATAAGTAAAGTATTTTCCAAAAGCACAAAAATAATTAAGCTAAATCCCATAAAAGAGAAGAAAAAATGTTGAATTTTAAGAAATTTGGATTATTGAATTTTTTCGAATTTTTGATAATTTTAGATTTTTTACCAAAGAGTCGAGACTATTAAGTAAGTAAAGTATTTTCCAAAAGCACAAAAACAATAAAGCTTAATCCCATAAAAGAGAAGAAAAAATGTTGAATTTTAAGAAATTTGGATTTTTGAATTTTTTCGAATTTTTGATAATTTTAGATTTTTTACCAAAGAGTCGAGACTATTAAATAAGTAAAGTATTTTCCAAAAGCACAAAAATAATGAAGCTTAATCCCATAAAAGAGAAGAAAAAATGTTGAATTTTAAGAAAATCGGATTTTTGAATTTTTTCGAATTTTTGATAATTTTAGATTTTTTACCAAAGAGTCGAGACTATTAAATAAGTAAAGTATTTTCCAAAAGCACAAAAATAATTAAGCTAAATCCCATAAAAGAGAAGAAAAAATGTTGAATTTTAAGAAATTTGGATTATTGAATTTTTTCGAATTTTTGATAATTTTAGATTTTTTACCAAAGAGTCGAGACTATTAAATAAGTAAAGTATTTTCCAAAAGCACAAAAATAATGAAGCTTAATCCCATAAAAGAGAAGAAAAAATGTTGAATTTTAAAAAAATCGGATTTTTGAATTTTTTCGAATTTTTGATAATTTTAGATTTTTTACCAAAGAGTCGAGACAATTAAATAAGTAAAGTATTTTCCAAAAGCACAAAAATAATGAAGCTTAATCCCATAAAAGAGAAGAAAAAATGTTGAGTTTTAAGAAAATCGAATTTTTGAATTTTTGATAATTTTCGATAATTTTAGATTTTTTACCAAAGAGTCGAGACTATTAAATAAGTAAAGTATTTTCCAAAGCACAAAAATAATGAAGCTAAATCTTATAAAAGAGAGGAAAAAATATTGAATTTTAAGAAAATCGGATTTTTGAATTTTTTCGAATTTTTGATAATTTTAGATTTTTTACCAAAGGGTCGAGACAATTTAATAAGTAAAGTATTTTCCAAAAGCACAAAAATAATGAAGCTTAATCCCATAAAAGAGAAGAAAAAATGTTGAATTTTAAAAAAATCGGATTTTTGAATTTTTTCGAATTTTTGATAATTTTAGATTTTTTACCAAAGAGTCGAGACTATTAAATAAGTAAAGTATTTTCCAAAGCACAAAAATAATGAAGCTAAATCTTATAAAAGAGAGGAAAAAATATTGAATTTTAAGAAAATCGAATTTTTGAATTTTTGATAATTTTCGATAATTTTAGATTTTTTACCAAAGAGTCGAGACTATTAAATAAGTAAAGTATTTTCCAAAAGCACAAAAATAATGAAGCTTAATCCCATAAAAGAGAAGAAAAAATGTTGAATTTTAAAAAAATCGGATTTTTGAATTTTTTCGAATTTTTGATAATTTTAGATTTTTTACCAAAGAGTCGAGACAATTAAATAAGTAAAGTATTTTCCAAAAGCACAAAAATAATGAAGCTTAATCCCATAAAAGAGAAGAAAAAATGTTGAGTTTTAAGAAAATCGAATTTTTGAATTTTTGATAATTTTCGATAATTTTAGATTTTTTACCAAAGAGTCGAGACTATTAAATAAGTAAAGTATTTTCCAAAGCACAAAAATAATGAAGCTAAATCTTATAAAAGAGAGGAAAAAATATTGAATTTTAAGAAAATCGGATTTTTGAATTTTTTCGAATTTTTGATAATTTTAGATTTTTTACCAAAGGGTCGAGACAATTTAATAAGTAAAGTATTTTCCACATTAAAAAGTTTGACATTAAAAAATAAAAAATGCCAATACTTAACCCACAAAATTTAATTTTCAAAACAAACAAATGAATGCAGATAATTTGCTAACGGAAAGGAACTTACGATTATTATAATGTATTATCAAAAATTCGAAAAACCAAATTTCTCAAAATTTAAGATTTTTTTTTTTTCTTGTATGGCAATTAGCTTTATTATTTTTGTGCTTTTCAAAAATAGTTTAATAATTTAATTATCTCCACCCTTTGGTAAAAAATAAAAAATTATTAAGAATTATCAAAAATTCGAAAAACCACATTTCTCAAAATTTAAGATTTTTTCTTCTCTTGTATGGCAATTAGCTTTATTATTTTTGTGCTTTTCAAAAATAGTTTAATAATTTAATTATCTCCACCCTTTGGTAAAAAATCAAAAATTATTAAGAATTATCAAAAATTCGAAAAACCAAATTTCTCAAAATTCTACATTCTTTCTTCTCTTGTATGGCAATTAGCTTTATTATTTTTATGCTTTTCAAAAATAGTTTAATAATTTAATAATCTCCACCCTTTGGTAAAAAATCAAAAATTAATAAAAATTATCAAAAATTCGAAAAACCAAATTTCTCAAAATTTAACATTTTTTCTTCTCTTTTACTGCATTTAGTTTCATTATTTTTGGGCTTTTCAAGAACACTTTACTTATTAAATTTTTGTGGCAACTCTGTAAAATTTAATTTTAATACGATAAATTATTCTAAAAATTAATTCTTTCCAGAAAACAAGATTCACTGCGTACATGCTTTGGGCGAAAGAAATTAGACAAGAATTATTAGAGCAGTGTCCATATATGGGTACGTTAAAAAAATGCAAAAAGAAATAGTTATTTTTTTTTGATAAATTACGAATATTAAGTAGTTGTATTAATTAGTATTAATAATTTATTTATAAATTGCAGACTTTGCTGCAATTTCGAAGCGACTTGGAGAATTATGGGCAACTGTACCTAATCTCGAGAAATACAATTGGCGCAGACGGGCAAAAAGACTAGCTGCAAAACCAAGTAGTTCACCAACAAGTAAGGATGAAGCTACGTGGAAAATGCCACCACCAGCATCACGCAAGAAATTTATTAACAAAAGTATTAAGTCTACTAAAAGTAGTGCAGCGCAATTTCTAAAATTTCTTTTCGTAAATATTTTTTCAATTAAAATTTCATTTTCAAAACCGTTAATTTCTTTATGAAATGTTCGAAAAATTCTGAACATATTTTTTTCATTTACATATTTTCAAAAATTATTGAATCGAAATAAAATCAGTAACATAAATATTTAGAAATCTTATGGATTTAATTTTTAATTTGCAAACTAATATTGTTAAAAAAAATTTGAATTTTAAAAAGAAATAATTAAATTTAGTTCATTTGATCGTTCAGAACTTTGGGGGCATGAAAGTAAAAGAAAGATTAAGAAATTTTAATTGAAAAAATCCCTTTTTTATTTTGTAATTTTTTTTCTTTTACAAAAGGACTTTTGCCTACAGAATATAATAGAAAAAACATAGTAAAATCTTGATTTACAGGTGGCGGAAAGGAAACGAAACCCTCATCGTCGAAGAAAATGATACAATTGGGCGTTCCGTCGATGGTGGGGAATTTATCCCTGTCACCAACTTCGAATCGTAATAACAAGGATTTAGTTAATGAGCCAGTAATTGGAACAGGAATGTATAAAATTGTCGGCACACAACCAGTGGACGTTGCGGCACATTTAAAATTACTTGGCGAAAGTTTAACGATAATTGGCGAACGACTGAAAGAACACGAGGGTCAAATTGCCGTCTCTGGTAGTCTATCAGTTTTATTAGATTCATTACTCTGTGCACTTGGCCCATTGATTTGTCTAACACAACAGGTTCCTGGTGCTAATGGCGCGAGACCGCAAATTCTATCAAAAATGTTAGATAACGTCGCATATATAATGCCTGGTCTCTAACAAAAATGTACAAATGAAAACAAAAACTTTTTTCTCTTTCTATAAAAGTACTTTTTTTTTCGTTTTATAATATGTAGTGAGGTGTAATAATTCGTAAAGATAATTCAGAATTTAAGGAAAATTATTTGCAATAGTTGTACAGTTTTTTCTTCTCATTTTTTTTTCTCTTTTTTATTTTAAACTCAATTTATGTACAAGTTTATGTTAGATGTGAATCTGTGAATACGTGAATATTGCAAAAGTATGTCGTCAAAAAAAAAGTATATATATTATATATATAAATATATCTTCTACTAGTTTAAAAAAAAGAGGTGATTTATGGTTTCTTTCACCGAATCAGAGGCAATAAATACTTAAGTACTAAAAGATTATGGTAAAAGGAGAGATTTTTTGAATTTATTGGTGAGTAATAACTGGTGGACACGTGCAAAATAGATGTTTGTCTCCGAAAATTTCGTCTATTCTTCCAACACTGGGCCAGATTTTTGTTCCGCTTCTCACAAAGGACTGTAATGAAAAATAATAATTATGATCCAATAACTTCGGTACAGTTATTAATTAATAATTAGTAACATAATTCGTAAATTACCATTTTAAGTGATCTTTTTAGTGGTAAATTAGTGAAATTAAAAAATTTTACCGCTGGAAAAGCTGCGACTTCACGTGAATAAGGACGATCCCATTTTGAGCTGATTACTTCTTCTTGTGTGTGAGGGGCCATTTTTAGTGGATTAATACTTTTATCGAACTTTCCATTCTCGATGTTCTCGATTTCTTTTCTTATTGCTGAAAAAAATTGGATTTGTTTCTTCATAGAGAAAATATTTTAGTTCCGTTTTGATAACTTAATTCTAAACATTAGATAATTGATTAATGGAATTTTTTTTTGGTAATGAAAAGGCTTAGAAACTAGATGAAAAGAAAGAAAAACAGAGTTGCCACAAAAAATTAATTTTGTTTTTCCCTGATTTCCAGGCAAACTTTTGACTTTTTCCCTGACCCTAAAATATAATTTTTCCATTACTTTAAATAAAAATTCCTGTCTTTTCCCTGAATTCCCTGATTTCCCTGACCTGTGGCAACCCTGAAAAAGTTGTGTCTAACTTACAAATCAGAGCGTTGCAAAATCTGTCCAGTTCGACCTTATCTTCCGACTCGGTGGGCTCTATCATCAGAGTTCCGGCAACTGGCCAACTCATTGTCGGCGCATGAAAGCCATAATCCATTAAGCGCTTGGCAATATCAACGGCCTCGATATTTGCCGATTTTTTCAAATCCCGAATATCAAGAATAAATTCGTGAGCGACCAAATTAGTTTTTCCTTTATAGAGAGTTTTGTAATGGTGCTCGAGTCGTTTACTCATGTAATTGGCATTTAGAATTGCCACCTGAGTCGCTTTTCGAAGACCCTTGGGTCCCATCATTTTAATGTAGGCCCAAGAAATCGGCAAAATTGCCGACGATCCGTAGGGAGCGGCCGAAACCGCTCCTAAACCTTCGGTTGTCTTTATCGTGCCGGTTTCTATATCAATCACCGGATGACCGGGCAAAAATGGCGCTAGGTGTTGTTTTCTGAAAAGTGGAAAACAAAATATTCACTTTTAATATTACAGTAAAATCTTAGAATATAAAGAAAAAATAAACGTACACTCCAATTGGTCCCATGCCAGGTCCACCGCCTCCATGTGGAATACAAAATGTCTTGTGAAGATTCAAATGCGATACATCGCTTCCATAGTCTCCGGGGCGGCAGAGTCCGACCTGTGCATTCATATTGGCACCGTCGAGATAAACTTGACCACCGGCTTTGTGAACCAAATTACAAACATCGCCGATTGTCTCCTCGAAGACGCCATTTGTCGAAGGATAAGTGATCATAAGACAGGATAATTGCTTCTGAAATTTGTCAATCATAGCCTTGAGGTGTTCGATATCAACCGAACCGTCCTTGAGGACGTAAATTGGTTCCACTTGCATTCCGGCCATTTGGGCCGAAGCTGGATTTGTCCCATGAGCGGAAACTGGAATCAAACACACTTGTCGATCTCCATTGCCCTTCGATTCGTGATAACATTGAATTGCACGCAGGCCAGCGTATTCCCCTTGAGCTCCACTATTCGGTTGAAAACTTATTCTATCGTAGCCCGTTATTGCACACAAGTCTTTTTCCAATTCGGAAAATAATTCCTGATAGCCTTTCGTCTGATCTGATGGGGCGAATGGATGGATGTCCTTGAAGCCCGGCAGACTGCAGGGCATCATTTCGGTTGTTGAATTCAGTTTCATTGTACAGGAGCCCTGGAAATTAAATTAGTAATTAATAATTCATTTATAATTGAAAATTAATTCAAGAAGTTGAACTTTCGAGGATTTGAATTTTTGAAGTTTTGAGCATTCGGGGAGTTGAATTTTCTAGATTTTGAATATTCAGGGAATTGAACTTTCAAGAATTTGAATTTTCGAGGTTTTGAACATTCTCAAAATTTATAATCAAACTCTTTAAAACGATTCAATTATTTTCAAAAAATATTCGAAACTTAATTATTTTCAAAAACTATCCGACACTCAATTATTTTCAATATCTAGTATTTTTATAAAATTTTGCAAATTAATTCAATTATTTAAATAAAAATTAATAAAATTCATCTAAAATTCAATTATTTTCAAAAATAATTAAATTTCAAGGAATCCAATTAATTTATAATACTATTTTAAATTAATTAATCGAAAAATTCAATTATTTTCACAAATAAAGTTTTCGACAAGAATTCAATTATTTAAAATAAACTTTTCATAATATTTATAATATTTCGAAAAAATTAATTATTTAAAACAATATTTATAAAATTCTTATGAAGAATTCAATAATTTTAAAAAATAACCAAATTTTTCACAGAAATTTAATTCTTTTTAAACATATAATAAAATTTTTCGCATTAATTAAATTATTTTCATAAATAATAAAATTCTTCTCAGGAATTCAATTATTTTTGGAAATTTGAATTAAATTCTTTGCAACTATTTAATTATTTTTACAAATAATAAAATTCATCGCAGGATTTCAATTATTTTTAATACAATTTTACAGGAATTGCTCAAAAAATGTAATTGTTCGTAAAAATTAAATTTTAATTTCTCGAAAAAATCAATTATTTTAAAAATATGTTTTTTTAAAATTCTTTGGAAGAATTCAATTATTTGCAAAAATATTAGAATTTTCCACAGAAATTCAATTATTTTCAAATATTTTAATAAAATTGTTCGAAAGAATTCAATTATTTTAAATACAATTTTAATTACATTTTTTTTGAAATAATTCAATTATTCTTTTAGATAAAATTCTTTCCAAGAATTCAATTATGTCGATAATTATAAAAATTATTCCTGAAAATTCAATTATTTTGAGGCATTTTAATAAAATTCTTGGCCAATATTCAAGTATTTTCATAATTAACAATATTCATCACAAGAATTCAATTATTTTCAAAAGTAATAAATTTCTTCTTGGAAAGTCAATTATTTTCAAAAATTGTAATAAAATCGTTAGCAAGAATTTAATTTCATTATTTTCGTAAATAATAAAATGCTTTTTAGGAATACAATTATTTTCAAAGAAAATTTATAAAATGCCACACAGACATGCGATTATTCTCAAAAATTTTAATAGAATTCTTTTTAAAATTTTATTAGTTTTAAAAACTTTTCGCAATTGAATGATTTTCAATATTTACTATTTTCATAAAATTTCCAAATAGAACTCAATTATTTAAAAAAATTTTTGTAAAAATCTTCGTAAGCATTCAATTCTTTTCATATAAAAATAAAAATTTTCAGGAATTTAATTATTTAAATTAGAATTTGGATAAAATTAGTCGAAAAAAATCAATATAAAATGGAATTTTTGGCAGTTTTGTGAAGTTTCTAAAATGAGTTTTTTTGGTCGTCAAGTTTAATTTTTCGATGGTTACTTTTTTTTAGTTTGAAAGCTACTTTTTGCTACTTTTTTAAAATTAATTATCGAGTGCAAAGTCTGTTATTTGAAAAACTAATTCTTACCAGGGGAATCATACTGTGCACTAGTGAAACGTCCTTATTTTCTAAAGATTTCATATAGCGAACGATCCTTGTTTCTGAATGATGTGAATTAAAAACTGGATGTGTGAGATAATTGCTGGTCCTTCTAAACGGCGAGACATTCAGATCGTTTTTTACAAAAGATTCTTTTTCTACGATTTCATCAACTTTCTTGGTTACGTTGAATATTTTCAGCAACTCATTCACATCATCAATTGTTGTCGTCTCATCAAGTGAAACTCCTATCGTTCCGTCTTCATTGTATCTGAAATATTCATTATTTTCTATCAGTAATTATTTTTAATTAATCTTTTTTATTGGTGATTACTTTCTATCAGTGTGATTATTTTCTGTCGGTCATTATTTTCTAGCACCTTTTAGCAGTGATGATTTTCTATCAATTATTCTTTTTCAGTAATAATTAATTGATAGAAAATAATTAATTCTATCAGTAATTATTTTCTATATCAATTTTTTTCTATCAGTAATTATTCTCTATATCAATTCTTTCCTATCAATAATAATTTACTATCAATTTTTCTCTCCAATTTTCTTCATACCTTAAATTAACTTTAGCCTGATGAGCCTTCTCCTTGACAGTTTCCAAAGAAGTTTTAGGTAAAATAGTAATTGTATCGAAGAAGTAATCGTTCTCAATGGTATTTCCAGCATCGGAAAGACCTAGAGCGAGAGCAACGGTCAAATAGTGAACTCTATTGGCAATGTCTTTGATTCCTTGTGGTCCATGATAGACGGCGTACATGGCTGACATGTTAGCTAAAAGAGCTTGAGCGGTGCAAATATTGCTTGTCGCCTTGTCACGTCTGATGTGTTGCTCTCGCGTTTGAAGAGCCAAACGAAAGGCATCTTTTCCATTCGTGTCGTGTGTCACTCCAACCATTCGACCTGGCATCAATCTCACTAGTTTTTGACGACAAGCGAAGAAACCAGCGTGCGGTCCTCCATATCCTAGAGGAACACCAAATCGCTGACTTGTTCCCACACAAATATCAATATCGAATTCATGAGGAGGCTGGAGAATCGCCAGTGCCAGGAGATCAACCGCAGCACACACTAATGTCTGAAAAGAAAAATTATTCACTTTACTCCTATTTTTTCCATTTGTAAATTTTGTTTTTCTATTTCTATAATTATTGTTTTTTCTATTGCATTTTTCTCTTGCTTTTACTGAATGTTTTCGATTTCAACTGAATGTTTTCCTCGATGAGAAAACTTTGATTAATTTTCTTACCCCATTCTCCTGGGCCTTTTTGATGACGCCTGTAAAATTATGAATTGAACCGCGAGTGTCTGGATACTGTAGAAGTATTCCGGCGTAATTTTTGTCGCTGGTGTCAACTTTAAAAACATCGCCGACTTCAAGATCTAATCCCAATGATGTGGCTCGTGTTGCAATGACACTAATTGTTTGGGGATGAACAATGTTGGAGACAAAGAGTTTTTTCCTCTTGTTGTGCCTGTAGGCGAGTGCCAGTGCTTCAGCGGCCGCAGTTCCTTCATCTAAAAGCGAGGCATTCGCAACTTCCATTCCGGTCATGTCGCAAATCAATGTCTGATAATTCAATAATCCTTCTAATCTTCCTTGAGCGATTTCTGGCTGATACGGCGTGTACTGTGTAGTCCTGATGAATTTTTACATTTTTAAGTCATCATTTTAGTTTTAGAATTCGAATTCAAATAAAGAATAATTCGGGGCTCGAACCAGTGAGAGTATTTAAAAATACGGACTTTATGAACGAAAAATGAAAAATTACGGACCATTTACAAACAAAAATATAACCAGTCCGAGCCAAATAAGAGAACATTTTACTTAAAAATTATAAATTAAATTTTTTATAACTATAAAACATGAAGATATATCTTCTTTAAATCGATTATTTTCAATAATTTTCGAAAAAGTTTCAAATCCATTTGTTTGCAATATTGAATTTTACGAAATTTCAATTATTCGTAAATTCTACAATTAAATAAATATTAGAAAATAAAAACTTAAAATAACATTTAAAAAATTCAACTAAACTTTTTCAAAAAAATTAATTTCAAAATTCAATTATTTCTAAAAATTCATAAAGAATTTTATCAACAAATTTTTAAATAATTGAATTCTTTCAACGAATTTTAATAAAATTTTTAAGAATAGTTAAGAATATTTTTCGAGAAATTCAATTAAAATTGTATTAAAAATAATTGAATTCCCGAGAAGAATTTTATTATTTATGAAAATAATTGAATTCTTCATAAGAATTTTATAAATAAATTTAATAAAATTTTTAAGAATAGTTAAGAATATTTTTCGAGAAATTCAATTAAAATTGTATTAAAAATAATTAAATTCCCGAGAATTTTATTATTTATGAAAATAATTGAATTCTTCATAAAAATTTTATAAATATTGTTTTAAGTAATTAATTTTTTCGAAATATTGTAAATGTTATGAAAATTTTATTTTAAGTAATTGAATTCTTATCAAAAACTTTATATGTGAAAATAATTGAATAGTTGCAAAGAATTTTATTTAAGTTTTCAAAAATAATTGAATTCCTGAGAAGAATTTTATTATTTATGAAAATAATAGAATTATTGTGAAAAATTTTATTAAAATATTTGAAAAGAATTGAATTTCTGTGAAAAATGTTGTTTTATTAAAATAATTAAAAGTTCAGGTAGAATTATATTAAATTTTTTTTAAATGATTAAATTCTTTCGGAAAATTGTGTAAAAATTTTAGTATAGATATTAAAAATCATTGAATTTAGGAAAATTTTTGAAAGTAGATAATTGAAATTTTGCCAAGAATTTTATTAAAAGTTTTGAAAATAAGTAATTAAATTTCTGCAATTGTTTGTAATTGCAGTAAGTAGTAGTTAAGTAGTAAGTAAATACATTGTCTCAATTTAAAAATAATTTTTCATTTTTTAACAAAGTATTTTTAGTGAATAATTTACAATCTACAGGCCTCGGATCAACTTTAAGGGTCAAAAAAGTCGCTTCAGTGAATTAAAAATACAAAAATGTTGTTTATTTTCTTCAGTGTTAATTAAAAGTTTAATAATTTGGTTAAATAAATATTTAAATACTTGTTATTCATTTTTCCACAGGAATATTATTTTCAATCAACATAACTAATTTTAAGAATTAATTTTTTAAACAATTAAATTGAAGATAATTTTTTATTAATTTTCATTTGAAAAAGGTTTCATTACAATTTTTTGGAAATTTAATTATTTTCAAAATTTGGAATTGAAATTCTTCAAGATTTGATTTTCAAAAAACTTTCTTCGTAAATAATTGAAAAAAATCAAAAAAGTTATACTACCCGAGGCCTGAGTTGATTATTATTTTATTTATTTTTTTTTTGCTTAAATTTTAATTTAAAATTATTTTAATAAATAGTTGTGAAAAATTCTCACCATCCGGGATTTTCGAAAATATTTCTCATTATTGTGTGGGGAACACAACAATTATAATAACCCATTCCGATATATGATTTCCAAATTTCATTCTTCTCGGAAACTTCGGTGATTCTTTTTAGCAAATCATACTCGTCTGTAAAAAAACAAGAATAGTAATTTTTATTCTTGAAAATTTTATTTCTTGGCATTAGTACAAAAAAAAATCACGTGAATCGTTTTGAAACACGAGCTTGACCTGTGACTTCTTGTGATATATGTATATAATATCTGAACTTTAACTTGTAATCAATGGGAATAATTTGTTTTCACGACAACGATTATCAGACTTATTCTCGAAGATATTTAAAAATTAGTTCTTTGCCATTAAATTAAATCATTTAAATTAGTTCTCCAAAGGAAATTAAAAAAATTATTTAATAAGGTGAAAAATATTTTTTTTGTCAATTAAATAAACAAAGTTTGTTTCATTTCAATTTAAAAAATTGAAAATTGTTTTCAAGCGAAGATGTAAATTTAATCAGTTTGGTAAACAATTGTTATTTAATATTTCTTGTTTTAACTTCACTTGCATTGACCTCTTTGTCAATAGTAGATAATTAAGAAAAAAAATTGATCTCATTTAAACTGAAAAGTCTCGTGAATAGTCACGTTTCAAATTCTTGACATTAAATTTATCGAGTAGAAAAATTAATTATACTCACTAACGGGCTTTTCAATATCTAAATCATTTTTGCAACGAATATTATCCGGCACAGCTGTTGAAGTTAACTCGTCAAGGGACTATAAAAAATAAATAAATAATTTCTTATTGTAATAGAAACAATTTTCAAAAAGTATTCGCAAAAAATGTTAGTTTTAAAATTTTGAATTGGATAAATAAATTGATTAATAATTTGATAAATTGCCTTAAATCCCAATAGATTGAGCATCTCATCCTGATGCTGAATTCTAGGTCCAATGTGGCGCGTCTCAAATTCTTCCCTCGGAGGGAAATATTTCTCAAATCTTGAAGCTTGTACATAATTTAATTTAAATCCTCGCGATTGTATCTTCACGTTTTCTTGAACACGTAAAAATTTCCTGCAACCTGACAATCGAAGAGTAAAGTGCATTATTATGAGTTTCGTGAAATGTAATTTTATTTAAACCAATCACTGAAAGTTCCAAGTGATACTAAATTTATAAGCACATTGTACAACTTAGCGGGACATTAAAAAAAGTTGATCTCAGATTTTATACTCACGTGTAGACTTATCACTCATTGATGTCACAATTCGCTGATTACAATTTGAACTTTTCTAACCCTGGCACGCAGAAAAATTATTTTTACTATTTGTCAACTCTCCTTTTCTTTATGCTAAAACTCCATTTTTCGAATTTTTATTTTTCCTTCAATCGAATAACAATTGTTTCTCTTTAAAATTTTTCCTTTTTGCTGAAAATATTTTTCATTTAAAAAATGCGGCATTAATTCCTTTCCCTTTTTTTAAAACATTTTTAAAAAATTATAATCGAATAATTGAATGAGAAAATTAGGATTATTACGAATTAAATTGTTTAAACAATTGTGTCAAGTTTTATTTAAAAAAAAGATCGATTGAAATAAATTAAACTATTTTATTGAAATTGAAGAACTAGATTCTTGGAGTGTATTCAAAGAAATTAAAAAAATAGTCATTTTCTTAAGAAACTAGCTTAGAAATTATAACATTTTTTTACGTCGTTTAATTTGTCATTCCAAAAAAAAATCTAATTTAACTCTTATAAATACTCTGATAAAGAAATATTTCTTAAATTCTCAAACTATTTTTGAAACACTTTTTTCTGAAAAGAGAAAAAATTGTTTAGTCTCTAAAAATTTGTAATATTTTTCGTAAATTGTCACTTCTTGCGAAATAAAAAAAACTATTTCATATATTTGCCAGCATGTTGAGTGAGAATTTTAGCCGATGATTTTGCGTCGAGGAAAAGACTTTCAACCTCATCGACATCCTCTTTCTTTATATTCGTCCGACCATTGACTTTGGCAATTAAAGCTGACGGTGTGAGAAGTTGCACCACATAACGAAGTGTTGTCTTTGTTCCAATATCGCCGAGAATTGTAAGCGCCTCATCGTCAATCTGTAGACCCTCAGTTGTCGCTCTCAATTTGACAATTTGTTCAATTTCATTTTTCGCATACGGCAAAGTTTTAATTATTAAAAGACGATCCAGCAGATCCAGTGGAATACCGTGCGATGAGACAATATCTTCTGTTCCACGAATTATACATTGTCCACGATTTGTGGCGAAAATTACAATTGGAGCTATTGCACTCTCTAGTGCACGATGCAAATAAGTGAACGTTTCAATGTCCAGCATGTGAACTTCGTCTATGAACAAAACACCGGGGACTAATTCTGCGATTCCTTGATCGATGTATTTGTTTACCACTTGGTTTATCTCTTTTCTTAATTTGTCTGAAATTTTAGGAAAAGGTTAGAAAGAAGAAAGGAGAAGAGAGACAGAGAAATCATTAATTGAAAAAAGTTGTTTGCAAATAGTCAGAAAAATTCTAAAAAGTACTATCCGAGGCCTGAAAGAGAACCTTTGAAAGAAAAGAGAATCTTTAATATATAAATTATTTCAATTAGGAATATAAGTAGGAAATTGTAAAAATAATAACAAACTATTAGGAAATTATAGGAAAGAATAAAATAGTAATTAGAAAAATCTTATACGAAACCTGTAATTTCCGTTTTCTTTGGTTTCATCAACTGTCCCATCATGGACATAATATCCTGACCGCCCTGAGGTCTCGAGTTGGCAACGTCCAAATCGTGTAAAGTAACATCCTGAATAACCTCCTTCTTTTTATGAACGTCACCCTTGGGCAAGGGAACGTACTCCTCGGCTTCTAGATCAAATTCAGTGGCAAAATTGTCACTTCTCCCTTGTCTTTTGACAGCACCACTATTCGCCTCAATGTAAATAACATCGCCCGTCTCCACTTTCTCCTTTTGCAGGGATTCGTATATGGATGGATCCAATTTCAATTGTTTCGTTCCTTTTGCCGTCTTGAGTCCAACAATAACATGCGACACTGTTTTTCCATAACCACCCATTGGATTTTCAGTTTCGATCGGTGTCAATTCAGTGACTTCGCCCTCATAAACCTCTTTTGTCTCCTTGATTCGAAGTCCAATTGCCCGACGGAAATTCTCCATCAAAACTTCGGTCTTTTTAATTTCCGAACTGAAGACCTCGGAGCCGACCATTGGACAGAAGGGCACTTTATTTCCTAATTCTTGCGCTATCGCGAGGGCAATTGCCGTTTTTCCAGTACCTGGAGGACCTGCCAGTAGAACTGCTCGTCCTGCCATTTTTTTCGATCTTATCATGTCTACAACGATTCCGGCAGCCTAGAATAGAATTAAATTCTATTTATTTCAAAATAATTCAAATGAATTTATGTAAACAAGAGTGAATTTGAAAAAATGTTTTTTTTTCGAGCATGAAAACGCCGGCATGCTTTTTTGAGGTTATGTTGATGCAAAATTAAAACATTAAAAACTGGGTATTCTTTGTCAATAGCTAGGGAATAGTTAATTTTCTTAAAAGTAGATTAATAGGAAGAAAATACGGAGCAGTGAATTAAATATTTAATATTGGAGTGGAAATACTCCTTCTAACCTCTCTGGCCATTTCTTGACCAACAAGTCCCGCTGCCACTGGATTTGCTATTCCATTTTCGTCTAATCCCAAACCTTTTATATGCGTATGAGCAGAAATTCTCTGCGTTTTAGCAGCACTTTTAACTTCCTCGATTTTCATGATTTAATATTATTATTTTCTTTGTTTATAACTATTTTTGCCTGCGCTTTTGTCGCTTGAATGTTTGATCGAAATTTCTGAATCGCAAAAAGCAGTGTTGCCAGATTTATTTGTTTTCAATTTTCCCGCCGAAATATTTATTCAAATTGTTTCTTAAATTGCTTAAATTTAAAAATACACAATCCGTTTTATTTTTAATAATTTAACTATATAATATTTAAACTGATTAACGTTTTAATATTATATCCGAAGAAAAATGAAATCTGAAAAAAATTCAAGAAGACGTTATTGGCAACACTGTCGTCAACTTTTTGTATTTCATTATTATTTATAGTTCAATTTACACAACAATTTTGTTGAGTAGTTGTTTTTGTTTATGGTTTGCAGAAGGAAAGATTAGAAAAAATTTGTTTACACGATTTCTTGTAAATTTATATTTATTTTAACTTTTTCAGAGGACGATTTAAATTGGCGGCGGGAAAATGAACCAATTGAAAGCGTCGTCATAAAAAACGTCGTCATAAATCTGTCATGGCGAACGGAAGGACGATGGACGCTGTCGTCATTTTTCAATAAAATAATTCGCAAAAGTGAGGTTATTTTGTGAGATTATGGATTTTCAAACCGGTTTATTTTCATAAATTGTAAAATCTGGCGATTAAATAAATAAAGGTGAGTTTATTATAATAATGAACGTTTATTCGCTAGCAAAAAAGTGATTGAAACCATGTTTTAAAGTTTAAAACCGGTTCAGAAGTGATAAAAAATAAAAAGTTGTCAATCCCGTGATTGTTGAATTTATTATCTTGTTTTATCTCAACGATATTTAAATTATTTACATACTAGGTTTGAAAATGGGTCTTTTTTATTAAAAGAAACAATTCCAATGACAAAAAAAATTGACACTAAGTGTATGAATTGTTTATAGTTGAAAACTCGTATGTAAGGTATAACTATATATATAATTAATTTATTTTCTAAACAGTTGACCAACATATGGAATATTTAAATAATTGTCGGAATTCTGTTTGAAAATTAATTTACCGATTATTTTTGGTAATCTTATAGAAATTCTTGTTCTATTATTTTCATTTGTTTGTAACTGTTTTATTTTTATTGTAACTATTTTGATTTTAATTATTATGATATAATTATTATTTAATTATTATGATTTTTATCATAACATGTTTGCAATTATTATTATGACTTATTTTTCATTGTAAATAAGTTTTTTTAATGAAGAGAACTAAGATGTTTATTTTGTTTTGTAGAAAGAGTGCGGTCTAAATCGCTAATTGCGATGGCGGCCATTGAGATACCGCTTCGTGATACGGATGAGGTACGTTATTGCGATAAATATATTTTCCAATTGTTGTTATTTACTAATTTGCATTTTTTGTTTTTTTTTCTTCGACAAAAATTAGGTGATCGAGTTGTATCCCGATCAACTTCCTGATGGTGATGAAGTTCTCGGAATTCTACGGCAGGAAAATGCAAGCCTTCACATCTGGGTCAGCTTGGCCGTGAGTATTTTATTATTTTAACTATTAATTAATTTAAAGAAATTTTTATATATAAATATTCTAATTTATTTTTGTTTTCTACTTTTAGCTTGAATATTACAAGCAATCGAAAATTGATGATTTCATTAAAATACTGGAGTCATCGCGTCTCGATGCAAATACAAATTATCGAGACTTTGAGAAAGATCAGATGCGAGCTCTTGACATGTTGGCTGCATATTATGTCCAGGAGGCGAATCGCGAGAAAAATAAGGATAAAAAACGTGATCTCTTCACGAAGGCCACTTTACTTTATACAACTGCTGACAAAATCATCATGTATGATCAGGTGGGATTTTTATTCTTTTAGATTCGCTCCGGAATATGAATATATTTATTAATTTTTAATTTACAAAAATTATTTTCGTTCGATAGAATCATTTATTGGGACGTGCCTATTTTTGCCTTCTGGAAGGCGATAAAATGGATCAAGCAGACGCGCAATTTAATTTCGTTTTGAATCAATCGCCAAATAATATTCCATCATTGTTGGGAAAAGCTTGTATTGCTTTCAATAAAAAGGATTATCGTGGCGCATTGGCATTTTATAAGAAGGCATTGAGAACGAATCCAAAATGTCCAGCGGCCGTGAGATTGGGAATGGGACATTGTTTTATGAAAATGAATAATCCGGAGAAGGCTCGTTTGGCTTTCGAGAGGGCTTTGGAATTGGATAGTCAGTGTGTTGGCGCTCTCGTTGGACTTTCAATATTGAAATTAAATCAACAATTGCCAGATAGTATAAAATCGGGTGTTCAAATGCTCTCCAAGGCGTACACAATTGACTCAACAAATCCCATGGTTCTCAATCATTTGGCGAATCATTTTTTCTTCAAAAAAGATTACAATAAAGTTCAACATCTCGCACTTCATGCTTTTCACAATACAGAAAATGAAGCGATGCGAGCTGAAAGTTGTTATCAATTAGCCAGAGCTTTCCATGTCCAGGTAACGAAATTATTTGAAATTTAAAAATTGTTAGATTGCTCTTCTCTATGAGGAAGCAAAAATTAATAATTAAAAAATAATAATTTATGAAATAAATTAAAAATCGATTTTTTTTCAAAGGGCGATTACGATCAGGCTTTTCAATACTACTATCAAGCGACACAATTTGCACCGCCTGTTTTTGTGCTTCCGCATTTTGGTTTAGGACAAATGTACATCTATCGAGGAGATTCTGAAAATGTGAGTTAAATATCGATAATAATTTTCGAAGAAGAAAAAATTGTAATGTGTTTTTTTAACTTTATTTTTACTTCTTAGGCGGCTCAATGTTTCGAGAAAGTACTCAAGGCTCAACCGGGAAATTATGAGACAATGAAGATTCTAGGCTCTCTTTATGCAAATTCAACTTCTCAATCGAAGCGAGACATTGCCAAGAATCATTTGAAAAAAGTCACTGAACAACTTCCGGATGATGTGGAAGCCTGGATTGAATTGGCACAAATTCTAGAACAATCCGATTTAAATGGAGCTCTCAATGCTTATGGAATTGCAACAAAAATTCTCAAGGACAAAGTCGGAGTTGATATTCCACCGGAAATTCTCAATAACGTCGGCTCTTTACACTATCGGTAAAGTTAATTTTTTTTTTTTGAAACTCAGGATTGCCATTTGTCATGGGAATTCAGGGAAAAGACAGAGATTTTTATTAAAAGTACTAGAATTAAATTTTTGAACTCAAAATAAAATGCTGAATGTCTTCGTTTTTATTCTCATTTCTTTTGCTGAATGGCGAATTTTTTTTACAAACATTTTGTTTACAGTCTCGGCAATTTGGAGGAGGCGAGAAAAGATTTGGAGGAATCATTGTCGCGCTCGAATCAAGAGGCAGAACACGATCCGGGTTATTATAATTCAATATCAGTGACGACGACATATAATTTAGCGCGATTGAACGAGGCCTTGTGCACATTTGACAAGGCGGAAAAATTGTACAAAGACATTTTAAAGGAGCATCCAAATTATGTTGATTGTTATTTACGACTTGGCTGCATGGCACGTGATAAGGGACAAATTTACGAGGCTTCCGATTGGTTTAAGGACGCATTGAGAATTAATAACGAACATCCTGACGCATGGTCACTGTTGGGTAATCTTCATTTGGCAAAAATGGAATGGGGACCGGGACAAAAGAAATTTGAGAGAATTTTAAAAAATCCGACAACAAGCACCGACGCCTATTCGTTGATTGCTTTGGGCAATATTTGGCTGCAGACGTTGCATCAGAGTGGAAAGGATAAGGATCGTGAGAAGAGGCATCAAGATCGGGCCTTGGCCATGTATAAACAGGTAGAAATTATTTTATTATTTTTTAATTCTAAAAGATTGAATCAATATTAACAAATATCTATAATAAAAAAAAATATCTAAAAAAATATCTATAATTTTCTTGTCGAATTTTTTGTTTATTGTATGATTTTTCAGGTGTTGAGAACTGATCCGAAGAATATTTGGGCTGCAAATGGAATTGGTGCGGTGTTGGCACACAAGGGATGCATTAATGAGGCGCGAGACATTTTCGCTCAGGTGCGAGAAGCGACTGCAGATTTTTGTGACGTTTGGTTAAATATCGCTCATATCTACGTTGAGCAGAAGCAATACGTCAGCGCTATTCAAATGGTAAGATTAAAAAATATTCTTGAAATAATTTCAATTTTCATTTCCTTTTTTTTTACACAGTACGAAAATTGTTTGAGGAAATTTTACAAATATCATCACGTGGAAGTGTTGCAATATCTCGGACGAGCTTACTTCAAAGCGGGAAAACTTCATGAAGCTAAAATGACACTGTTGAAGGTAAATTGTAGACATTGCTACCTTATAAATAAAATATAGAAGTTTTTAATTTACAATTTTTTATTATAGAAAATATGAAATTAATAATTTTCTATTATAAAAGTTATAATTTTTTCGTTTTAATTTACATTTTTTGATGATTTGTTTCGCAGGCTCGTAAAGTGGCGCCTCAAGATACGGTTCTGCTTTACAATATTGCTCTCGTTCTGCAGAGACTCGCGACTTCAATTTTAAAAGACGAGAAATCAACTCTCACCACTGTATTGCAAGCTGTTCATGAACTTGGACTGTCAAATAAGTACTTCCAATATTTAGCCTCACATGGAGATCGAATGGAAACATTGGCTGAAACTGAATCACGACGTTGTCAAGATTTATTGTCTCAAGCGCAATATCATGTGGCGAGAGCTCGACGATTGGACGAGGAGGAGAAACTACTTCGCAAAAAGCAGGAAGAAGAACGGTAAAACTTTGGAACATTTGAACGGTTGTATTATTTTTTTCATTTCTAAATTATTAATTGTTTTTGTCGTTTTGTCAAATAGGCAAGCTTTCAAGCTTCGTCAAACGGAGGAGCAGCAAAAAATGGCGGAAATGCGAAAACAGAAGGAAGAGGAGATGTTGCAGAAGCGTCACGAGTACAGGGAGAAAACGAAAAATGTGCTATTATTTTCGGATATGCCGTCGGAGAAGAAAAAAGGAAAGAAGGTCAGAACTGATCAGTACGTCAGTGACAGTGGTTCGGAGGGTGGTGATCGTAGGGAAGATGTGCCACGGGAGAAGAAACGCAAAAGAAAATCGAGTACCGAGAGGAAGCCGAAGGGCAAAGGAAGAAAGAGGAGAGTTGGTAGTGGTGACAGCGCTGGAGGTAATTTTTTTATTTACTCTCAACAAGAGGGAAATTCAGGGTTGTCACAGGTCAGGAAAATCAGAGAATTCAGGGAAAAGTTATGGATTTTTATCAAAAGTAATGGAAAAATTAAGTCTTTTAGAATTCGTAAGAAAATTCTGAATTTCGGTGTCGTTTTTGTTTGCCTCATAAACTATGAAATTACCACCAATTCTAATACAAAACCTTTAATTTTTTCTATTTCTGACAATAATTTCTTTTTAAACAACTTAATTCTTGAACAACTATCATAAAATTATTACTTTGAAATTATTTAACGAATAATTATATTCAAGTATTTCAAAATTAATTGAATTTTAAGAGTCGCGATTACACTTTTCATAAATATTAGATGAACTTCGAAAGATTTCAAACTGTAATTTTGTAAAATTTCAATTTTAAATGAATTTAATTAGAAATTTCAAAGAACTTAAATTTTTGAAATATTTTAATAATCCAAAATTCTTCTGAAATAAGTTTTATTTAATTTTTTAATATATATTTAATTAATTATTAAAAATCATGCATTTATAGAAGAATTTTAGTTAGAAACACTAAAAAATTTGAATTTTAGAGAAGTTACAAATGTTTGCCGAAATTCAATCATGTTCAAAATTTTTTTAAAATTCTCTTCAAAATTTCAATTATATTTAAAAATAATAAAATTATTCTCCAAAATTCAATTATTTTCAAAAGTTTTTTTTATAAAATTCCAAACGTAAATATTTTTTTCAAAAAACCAGGTTCAGAGAGCGATAGACCGAAAGCGAAACGAGGAAAGAAACTGGGAAGTTCGAAGAAATCGAAGAAATTCCAAGTCGAGACTCCCAAAAAGGGACGAATCATTTCTAAGGAAACAATATCAACGAGTGAGTCAGACAGTGACGATAATCGTCGTAAAGCCTCCCGCGGGTGAGAACAATTCCAATTTTCTATTCATCACTTGTATTATTTATTTATTATTATTTTTTTTATTTATTTTCATTTATCTCTTCTATTATTTTTCTTTCTTATTTATTCATTTGTTCATTTATTTATTTATTTATTTCAAGCAGAGACGACAGCGAGAAAGAGGGACCAAGTGGAAAGCGAAGAATCGTCTCCGACTCGGATGGATCACGATCACGTTCACGCTCCCGTTCACGATCAGCCAAGAGTAAATCGCGATCGAGTTCAAGATCACGATCGGGTTCACGAAAATCTGGCTCTCGTTCAAGATCACGATCCGGATCGCGAAAGAGTTCTCGATCAAGATCAAGATCATCATCAAGATCAAAGAGCGGTTCAAGAAAATCACGTTCGCCATCTGGTTCACGAAAATCACGCTCACGATCAAGATCTGGTTCGAGAAAATCAAGATCGAAATCCGCCTCACGTTCACGTTCCAGATCGCACTCACGATCTAAATCAAGATCAAAGAGTCGATCCGTTTCTCGTTCACGATCGCGATCAGGATCGAGAAAGAGTCGTTCCCGCTCAAGATCGGGCTCGAGGAAAAGTGGATCTCGATCAAGATCTGGCTCGAGGAAGAGTGGATCACGTTCACGATCAGGCTCGAGAAAGAGTCGATCACGTTCAAGATCTGGCTCGAGAAAGAGTGGATCTCGTTCAAGATCTGGCTCGAGGAAAAGTCGATCACGTTCAAGATCCAAAAGTGGATCACGCTCGCGGTCTGGCTCACCATAATATTCTTTTATATGAAATGTATGAAATATTTTACTTGTATATTTAGAAAAAATGCGAAAATCAAATATTGCATTGTGGATTTTTTTCTAGTTACAGGAGAATTTATGCTTGATTCATTTGCAAATTTGACGTCAAGTTTTTTGAAATAATAATTTGGAAATTTTTGATTTCTGATATTTTATGAAACTTGATTTTCAATTGGCAATGAATTACGTTGGAAATTATTTTTTTAGAATTTGATTCTATTTACAGTTTTGTCGATTTTTCCGGATTCACCAGATTTTCAGAACTTAAGAAGAATTGTAGACTAATGTCGAAATATATGTATGTTTTCTAACATTAGAATCTTGTATGAAATGGAAGTTAAAAATAAAACATCAATAGTGGATTTTAGAGTAAATTACAGTGGTCTTTGAATATTTTACTTTCTTCTTTAAAATAGAATTTTCAATTTAAAGAAATACAATAATTATCGTAATTCTTTTTTTTTTGCAAATTGATTTTTTCTGAAGAGAATCGTTTATCAAAATTCGACCTTTTTTACTTTTTGGAAATGATTAAAATAAAAATAGAATTGAGTATGTAATTCTTTTAAAGAAGGGAATAAAGTATTGAAAAAAGAGTGTATTGTTTGAAATTCTCGCGGTCTTTGCGCGACGGGAGGCACATGCGTGTCGCTCACGATCAATAGTTGCTAAGTCAGTGTTTTACCAGCGGAAGGGATACAGTTAAGAGATTGCTTCACTTGCCGATTGGTACTTTCTTGTGCTTACTGTGTGCTGAGAATAATGAGGTTTTTTTTAGAAATCAAAAGATGTCTCACGAGGATAGCGCGAGGAGAATTCTTACTCATAAGCGCTGAAAAAACGAGACGTGTGATATATAAGAGCGATGCGGAGTTTCATTCAACAGGGTCCGATGCACCTGGGAAAAAAGCTATGATATGAGCCATGATATGTTTGAATCACAAATAAGCTATTCTACTTCGGTTGTAAATCAACAGTCCCTGCCCTAGGTGTGACTTTGACCTTTTGCTCCCGCGAACGATGATTTTTTTTTAATTAATGAATTAAAAATTCTTTTAATTATAATATAAAACGAAATATTATATTTTTTATATTTTTCAATATTTACAATTTTTATATTTTTAAATTCATGTTACAATTAAATTAAAATGAGGCTGAAGTCCGCAACGTTTGTAAAAACGAAAAATCAAAAAAGAATATAAAAATGATAAAGATTTGGAAAATATAAAAATTATAAATATAAATTTAAATATATAAAAATTATAAACAAATTTAATAAAACTCAAAAATAGAAGTACGGTGAAAAAAATCAACAGTTGAAATTTGTCAATAGATTAAAATTTAAAAAGATTTGGAATTATTATTTCAATGATTAATAATTATTCTATGAATAAACTTTAAAAATTCACTAAAGAGTTACTTAAAAAATTATATATTTAAATCAATCTTTTACAGATTGTGTAAAATATGGCAATTGCTTTTTTTTGTGTAAAGACATTCGTTCTTCAGTTGAAGATTGCGGCAGCAAAGTCTTGTTATCTTTCATCTGTAAATTTAAATATTAGTATTTCGTTGATAATTAAATAGATGATGACATTAATCATCAAATTAATTAATTGAATATCTAATTAATAAGTTAAACATCAAATTAATTAATTAACTTAATAATCTCGTCGAATTATTTTTTTTACTGACCTTAACGTGAGCGTATAAAATAATACCAACGAGTGTCAATGTAATTCCCATTAATTGATTGATGGCTAGGGATTCATGGAATATTAGTGATCCTCCTAAAAGCAGCAAACAAAATTTGGAATGTCCGACCATATTATATCTATTTGTTTAGTTAAGAAATATATATATTGTGAAAATGAAGTATCTAAACTACTTGTCTAAAGTAAAAACTAAACTTGTATAATCATTACAGGCTTCGCACTTGATAATTATTATTTTTTTTAAAGTAGCAAAAAAATTAAATTTGATGATTAAAAAAACAATTTATTATGTATTTTCTGATTTCTATAAAAAATATTAACTTTTTCTCTTATCCTGGTAATAATTTGATTTCTGAATTTTTCTAAAATGGAATTAATTTCCGAACTTTTAAAAATAATTAAAAAATTTAATAATAATAATAATAATAATAATAATATTTTCTTTTAAAAATAATTTTTAAAAGAAAGTAAAATTCTTTAAAATATAAATTTTATTTCAATGAAATTAAACAAAATTGCCAATTGATTTCAATTGTAAAATTGAATTTATTTTTTAATCAATTCTTATTAAAAAATTATTTGAGAATTTAATTATTTAAATACAAAAACAAAAAAAATTGATAGAATAATTAAAGATTTCTAAAATTGAATTTTATCAAAGTTTTTAAAAATAATTGAAAGTTTCCATGAATAAAAATAAATTTGTATGGAAAATAATTGAAATCCTGTGAAGAATTTTATTATTAATAAAAATCATTGAATTGTCACAAAGAATTATATTATTTTTTCTTAATATTTGAATTACTGAGAAAAAATTTCCGTGCTTTAGAAAATAATTGAATTTTTCTGAAGGAATTTTTATTAAAAAATTTGAAAATTATTTATTTTTTTCAAGAAATTTAATTAATTATCAAAATTTTTAAAAATACTTTAATTCCACCGAAGAATTTTATACAAATGTTTGAAAATTTGAAAATAATTGAATTGTTTTGAAGATTTTCATTGAAATTTTTAAAAATAATTGAATGCTATCAACAATTTTTCTTAAAATTGTAATGAAAATAATTGATTAACTCTGAAGAATTTTATAACTTATGAAAATACGTAATTCAATTCTTGCGACAAATTTTATTCAAATTTTTAAAAATAAGTGAATTGTTTTGAGGAAGTTAATTAAAATTTTGATAAATAATTGAATTGTTTCAAGCTATTTAAGTAATTATCAAAATTTTTGAAAATAATTTAATTCCTACGAAGAATTTTACAACCGATGAAAAAATGTAATTCAATTTTCACAGCGAGTATTATTCAAATTTTTTAAAATAATTGAATTGTTTTGAAGAATTTCATTCAAATTTTTGAAAATAATTGAATTCTTTAAAGAAATTTAATTAAAAATAATTAAATTATAAATAAAAATTTTATTAAAATTGTATTGAAAATAATTGAATTCCTGCGAACCACTTTATTATTTATAAAAATAATGAAAAAATAATAAACTGTAAAAATACAAATTCAATTTATTGTTTCAAAGAAAATTTAAATTCTATCAAGGGAATTTTAATAAAATCCAATTGAAAATAATTGAATTTTTCTAAACAATTTTATCAAAATTTTAGAAAATAATTGAATTATTTCATAATAATTGAAAATATAATATAATTTGAATATAATTGAAATTATATTCAAAGTAGAATTCTTGCGATGAATTTTATTATTTATAAAAATAATTCAATTCTTTAAAAGGATACGTTAGAGGCGATGTGTAACCGATAATCCAATAGGACGTGAGATTCACGAAAAATGCAATGATACCTGACAGAAGAACCATTGTCTGGAAAACAATACAAAAATTAATACTATCAATATCGATTTAAAGAATTAAAATCTAATTTAAAAATAAAAAAAAAATTGAATCCATTCTTACTAAATCGAACAAAGTCCATTCGAAAGTAAACGTTTTTCCTACAGGTTCGAAAAAGGGAATAACAACCCACAACATTATTGCCGATAATGGTGCCTGATAATACAAAAGTTGCATCGGATCCATTTGAAATTGCTTCTGTTTTTTATTGACCAGCTGAAAAGAAAGAGAACAATCAATAACAAATTTTCTAAAATTCTATAAATATCTATTTCTATATCTACAAAAATATACTATTTTAAATATTAATTAAAAAATAGAAATTGAAAAAATTCTTACAACTTGATATAGAGAAGTGACAATAACTCCTAAACCAGCGTAAACAGTTCCCAAAATATTGAACTGAATATCGTAATAAAAATTGAGAATGACACCTAATATTATTGGTATTAATGTCAACATGACAGTTATCGAGAATGATTTTTTGTAAAAAATTATTTGCATAAAAATAACGCATGGTGTTGTCAACATTTTGGCAACCTGATAAGTTCCAACAGTATTGTGGGCTAAACTCAAATTTGTCAGAACGACAAAACCACAGAATGACATTGCAATAAGGATCATTTCCTTAAGGGGAACATTTTTAATGCAAAACACATCGAATTGTTCGCAAATTATTAAACCCAAGAATGTTATTACAAAATGTATCATAGAAAGTGTCATGTTTGGAAATTCAATTTGTACGTAAAGCCATTTATTCAAAAGGACAATAATTATCGAAAAGAAGACATTTAATATTAAGTAACAAGTTGTCAATAGTTTTCTACTCATGATTATTGCTTTCTTCTTTTATTTTATCAATAATAATTGTATTATTGTTTTGAAATGTCACAAACTCTTAGGTTAGGAATTGAAATTTGAATTATATTTTATACAGCAATAAAAATTATTAAACACTTCCTGATGGTAATTCATGTTAATTACTATATTATTTGGTATTAAATTAATCTCATTTAAGTATATACAGAGTGACTAGAATTTTGGAAATTTTCAAATTAATTGTTTGAAAATTTGTTGTTATTTTTGTTTTTTTGTTGGCGCTTGGCACACTGGAATTTTTTTTAGCGCCTCTAGTGGTTTTTTAGTGAAGCTTTATAACAAATGTGCTTGGCGCGCTCAACGGTTGTAGACGTTGCAAAATATTTCCTTTTTTGTGCTTATTTAAATGAAAACTTAATTAAAAGGTGTTAGTAATAGTGATAAGAGATAATGGAGTTTCCCCTCGGTTACAGGGAAGTCATTCCAGACCAAACTGTACCTGAGAAGTGGAAGGAAATCACCCTGAATACCGGTTTGTTTAACCTAACCTTCAAATCAATTTTTTATTTATCTTGTTGAAAAATTATTATTTTTGGGGGGTAGATTAATAATTATGGTGCTTAATTTTTATTTTGGATTGTTTCATACCCTGGTAATGTGTGTTGAAAGAGAATATTTTCTTGTTTCGACGTGACTTAACCTTCAGTTTATTTTACAAATTTCTTTTTAACAAACATTTAACAAAGAATAGAAACTGATTGTTTTCAGTTGTTTGTTTGTATTCGTTAATTTGTTTGAATCATTTTTGAGTTATCATTTGTTTCTGGTACGAAGAGTATGATTAATGGTAATATTTATTTTTACAGGTGGAAGTCAAAGTACGTTACAGGACATTAAAGTACCGGAAAGAGCGGGTGGTTATTCGTACAAGGATTGCTCGAAATATTTCACTCGTAATCGTTTCATTTATTGGAGAATATGTCATGATATTCTTGAATTAGTTGAGCACAGTTTGGATGTTAATTTAGCGAATTGTCGAGTGCGTTACAAGTTCACGGATACACCAATTTTGGATGGTATTTCAATTCACGAAACAGCGAATTCAGTTATTATTCTAATTGCCACAGTGTCTAGTATTCATAAATTGAGTTTCCCCCATCCGGACAAAATCCACAGACAGGTAAAAGGATTTTTTGTTATTAAGATTAATCAATTAATAGTTAATCAATCGATTACTTAATTGATATTGAAAATTAGGCTAATTACTAATCAATAATTTCTTTTTAAATAACTTAATTCTTCAATAACTATCGTAATTTTAATTTAAAAATTAATTAATTAAATTAATTTAAAAATTAATTTTACTTAAATTTATCAAAAATAATTAAATTCTAAAAGAGTTGCGTTTACAATTTTCATAAATAGATGAACTTCAAAAGGTTTTAATTTGTAATTTTATAAAACTTCAATTTTGAATTACATTAATTAGAAATTTTAATGAACTTCGATTTTTAAAAAATTTTAATAATTAAAATTCTTTTGAAATTAATTAAAATTTTTAATATCTAATTAATTATTAAAAATAATGGATTTATAGAAGAATTTCAGGGTCTGAATTTGAATGTTTTGAAAATTTTAATTCCTTTGGAAAAATAATAATGATTAAATATTTATTTAAAACTGAAGTTATTGGTGTTTTTGAGAATAATTTTACAATTAAGGAAATTCGTAAATAAATGTCATAGAACATTTTGTTTAATATCTAATAATTTTTAGAGTGAATAATAATATTCTTTAGGGTCAGGGAAAAAATCAAAATTTTGTCTGAAAATCAATGAAAAGTGAGGAAAAAACAAAATTAAAATTTGTGGTAATCCTGAATCATTCAATTAGTTAATAGATGGTAAAAATTACATCAAAACTGATTTCAGGAACCTTTGCTCGGCTCGCATCCGGATCTAAGTATTCAATCGATTCTCAGTGAAGCATCAGTGCAAACTGCAAGGGATCCTCACACTTTTCACGTTATTCCAACAGCTGGAACTACAAGTAATTTTTTTTGTTTTATTAAATTGGAATTTGAAAAAAGAAAAATAGTTTCTAAAAAAGAAAAATATTTCTTTTTAGATTCGCCGGTTCCACACGCGGCGGCATCATGGCTAACATTACCGCAGGAGGAGGCTCTTTACGCTTTGGCGTACAGTTCGGGTACAATACTTATGTTACGCTTGGACACAATGACGGGTCTTGTGCACAGTCACGAATTAAAACAGGATTCGATAGTACCGCGTTTCCTGAGTGGAATAGCGACTGCTTTTCGTGGTCGCAGTTCCGAGGGTCAAGTTCCAATGGCACTTGAAATCCACACATGCGGCAATGACACTTATTTATTTGCTCTGTGTCGCGAGGGAAATGTTCGCATGTGGTCATCAAATAAGGCGCAGTGCATCGCCGTCACGGATGTTGCCATTGACAATAAAGTCGCCTCACAAGGTGCGCAAGGTCACGTCCTCCGAAAGGCTGTCAGCTCCGAAAATGAACTCTATCTTGGAACTTATCTCAAATTTGGAAATGGTTGCGAATTCAGTATTTTAAAACCGATCCAGGACGCTGGGGTTTTTAAATTTATTCGCGTTTGTACACTCTTTGCTCCTGATGTGAGTACTTCTTTGATCTTATTTTTATAAGAGGGTTGCCACGCAACCTGGAAATGTTAGGGAATTAATTATTATATATTATTCTTTTCGTTTAATTTCTTAGTTGTAATTAATATTTTTTTTATTGTTATTTTTCTTGCAGCAACACTTGGTGGACTTTTCGTTCACAACGACGAGACTGTGGGCCGTTTGGAGGACAACGGACAACGACACGGTGGCAGTGACACACGCACAATTGCCATTGAACGGAGCACAAATCAGTTCCGAATGGGAGACGGCAATTCTGGAACAACCACCTGACAGGGATTATATTGTAAGTGATCCGGGAACGGATCCACGGCAAGCTTATGTTAATTTTATCTTCCATCCGGGACAATTTTCATTGGCTGACATAACACGAGCTCTTAGTATTTATCGACGTTCGAATCTTATTGCGGACATAAGTTTATCGCCGGCAGTACTCAAGGAACGTGTTTGCATGGCAGTTGAGGCTGATATACAAGCAGAAGTTATGGACTATGAATTAATGGATGAGGACTATTTGGAAATAGCGAATCGTTGTTGGTCGAAATTCTATTCGTGCGTGGTGCAATATCACGTGAATGGTTCGCGACCTGTTGGTTTATTATTGTTGCAAAATGTTTACGGTGTTGCTTTATTGAAGAAATCGTCCTTCTCACTTTTACGACCAATGGAGGCACTGGAGCATTTAATGCTCTCGAATGAGAGGAGTTATGTGTCGAGATTTAAAACAACGCCCGTATTATCTCAGGATGATGGTATTTGTCAGGATTTGATAATGCTGATGTCGTCACTTGTCATGCTCGAGGATCAGATTTCCGAGGAATTGAAAGCTAATATTGAACGGGAATTGTATAATCTTAAGAGTCCGGATATTATCGTTGAGGATATGCTCTCGAAACTTATTTTAGAAACTGATGATCCGGTATGTGATTTTTTTATTTTATTACAATTTTATCTGTAAACTGAAATTTTATTTGTAAGTATTTTTGTTTCTCTTTAATTATTTTTGTTTTATTGAACTTTTTCAGCTTTTGGACTACGATTTTCAAACGGAGTTGAATCATAGACTGAAGAATGTGAGAGATGTTTCGAAAGCGATGGCGATGCTATTGGAGGCGTTGACTTACGATTTGGGACAGCCGAGTAAATTGGATCTTCAAGATAATCAGGAAGCGTCGCGAGCTTTAATGAACGTCAGTCATTTATTTGGCAGTCAATTGGGAATTTCGACAATTGCCGAGTCTGTGTCGCAAATTACTCTCCTTAGATTTTCGATTTGTCGCGATTTGTTGATCCTCCAGCAGATTATTTTGACGAGACCGGAATTATTCAATTCCTCATCGTTACACGCAATCAGATCGACTTTAGCACCGAGAACTGTTGAACTTATTCAAGCCTATTTTGTTGTCATTTGGATTTGCGGCTCTAATGCCACTTCTAATCTTTCTCCAGCTCTACTGTAAGTAAATTTTGACAAATAAACTAATAATTGAACTATTAACTAATTAATTACATTTTTTTAAACTAATTAATGACTAGAATAAAACAAATTAAAAGAGTAGATTTTAATGAAAATTAATTTGATAGGGAAACAAGTGTGCAGAGATTGTCGTTATTAAAATTAACGGATTCAAAAGTGAATGTAATACAACGACAGCAGAGATCGCTGTCTCTATTGGAATTATTCATTCAAAGTGGAGGTGCAAAACACGCTCAAAAATTGTTGGCAAATACATTACCGGAACCATCAGCTTTAATTTTATGGCACTATGGAATGCTGACGCATTCTACTCTCATCGCACAACTTGTGTATCCTTTTTATCATAATTATTTTTCACAGGAAAATATTTAATTAATTATTAAATAATAATTATTAATTCGGGACTGCAATGTCAGGGAATTTTATCAAAAATATCAAAGTTTCAGAATTAATTGAAAAATTCTAGTTTTTAGTGTAAAAAACACTTTTATAAGACTTAAAAACCTTGAATTCTTCTTTAATTTTAATCACCTTAAAATCATTTAAATAAAAATAATAGAAAAAATAATAATAATAAAGAATAATAATAAATAATAAAAATAATAATAATAATAAAAAAATAATAAATAATAATAATAATAATAATAATAATAATAATAATAATAAATAATAATAATAATAATAAAAAAATAATAATATTTTAATAGAAATAAATTTAAAAATATTACCCTGATTTTTTTTATTTCGGTAAATAATTAAATTTATTTCGAATAATTAAATTCTAGAATAACTTTTTTAAAGACATTATGAATTGTTTAAAACGAAAATATTAAATTAGAAAGGATGTTAGTTAAAAAAATGTTACAATTTTTAGAAATAATTGAATTTCAGAAAGTTTTAAAATAAATATTTTCAAAATTTTCATTCTCATGAAGAAAATAATAAAAATTAAATATTTATTCACTAAAAATTTAAAAATATTACCCTGATTTTTCTTATTTCGGTAATTAATTAAATTTATTTTGAATAATAATTCTAGAATAACTTTTTTAAAGACGTTATGAATTGTTTGAAATGAAAATATTACATTAGAAAAGATATTAGTTAAAAAATTGTTGCAATTTTTGAAAATAACTGAATTTTAGAAGGTTTTAAAATAAAACTTTTCAAAATTTCAATTCTCGTGAAGAAAGTAATAAAAATTAAATATTTATTTAAAAAATTATTTAAGTTTTAGGCAATTTTAATTTAATTCTTTAAATATACTTAAATTTTTAAAATATTTTTATATAAAAGAAAATTAAGAAAATTTATTGGAGAAAATTAAATTATATAATTGAAATTTTGTAAAATTGAATTAGAAATAATTAAATTTTTTAAAGAACTTCACCAGAGATTTATAGAAAATCGAATTTTCAACGAATTTTAATTAAAATTTTTGTCAATGAGTTAATTTTAAAACAATTTAAATTTATAATTCTTTTTCTAGGAATTAAAGTTTTAAAAAATTGTAAAATTCTAAAAAATTAGTTTTTTAAAATTTTTCGGTTCAATTTTCTAAAGATAATTGAATTATTTTAAACAAGTAATTGAAAATTTTTAAAATAAGTAATTAACATTTACAAGAATTCGAGTAAAAATAATTGAATTCTTTAATAATTTCACCAGATTTCACTGTAATTTTTGAAAATAATGGAGGGAAATTTGCCACAGTATAACTAATTTTATTTTTTAAATCGAAACTCTTAAAGTTGTATTTTAATTTTTGGCTTCTAAAAATTATCCTTTTTTGATTTTTTTATAATTTAATTTCCCTTGAATATTTGTTTTATGATAGGAAAAAATTTGAATTTTTTTATTATAGGAATTAAAATTCTATCTGGAAATCAGAAAAATTCAGAAAAAGACAAAATCAAATTTTTGTGGCAACCCTGATTCAAATTTTTCTTTTTCAAAGTAAATCTTTTATTCGTAATTATGGTGAATTAATTATTAAATAAAATACTTTCAATTTTGAGAATGTATATAAATATTTATATTTATTTATATTATTTATTTTTTATATAATAATTTATTGTAATTTTAGCCTTTTGGCCCGGAAGTGGACTTGTTTTTATATATATTTATTTATTTCTCATTTGTAATGAGAATGTGATTGTCAAACGTTATTGAATCCTTAACGAACAATTTAGTTGGCCAAGATCGGGAAATTTCATTTTTCCAAAATGGCTCCTGTCGAGCTGTCAATTTCTCCTTGTTCAGGAGTACGTTCGTCTCCTAAGTAATTGGTGTGAATGGAACAGTGCCTCGAGGAAATTTATTCTAGCCGTTTCACTTTTGGAAATGGGCGAACCGCAAAAGGCGTGCGATCAATTTCTTCGCTCGTCAAATGGTGTATTAACGGATCAGTTTATTGCTGACAAATTTCTGGAACCAACATCAATAACGGAGAATAATGCTCTCGTCAATTATTATTTAAAAGTTATTGAACTTTTCGATCAGCATAATGCGTCGGATTGTGTTATTGAATTGGCCGAGACGGCAATTGCAATTGCTGATAGAAATGATCCAAATTTACCGACATTACATTCCATTGTTTTTGCTCAACATCTCAATTTGGGGCATCACGTTGAGGCTTATCATTGTTTGAATTCAAATCCCGATTCAGCGAGACGTGTTGATTGTTTAAGACAACTTGTTGTCACACTTTTCGAAAGAAAGAAACTCGTTGATCTTGTTTCGTTTCCATATGTCGATATGTATGAAGATTTGGAGAGAATTGTTGAGGGCCGAGCGAGGAGTGTCGATTTAATGGAGAATAATTATTATAATTTCTTGTACAGTTTCCATGTTAATAAGGGAAATTTCCGGAAAGGTAATTTAAGCATTTTCTTAAATTTTAAATTGACTAGACTAAATAGTTACAAAGTTTCCAAATTAATTAATTTACGATTTTTCTGATTATTTTTTTAGCTGGATCGGTAATGTATGAGCAAGCGATGCGTTTGGGACAGGAATCGCATTCGGCGCCGATTATTTCGAAACAGGCGCAATGCCTCTTGGCTTGTATAAATTGTTTGAGTTTGGTTAATGAAAAATATCGTTGGATCGTCAGGCCTGTTGTTGATCAATCTTTTTATGAAGAAAAAAATCCAAAGACGAAACGAAGTATCGATGGAAAGGAAGTGCTTCATTATAAGGTGAAGAGACAAGTGGAAGTTGTTGAATTGAAGGATATCAAGAAGGAATATTACATCGTTGAGGCAAGATTGAAACTATCGAAACTCAATTCCGAATTGCTTGTTGTCGCACAAGTCGGTAAGTAAATTTTAATTTGTCAGCATTGTTGCTTCTTTTTTGTTCTCAGTTTGTTCTTCAGGGTGGCCACATGTCAGTAAAGTCAGTAAAGTCAGGGAAATGTCAGGAAAAAAAATGTTGTCAGAAGAATTAAGAAAATTAAGACTTTTATCGATTTATTTTCAAAAATTGCGACTTTTTCGACTTTTCTTCCAAACATTGCAACAAAATACAACAATTTTTTAGTAAAAAAAAAATGCAACTTATTTTTATTCTTATAATACGAAAAATAACTATAAGCAAATCTCTCAAAAATTGTTTTTTAATCATTTGTTAACATCATTAAATTTTTCAAATATATTTATAATAAAAATCTTTTTAAATAGTTAAAATTTTGTAAAATTTTAACTAATTGAAATTGAATTAAATTTAATTGAAATTAATTTATTTCAAGTATTTATTTACAATTTTTAAAATTCAATTTTTGAAGAATTTTAATTGCAAATTTTTGAAAATATTTGAATTATCAAAAATTTTAGTGAAAAATCTTTAAAGGTAAATTTAAAAATGAAAATTAATTAACATTAGCTTCTAATTTTTTAAAATTCAATATTTTCAGTATTTTCAATTACATATTTCCAAAAATTTAAATACATACAACAATAATAACATTTTAGAATTATTTTTAACATTTTGGAGAAAACAATCTTGTTCAAAAGTTATAATTAAAATTCTTCGAAAAATTAATTAGTTTTTCGAAATTGTACAAAAATTCTTTTAAGAAATTCAATTAATTTCGAAAAATTACATTAAAATATTTTTAAAAACTAATTCTTAAAATTCTTTTCTCATAATTTTTTAAGATTCAATTATCTTCAAACAAAGTAAACAAAAATTTATGAAAATTTACTTTTTGGACTTATAAAAAATTTTTGAGAAATCATGGGCCTGTTTATTCAAATACATCTATAATAGAAATCTTTTTCAATAGTTGAAATTTTGTAAAATATACCTAATTGAAAATAATTTATTTCAAGTATTTTTTTACAATTTTTGAAGAATTTTAATTTCAAATTTTGAAAATATAATTGAAATATCAAAAATTTTGATGAAAAAACTTTAAAGGTAAATTTAAAAATGAAAATTAATGAAAATTAGTTTCTAATTTTTTTGAAATTTAATATTTTCAATTACATATTTCCAAAAATTCAAATACATACAAAAATTTTTATTTATATTTTTCAAAAATTCAATTATTTTTAAAAGATTTTAGCAAATTTTAATTGTTTGGAAATTTTTCAAAATTGAAAAACTAATTATCTTTCAAAAATTATTTAAAAATAACTTAAGAAAAAAACATGAACAGTTACAATTATTATAAAAAATTGAATTTTCGTATTTAATTAATTTAATTCTCGAAGAATTTTCGGAAAATTATTTAAAATAATTGATTTAAAGATGAAGTTTAGTTGAAAATTGTAGAAAATAATTGAATTCAGGAAGTTTTATAATTGTAATTTTTAGAAATTATTAAAATTCATAAATTTTACTCATTTTCCGTAAAAATTCATATTTTCCTGTAAAAAGAATTTTGTCAGGGAAAATAATAATTTTAATGTCAGTAAATTGTCAGGGAAATTGATAAACTGAAACTTGGGACCACCCTAGTTCTTTTTTCTTTTTAGTTTGTTTTTTGTTCTTAGTTGTTCATTCTGTTCTCAATTTATCTTTTTGTTCTTAATTTATTTTTCTAGTTTTCTTAGTTATAAAAAGAAATTTATTATTTTTATCAATAATATTCCAATTTTTCTATTTTATTTGTGTAAACGTAGGACCTGATGAGTTGATAGCTATTTTGTCGAGCGTTGGATTGTACGTGACGGCTTTGCATTTATGTGAACAATTCGGAATTGGAAAAGGCTCCGTACTTGAAAGTTTAGCTTCACAGTGCGTGAGATTGAGTCAACAAGATGATCCAAAAGCTTGGGATTGGCTTATTCTCAATGATGTCTTTGGTAAACGATTATAACTAAAATTATTATTCTACTTTGAATCCTAAGAATACTAATTAAAATCTTAATTATTTTTTTTCTATTTCTATTTCTAATTTTAATCTTAATTTTAATTCTAATTAATCAAATTAAAATCCCAATTGTCCCACCTAAAATTAATTAGAAAAATCCTACGTAAAATAAACCTCTCTAATTATTCCAAAAAAAAAATTCTTTCTCAATTTTCTATATTTTATTATAGATATTACATTATCAGCATCAAATGTGGCGAATATTGCTTGGAAATTATTGGAGCATTTAACATTGACGCATGAGAAGGAGAATCAAAGTGAATTACATAAAGGAGTTGCCAAAAAACTTCTTCATCATGGAGCATTTATTCCAGCTTGGCTTATGTCTTCCTATAAGGTAATTTAATTGAAGGAATTTTTTTCTATTGGCTTTTTGGAGGAATTTTTTATTCTTATTTTCAAAATTTTTTGTTATGTTTTAGAAACGAAATGCCGCTGAATTGCTACGACTTTTATTGAACATGGGTCGAATACTCGAGGCAAGTGAACTTGCGATTGATTTTATAAGAGCAATTTTGGGCAAAGGAATGGAACACTTTGATTTTGAATCACCTCTCGTGGCAACAAAACCTCCCGTTTGGTTACCATTAAATACTGTCGAACTTTTATTATTGGAATTAGAACACGCAAGTAATGAAGATAAAAGTTATATCGAGGTAAACATTCATTTTGCAAATTATTTAAAAACAATAAAATAATAGTAATAATAATTAAATCAGAAAAAACGTTATTTTTCTAATAATAAATTTAAATTTTTAGACCTACGATGATTTGAAGGACACTTTGGAAGATTATATCGAAATTGTAAAACGCGTGTCAGTTGATATGATACAATACAGAACACTTTCTTAACAAGTAAGTAATTTCAAATTTTAAATAAAGGATTAAATTTAAAAAAAACAATTATTTATATTCTAATAGAAATATTCTTTTTTATTTTCAGATTTCAATCGATTTCCGTAATAAACGACTGATTTTCACTGGCACAAAAGAAAATGATTTATCAAAAAAAAAGAATGATCTATTTTTCCGTGAAAATTTCTTGTAAATATCTCCTCTTTTTTTTACTTCTCAATGTCTACACAATATTAGATAATTTTCTTCTTCAATGTTCACAATTTATTAATTTATACGTTTATAATTTTAAAAGTCAACAATAATTTTTTCAAACAGTTAAAAAAAATGTGTGCCAATAACTTGACTAAGATAGAAAAACAAATTTTGCACGTTTTTTTTTTTGTTTTTAAATAATCTCTTTCTTTTCAAAGTGAAATAGAAAAATTAGTAAATAATATTTTGTTAGTATTTTTATAAGCAATATAATTGTCGAGAATTAATTTGAAAATTTCGTATTTTTATGTTGAGTTGGGTTTTTTTTATTTTGTTAAATTTGACTTTCAATTTTTTTTTTTCTGTATGAATTGTTGTCATCGTTTATGGTGATATTTATACTTAGTAAATAAGCAACGTAATTGGCAAAAGTCATTTTTGTAAAGGAACAATACTTTGATAACTGAATAAAAGTAAAACTTTTGTAAATTTATATTTTACTAGTTCTATTTTAGTAATTAGTAATTAAAATTTTTCTTTTATATTCAGAATTGAATTTAATCTCCAAAGAATCCAAATATATTCAGAGAATTAAAAAAAGATTTTAAATAGTTCTGAGAAATTCAATTATTTCCAATACAATTCATCTTGAGAATTCAATTATAACATTTGAATAAAATTCTTCGTTAGAAATCAATTATTTTCAAAAATAATAAAATTTTTCTTGAGAATTCAATTATTTTTAAAACTGTTGATAAAATTTTTCATAAAAATTCAATTTTAAGAAATATTCAATTATTAAATAAATTATTTATTTTTGAATGTAAATAATTGAATTCTCGAAAAAGTTTCTAATAAAAATTTATTAAAAAATGAATTTCAGGTAAAATTTTAGATAATAATTGAATATTAAAATAATGTTCAGCTATACATTTTTAACACTCAAAGTTAATTAATTAAACTTTACAAACAAAACAATTTTCGGATTATTTAAATTTCCCTCCCATTGTTGCTTCATTCAAACATAACCTCAAAACCGGAAATAGCGTCACGATTATCAATTGTTATTTTTTCGGTTTTTTCCAATTGGGGCTAAAATAAAGAGGAATAATAAATTAAATGAATGGAAAGTATTTTTAAATTAACGAAATTCGTATAAATTCCATTAAAAAATAGCCGAAAATGGTAAATATTTGTGGGAGAAGGAAACTGGTGGTACTTTGGGTTCGAGTGTAGAAAATGGATCGATTTATGCCAGTTTCCTGTGCGAAGGCAGCGTGGACGTTAAGAGGTGGGGTTAAACGAGACGTTCTTCTGCTCGTTCGTGTCTTGAACGTTCTTCATCCTACTTTGACATCGTAGTCCGGTCGACGGACAAAAAAGTATAAAAAATGGCCCTATTGTCCCTTCGTCTGGCTGCCTCTGTGGCAAGACAACTGCCAAACGCCACTGTACAGGTAAATTCCACAAAATTTTTCACACAGTAACAACATAATTCGGAGCAAATTTTGCAAGTGTTATATGAATGCCTTGAGAGTGTGCGCCGACATTTTCCATAAGTGCCACCGGTCATATTTTTAATATTTAAATCTCGATTTTCTTTTCTTCTCAATTCTTTATCTTCAGTTTTGAACAAAGTGTTTTCATTCAGTAAAATTGTTATTTTGCTCTAAAATAAAAATACCGCCCTCGATAATAGTCCCTCTATTACATAAATGAGACGTTATGTAATAAGTATTTTGGTGATGGGGAAAAAATGATTGTTTTCACTAGGAATTCAATTTTTTCATTTAGATTAAATATCCAGCGACTGGAATTGCTTCACGTAAATATCATGTCTCATGCAGTAGAAGATCTGCTGAAATTTCTGCAATTTTGGAGGAACGTATTCTTGGTTCTGCACCAAAGGTGAGTTTTAAAAACGTTTAAAAATCGAATTTTAAAATTTGAGAAGAATTTTAAGTTTAGAAAAGAATTTTACTTGAAAGAGGAAATAATTTTTGAGGGTAAAGAAGATGAATGTTTTTTTTTCGTTGTAGGCAAACTTGGAAGAAACTGGACGTGTCTTGAGTATTGGAGATGGTATCGCTCGTGTTTACGGTCTTAAGAATATTCAGGCCGACGAGATGGTGGAATTCAGTTCTGGATTAAAGGGAATGGCCTTGAATTTGGAACCCGATAATGTTGGTGTTGTCGTATTCGGTAATGATAGGCACATTAAGGAAGGAGATATTGTCAAACGTACCGGAGCAATTGTCGATGTGCCAGTTGGTGAACAATTATTGGGACGTGTTGTCGATGCCCTGGGTAATCCCATTGACGGCAAGGGACCACTTAACAATAAACTTCGTTTCCGTATTGGTACCAAGGCCCCTGGTATCATTCCTAGGTAAATTTTTTTCTCAATTCTGATAGTATTTTTAGTTGGTGGAAATTATTTTGCAATCATTTCAGATTTCACAATTAATTTACCTAGTTTTCAAATTAATTATTTGGGAATTAATTCAGTTGGTAAATGTTATTTTGAATTTATTTATTTGGAAATTATTTCAGTTTGGGAAAATTACAGGGTTGCCACAGGTCAAGAAAGTTAGGGAAATTAAGGAAAAGTCGGGGATTTTTATTAAAATTACTGGGAAAAAAAGAATTTTTAAAATTCATAAGAAAATTCGTAAAATACTTAATTTTGGTGTCTTTTGTTTGCCTCATAAACTATGAAATTACCACAAATTCTAATACAAAACCTTCAATTTTTTCTATTTCTGACAATAATGTCTTTTTAAAAAACTGAACAACAATTATAAAATTATTACTTAGAAATTATTTAATGAAGAATTTTATTTAAATATTTGAAAAATAATTGAATTTTAAAAGAATTGCGTTTGCAATTTTCATAAATAGATGAATTTCAATTTGAAATTTTAGGAAATTTCAATTTTCAATGAATTTAATTAAAAATTTTAAAGAACTTAGATTATCGAAAACAGAAGATATTGATGTTTTCGAATAATTCCATAATTAAATTGTCTGGAAATCAGGGAAATGGAAAATTAAATTTTTGTGGCAACTCTTGAATTAGCTTTTCGTGAAGTTTGTGATATTTTTCATTACTTATTTGATTTGTGTATTTTTCTAGGGTGTCTGTCAGGGAGCCTATGCAAACCGGTATCAAGGCTGTCGACTCTTTGGTGCCAATTGGTCGTGGTCAGCGTGAGTTGATCATTGGCGACAGGCAAACTGGAAAGACTGCTCTTGCCATTGATACAATTATCAATCAGAAGCGTTTCAATGACGGTGGCGAGGAGAAGAAAAAATTGTACTGTATATACGTCGCCATCGGTCAGAAAAGATCAACCGTTGCACAAATTGTGAAACGTTTGACCGACAGTGGAGCCATTGGTTACACTATTATTGTATCGGCAACAGCTTCCGATGCCGCTCCTCTGCAGTACTTGGCGCCATACTCCGGCTGTGCCATGGGAGAATTCTTCAGGTATTTTCCCCTTTTCATCCTTTCTTTTTTCATAATTGTATTTTCTTTTTAAAATTCGTTTCTTATTTCATAATTACGTTTTTTTTTCTTCTCAAAATTCTCTTGAATTGAAAAGAATTTTCCTTTTTAAGAATTGAATTGAATTGAAAAGAATTTTCCTTTTTAATAATTGAATTTAATTGAAAAATAAGAAAAGTATTTTCTTATAATTGAATTTGGAACTTTTATTTTTGCAGAGATAATGGAAAGCACGCTTTGATCATCTATGACGATTTGTCGAAACAGGCTGTGGCTTATCGTCAAATGTCTTTGTTACTGAGACGACCCCCAGGTCGTGAGGCCTATCCAGGAGATGTGTTCTATCTTCACTCGCGTCTCCTTGAGAGAGCGGCTAAAATGAACGAGTCACTTGGTGGTGGTTCGTTGACCGCCTTGCCAGTCATTGAAACACAAGCCGGTGATGTGTCTGCTTACATTCCCACCAATGTCATTTCCATCACTGACGGACAAATCTTCTTGGAAACTGAATTGTTCTACAAGGGTATCCGACCTGCCATCAACGTCGGTTTGTCTGTCTCCCGTGTAGGATCTGCTGCCCAGACCAAGGCCATGAAGCAGGTTCGTTCCATTTTTCACTAAAGTTCCTTTTTTTCATTTTTCTTTCTTTTTTTCCTTTTTTCTTTCTTTTCTCCTTTTTTTCCTTCTTTCTTTCTTTTCTCCTTTATTTCTTTCTTTTCCCCTTTTTTCCTTCTTTTATTTCTCCCTTTTTATTTTCCCCAGAGTTTATTTATTTCTAATTTAGAATTTTGCAATGTTTCTAATTTCTTTTTCTTCTAAGTTTATCTATTTCCAGGCCTCGGATATTATGATTTTTTCGACTTTTATCGACTTATATTAAAAAATTGCGACTTTTTCGACTTTTCTTCCAAATTTTGCGACAAAATACCATATTTTTAGTATAAAATGCTGCAACTTTTTTCGATTTTTACGCGCAGTATAAAAAATAGCTGTAGATATGTTGAAAAATAAATCCTTTTTTTTAAGTATTTTATTATAATTTTTGAAAATTAACTAAATAGAATTTTCATTGAAAATTTTGGAAATAATTGAATTTTTAAAAATTTTAATGAATAATCTTCAAGTGTAAATTCGATAGAAAATAAAAATATTAAAATAGTTTTGAAAAAAGTAATTCTCTGACAAAGTAATTTAAAATTTTTTAAAATTTACTATTTTAGAATTTTTGAGAAATTATTTATAATTAAAATTCATTAAAAATTTGATTATTTTTTAAAATATTTTTTCAAAACTCAATTATTTATATGCTTATTAAATTTTTTTGCAAAAATTTAATTATTTTAGGGAATTTTATTAAAATTCGTTGCAAAATTCAATTATTTTCATGAATTTTAATAAAATTTATGTCTAAATTCAATTTTTTAGAAATTTTAAAAAAATTTATTGCAAAATTCAATTATTTTCAGGAATTATAATAAAAATGTTTGTCTAAATTCAATTTTCAGGATTTTTTAAAAATTTATTGAAAAATTCAATTATTTTCATGAATTTTAATAAAAAAAACTCTTTGCAAAATTCAATTATTTTCAGAAATTTTATTAAAACTTTTGCCAGATTTAATTATTTTAAGGAATTTAATTAAAATTCATTGCAAATTTTAATTATTTTTCAAAGATTTTACTAAATTTAAATTATTTTTTAAAAAGATTTTACTAAATTTCAATTTTTTAAAAAAATTTTAAATTGTTATGTAATTGTAAAACTATTGCATCTTTCAAAAATTATTAGAAATATTTTTATAAAGTTAATTTTACGAATTTATTTATGTATTAAAATTTTTTGAATATATATTCTACCTCAATATCTTTAAAAAGAAAAATAAACGGTTTCAATTATTATAAAAATTGTATTTTTGTACTTTAATAATTGAATTCTTGAAGAAATTTCGTAAAAATATTATAAAGTATTATAGATAATTGATTTAGAAATGAAGTTTAGTTAAAAATTGTAGAAAATAATTGAATTCTTGTAAAAGTTATAGTTTTAATTTTTAGAAATTATTAAATTTCAGAATTTGAAATTTTTTAAATTTTATTTCCTGGTGAAAAAAGAAATAAGAAGTATTTAAATATTTTATATAGCAAAATTATACAAGTTTTGATTAATTGAATTTTGAAATCAGTGAAGAATCAGGGAAATAGAAAATAAAATATTTATGACAATACTAACTTAAATAATCGACTTTTTTTCTATTTTTAATCGACTAAAGCGACTTTTTTTGTTCGTTAAAGTCGATCCGAGGCCTGTTAATTTCTAGTTTAGAATTTTGCACTGTTTCTAATTTCTTTTCTCCCAAAATTAGGTCGCCGGTTCCATGAAATTGGAGTTGGCCCAATATCGTGAGGTCGCCGCCTTCGCCCAGTTCGGTTCCGATTTGGACGCCGCAACACAACAACTTTTGAATCGTGGTGTTCGACTCACTGAACTTTTGAAACAGGGACAATATGGTAAATTTATTTATTTACTTATTTACTAAGCGTTGTAAATGCTAAATTTAATATTAAATTTCAAAAATTATTTTTCCCCAGTGCCCATGGCCATTGAAGAACAAGTCACTGTTATCTACTGCGGTGTCCGCGGCTACCTCGACAAAATGGATCCCGCTAAAATTACCGCCTTCGAGAAAGAATTCCTCGCCCACATTAGGTAAATTTTTTCTATCCTCGAAAATTAAAATTTAAATACAGTTATTATAACGTATATATATATATTTTTTTTTAATATAGATTAATTAAAAATATATATTATCTCTTAATTTTACGATAATTTTAGGTCGACGCAAAAAGACCTCTTGGCAACGATCGCAAAGGAGAATACAATCAGTGAATCATCAGACGCAAAAATGAAGAAACTCGTCACTGACTTCTTGGCGGGATTCAATGCATAAGAAAATCACTCGCTTTAAGGCCAGAGGCGTCTTTAGATCAAGTTATCGAGAGTCGAAGAATCCGCGTTATTGAAGATTCAAGTATAAAGTGACGCACTTAAAAGAAAAAAAAAATTACCCGAATGATGTTCATTCGCAATAAACGCGTCATGTTTATACTCCCAAAAAAAGATGTCATTCAAAAGCAATTCCATTTACGAACGATACAAAGAAAACACAACACAATAGTCCAACATATTATTGATACGTTAACAGTTGGTTCTTTAATAAAAAAGAATTAAAAATATTCGATTTCGTGTATAAACATCTTCTCTGTCTTTTACTGTTTTCTTTTTCTTTTTTTTGAAATAAAAAGAAGACAACATTGTTATTTTATTATTTCTATTTTTCAGTTTAAAAATATGTAAATTGTATTTAAATATCGCATCTATAATCATTTCACAAAAACAATGCACGAATTCGAGCATAAAATAAATATAAAATAGATAACAATTTTTCTTAGTTTGAAAAATTTGATTTTATATTTCCTTTAATAATCAAGGGGGGGGGGGTTGATTTTAAATATTGATAACAAAATTGGTTGCTATTTACCTTTAGGATGCTACATCTTTTTTTCTTTCGTCAAGAGCAGTTTCACATACTCCAGGAATTATGACTCGATTTATTTTCTTTTTATCAACGTGAAGGGAGTCCATTACTTTTGTTATTCGTCCAGTTGCTATTGTTCTTTTTTGCTCTCTGACCGTGAAATTTTGACCGACCATTACTGGCATTTTATCGAGAAATGTTATTCTCGTCGTTGCGTGTTCACCAGGCATTAGGATTTGTGAACCTCCGGGAAGAATGAGATCGAATCTTCCATAAATAGACCACGTTGAACAGTAAACTTGTGTGCAGAATCCATTCACCTGGAAATTGATTCAAAAATGTTTTTTTTAAATATTTTTAAACTAAAAAAATAAAATATTTATTAGAATGTAAATTCTAAATTCTAAATGTAAATTAACTGTATTAATTTGAATTCTTATTTAATTGGGAAGAAATTTTGTACTCACGGGAATAGGTTTCGTTCTTCCACCTTCTTGAGTTGACATTAAATACATTTGGGCTTCGTAATGATTACTAATCGTGAGGGTATTAATTAGACAAAGAATCATTCCTTTTCGAACAGCATTGTGCTTTACTCCTCTTATCAAAACGCCCACATTTTCTCCAGCTTTTGCCATAGGGATACTTTTTTGAAAAACCTGTAATTGAAGAGAATATTTTCAAATTGCGAAATTGCGAAAGAAAACAAAAATACTTTTCGAGTATGAAAAATTAATCTTTCCTGAATGTCAGCAACTGATGTTTTAATTTTTTCATCGAAGCCAAGTAAATGACAATGCATGTTCTTTTGCATTATTCCCTGTTTTATTGTTCCAACGACAACGGTTCCTCGACCAGGTACATTGAAGAAATTATCAACAGGCAAAACAAATGGAGACGTATAATCTCGGGTAGGATTTGGAAGATAATCGTCCATGGCATTTAGGAGATTTTTTACAGACGGAACTCCATATTCGGAAGTATCACCTTTTAAGGCCAGCAAAGCAGAACCTCGAATAAACGGAGTATTATCACTATCGAATCCGTAATTTGATAATAATTCTCTAACTTCTATTTCCACCAGGTCCATCATTTCATCGTCTGACACATCTGCCTATTAAAAAAGTTAATTCGATCACAATTCAATTTTCAATAATATTCTCTATAAAAATTTTTTCTTGAAAAAAAAAATTTCAAAGTCAAACCTTTTTAAAATTAAACAGCTTATAAAAAATTATTATAAAACATGAAGAAATCGATCACTCCGAGTCTTCGACTCGGAGCAATCGATGTCTTCATAATGTTTTCCATAATTTTTAACTAAAACTTTTCTTTAAATTAATTATTTTTAATAATTTTTAAAAAAGTTTTTTGAGAATTTTCATATCTATTTGTTTACAATTAAATTTTATGAAATTTCGATTATTCGAAAATTCGTCAGTTAAAAATATATTAGAAAATAAAAACTTTAAATAACATAAAAAAATTCAATTAAACTTTTAAAAAAAAATTAAATTTAAATTGTATTAAAAATAATTGAATCTCTGTAAAAAAAATTTGATTGAATTAAAAGAAAAGTTTTTGAAAATAATTGATATTTTCCCAAGAATTTAATTAAAATTTTTGAAAATAATTGAATTTTGGAGAAAAAGTTTATTATTTATAAAGATAATTGAAATAATTGAATTCTGCAGATAAATTTTTTAATAATATTTTTTTTAAATACCTAATTGAATTCTATTGTAAAATTTAATTGAAATAGTAGATATTGAAAATAATTGAATTTTGCTAAATTATTGAAATTAATTAAATTTCCACGAAGAATTTTATTTAAATTATTTTGAAAAAAGAATTGAATTGTTTAAAATTACATTAAAATTTTTAAAAATAATTTAATTCTTTCGAGAAATTTAATTAATAATGTATTGACAATAATAATTAAATTCTAATAAATAAATTATAGGAAGGCTTTTTAAAATTATTGAATTTCTCTGATGAATTTTAATAAAATTTTTAAGAATAATTACATTTTTTGAGGAATTTCATTAAAATTGTATTAAAAATTAAAAATAATTGAAATTCTGCGATAACTTTTATTATTTATGAAAACAATTGAATCTCTTTAAAAAAATTTGATTATTTATGAAAATAATTGAATTATTGCGAAGAAATTTATAAGGAATTTGTAAATAATAGAATTCCTGTGAAATTTTTATTATTTATGAAAATAATTTAATGTTTGCGTAGAATTTTATTCAAATTTTGTTTAATAATTGAATTCTTTTAGAAAATTGAATTATTGCGAAGAAAAATTGTAAACCCAGCTCTATTAAAATTGAAATATTTAAAAATAATTAGATTTCAAGAATAGGCACAATAACTTTAGAAAACAATAATTTTCCAGGATTCCAATCAAAATTCCCTGACTTTTCCAGGTGTTTTCAATGTTTATAAAATTCCCTGACATTTCCAGATTCTCCAGGTTGTGTAGCAACCAATAAATAATATTATTTTATTATTTATTATAAATAAATATACAAAATAAATAAATACATACCTTGTTTACATACACAACAATATACTTGATTCCAATTTGTTTAGCAAGCAGAAGATGTTCCTTTGTTTGTGGCATTGGTCCATCGTCAGCGGCGACAATAAGAATCGCTCCATCCATTTGCGATGCTCCGCTAATCATATTTTTAATAAAATCCGCATGTCCCGGACAATCTGTATGTGCATATCGTCTTTTTTCCGTCGAATAGCCAACGTGGGCAATATTAATTGTAATTCCTCGTGCTTTCTCCTCCGGTGCCTTGTCAATTTCATCATAAGAGACATATTTACAATCCTTGTTGATTTCTGATAAATACTTGGTAATTGCGGCAGTTAATGTTGTTTTCCCATGATCGACGTGTCCTATTGTTCCTACATTGCAGACAAGATCTTCCGATTCAGAAACAGTTGAAAATAATCTTCGTCTCGTATGAAAGAGAAATGAATTCTCAATTTTTCGAAGATTACACTTCAAATTATTCGTTTTCAACAGTGTTCGAAATATAAATTTTGACATTAACATTTTCTTCGTATAGTAGGCGAGGGATATTTTACTTTTTACAAATTTCTCACTGTGAGAAACAAATTTTTAATCCATTTTAAACATTTTGATGTTTTGTTTTGAAATTCAGGTAACATAACCTCACTTTGATCATATGGATCATATATGTCATACCTAACCTTACTTTAAACTGTTTTTTTCCGTATTTCAAGAGAAGAAAATTAAGAATTTGAAAAAGAAATGGAAACTAAAGTAAATAGACGATTGTCATTGAAAATAAAGCTATAAGTAATTTTTTTACTGCAACATTGATTAAATTTTAAAAAAACGGAAAAGACTGTAAATACCGTTAAAAGGGGTGTAAAAACCTAACGCAATTTTCGTCACTTTACGTAACAGTTGTAAACAATAAACAACTTTGATACAATTGTTATTTAAAATCATTGATTCGAGGGTAGACTATAGATTTCTTTTCAAAAAAGCAATTTTTGCTTGGTTTGATAACAGAGTTATTGAAATAAAAATTCTTTGACGCGCGTCCAGACCGGAAGTGATAGAAATAAAAAGTAGAATTACCAACTGTAGAAAAGTGATTACTTTCCACTTTTTATTTTTCCTTCAAGAAAAAAGAAAGGAATGATAAATGTATATAAGAGATACTTTTTCAAACAGAAAATCCAGAAAATTAACAATAATTTGGTAGGATTTAGTACCTAAAGAATATTTGTTTTAAAACCGGAAGTAGTAGTTATGTTGGCAATTCTCGTGCATAGGTCACGTGACAAGACGACGTTTAGCCTCAATGCGCAAAAGCAACTGCGCAGCATTCAAACTTTCGCAGTACGTCAGCCATATTGTCATTACTTCTTACACAACGCCCTCAAGCGAACAATTCAGAGTTACGAGGTAAAACGATAATAATTTCCAATTATCGAATATTGGGCGTGTTCCAAACTTGAAATAATAACGGATAGTAGTGTGAAAAATTGTATTAGAGTGTTTTTAGTGGAATTACAATAGTGTGAAAGCCGTACGGTGTGTGAAAAAGTTGGTGAGTAGTAGACATTGTAAACTTTGAGCGACTGCATCCTTTTGAGCTGCGCCCTCCATATTGATGACAGCGCCGACAGTGATAATTTTCTGAAATTTTTGTCGTTAATGCCCCCTGTGTCCTGAAGTCGAAAGCACCCACGTTGTCTTAAAAGCTTCCCGACAGAATGCGCGGCTTCTAGGACAACACCAACCCAATGCCTATGAATTAATCCTGGGGACCGAATATCCTAGTTGCCGTTCGCGAACTCCTTGTCGACCTCGGCATGATTCCGCCTTTGAACAGGTCAACATTAATCGAACCATGGCGTCTTTCCACCGCTTCGCTTTCTTCCCCTCTCGTATTTCATACATTTCATATTATGATCAAAATCATTAACGTGCTCTCCTTGTTTGTTTAGTTTTTTGTTTTTAATTATCCGCTACGTGAAGATGATTGCTTCGACGATGATCGTCTCCTGGACAGGGACCCATCGTCACGCGAATTTAGTGACACTTCCGGGTTTATATTCATATATCATTTTCTTGAGCTATTGATTTTCTTTCGACTCTACTTTGGCCTTAGTTTTCTTGTATAAAGTACAATCAAGGTAATTGGCTCACTTTGCCTGGATTTTTTAAAAAAGGAACGAAATTAATTATCGGATTTTGTATAATATATTATAATTTGTGATTATATTTAATATTGTTGGAAAAAAACAATTGAAAAGAGGACAAATAATATAGTGTTCTTGTTTTTCTTTTCTTTCTTGTTACATTGTTTTTTCTTGTAAATTTACTTTGATTGTTCGATTATATCTTACTTTTTATTATGTAATAAAATTAATTAATTTTTGTTTGTTTTGAATTTCAGTTACAACTTTTTTTTATTCTAAAAGTTTCATGATTGAGTCACGCAAAGATGACAACTAACGTGACTACTATAAAATTGGAGGGTAATCAGGAAACCGTAACGGAAATACAAACTTACCTGGAAACCTTCAACAAGGAAATAGAAGGTGGCCAGGGTGAACAATTTCAACATGTCCAGTGTAAGTTTTTATTTTTTATATTTTCAGGGTTGTCTCAGGTCAGGGAAGGCGGGGAAAGTAGAATTTTATTGGTCAGGAGAATCAGGGAAAAGTCTGGGATTTTTTATTGAAAATATTGGAAAAAATTTAATGTTTAGAATTCATAAAAAAATAATGAATTTTTGTGTCTTTTTTGTTGCCTCATAAACTGTGAAATTACCACGAACTCTAATACAAAACGTTCATTTTTTTCAATTTCTGACAATGATTTCTTTATAAACAACTTAATTCTTGGAGAACTTTCATAAAATGATTACTTATAAATTATTTATTGAATAATTTTATTTCAATATTTCAAAATTAATATAATTTTAATTATATTAATTCAGTTGCTTTTAAAATTTTAATAAATAGATTAACTTTGATAGGTTTCAATTCGAAATTTTACAGAATTTCAATTCGAAATGAATTTAATTAGTAAATTTAAAGAACTTGGATTTTTGAAAAAAATTTTAATAATTCAAATTTTTCTTAAATTAGTTAAATTTTTTGATGTACATATTTAATAAATTATTAAAAGTAATAGATTTATAGAAGAATTTTAGTTAAAAACACTAAAAAAAATTTAATTTTGGAGAAGTTACAAATAATTGCAGAAATTAAATTATTTATAAAGATTTCAATCAAATTCTTCGCTAAAATTCAATTATATTAAAGAATTAAATATAATTCTAATCAAAATTTCAATTATATTTATAAATAATAAAATTCTTCACCGAAATTCAATTATTTTAAAAAAATTTAATAAAATTCTTGGCAAAGTTTTAATTATTTTCAAAAATTTTCCTCAATTCAATGATTGTCAATGTCTACTATTTTAATAAAATTTTCCGAAAGAATTCAATTATTTAAAAAAAATTTTGACATAATTCTACGTAAATATTTAATTATTTTCATAAATAATGAAAATTCTACAGGAATTCTATTATTTACAATAATTTAATTAAATTTTTTATAAATTTCTTCGCAATAATTCAATTATTTTCATAAATAATAAAACTCATCAGAGTTCAATCTTTTTTAATCCAATTTGAATCGAATTCTTTGAAAAAGGTAATTATTCTTAAAAGTTTGATTAAAATTCGTCGAAAAATTATTAAATTAATTATTAAAATTTTTCTCCGAAATTCAATTATTTTCAAAAATTTTAATAAAATTCTTAGTAAAATTTCAATTATTTTAAAAAATTTACTGATTGTCAATATCAACTATTTTAATAAAATTTTACATAAGAATTTAATTATTTGAAAAAAAATTTGGTAAAATTCTACGCAAATATTTAATTATTTTCATAAATAATGAAAATTTTTCAGAAATTATATTATTTACAATATTTTAATTAAATTTTTTATAAATTTCTTCTCAATAATTCCATTATTTTTATAAATAATAAAAATCCGAGGAATTCCATTATTTGCATAAATAATAATTCAATTATTCAATAAATTATTTATTTTTGTATTTAAATAATTGAATTCTCGTTGAATTTTCTAATAAAAATGAATTTAAGAATTCATTCTTAAATCAATTTTTCAGTTAAAATTTTGGATAATAATTGAATATTAAAAGCACTAGAGCGGGAATTTTTAGAAATAATTGAATTTTGAGAAGGTTTTAGATTAAAATTTTTGAAAATCTCAAAGAACTTTTTCAAAAATTATTAAAAATAATTGATTTGAAGAAGAATTTTAGTTCTAGAAAATAAGTGAATTGAAATGATGAAAATAATTTTAATTATTATAAAATATGAAGAAATCGATCACTCCGAGTCGAAGACTCGTGTTTTTTTTATCTTCGTGTTTTATAATAATAATAATAATAATAATAATAATAATAATAATAATAATAATAATAATAATAATAATAATAATAATAATATTCTATAAGTCATTGAATTTCAAAACGTTTGAATTTGAAATTTTTTAAAATCTTAATTCCTATGAATAAATAATTATTATTAAAATAATTGTTTTAAATAAAATTATTAATGTTTTCGAATAATTTTACATTTAAAGAAATTCGTAAATAAATGTAATTAAACATTTTTTTCAGAATCTAATAATTTTTATGTTGAATTAGAGGGAAAAATTAAAATTTTGTCCTGAAATCAGGGAAAAACAAAATTAAATTTTTGTGGCAACACTGATTTTGCTGTTATTTCTATATTTTTTTACTCTCTATTTTCTTTATTTCCAAAAAAGAAAATTTCGAAAGAACGAAAAATATTGAATATTTTAATTAATTTGCAGTACAACAAGTCGAAGGTCTTTCTGGTGGCGAAGAAGGTGGAACGTACTTCGTTGATCAGTCAGGACAATATTATTATCAAGCCAGCGGTGATGACACACCTGTAATGACCCAAGTTCAAATACAGGAAGTCGAGGATACTGAGGGACAAACTGAAGGCGACACTGCACCAGATGAACAATATCAAGAACTCGAAGAATTAGAACAAGTCGAAGGCGAAAATGTAATTCATTTACTTTATATTCTTTTGTTTTATTGTTGAATTGGCAATTAATTACTTTTGTAATTTATTCTTATTTTCTCCGGTTATTTATTTTTTTACTGTTTTTTTTACAAGTGTTGATTTACTAATTTTATTTTATTTCAATTTATTTGTCTAATTTTATTTCAAATTATTTGTCTAATTTTATTTCAATTTATTTGTCTAATTTTATTTTTATTTATTTGTCTAATTTTATGGTTTAAATTTAGGGACAAGCGGTTAATGCAACGAACAATCAAGTCGTATTGAATTCAAACGATGCATATCAAACGGTGACAATTGTTCCCTCGGACACTAATCCAGGTGAAGTGAGCTATGTCCTCATAGTTCAGCAACCCGAGACTGATGAGAAACCAAAATGCGATAATGAGGCAGGAGAGGGCGAGGAGGGCGATGGTGAACAGGACCTCACTGTTTATGATTTCGAGGATAATGAGGACAATGACGCCGCAGTTGAATCCGAAACAGAGGATGATAAAACTAAAATAGTCAAATACATTCCCAGAAAGTCACAAACTGTTACACAAGCACACATGTGTAATTATTGCAATTACACAAGTCCTAAGAGGTAATTTTCTATTTCTATGTTATTAAACTAAAATAAACAAAAGTTAAAATTATTTTTATTAAATTACAATAAAAAAAAAATAAAATTATTATTAGATTACAATTGAAGAGAAAGTTAAAATAATAAATTCTTGGATTTTAGATATCTTTTATCTCGACATATGAAATCTCATTCAGAGGAAAGACCACATAAATGTAGTGTGTGCGAAAGAGGTTTCAAGACTTTGGCATCACTTCAAAATCACGTTAATACACATACCGGGACCAAACCGCATCATTGCAAATTTTGTGACAGTGCATTTACAACGTCCGGTGAGTGAATTTTATTATTTTTCAAAAATTCGATCATTTTCTTCTTCTCGATAAAAATTTGTTATGCATGCATAAATGGAATGCTTCATTAAATTAAGTCAAATCATTTGCAAACACAACGAGGTGTTTTGTATAAACTTTTTATTTCACCTTTGCTTTGCTTTCTTTTGTTTCCTTTTTTGCATGAACTGTGTCTACCGACATGTTTTGCTTGAAATATTTTTATGTCTTTGCGAAAATTATTTTTGTCGTATGTGTGTATGAAGAAAAATACAATATAAAACTTATTTTCAATTTTTGTGCACGTCACGATTTTTTTGTTTTCTTTTGTTTCGTCTTTGAATTAAGTAAAAATATTTTTTGAATATAATTTTGTTTGGAGAACAATATTTTCCATTTTTTTTTTTTTTTTTTTTGAAAAAATATATATTTCAGGGTGGCCACATGTCAGTAAAGTCAGGGAAATGTCAGGAAAAAAATGTTTTTCAGGGAAATTTAGAAAATTGAGATTTTTTCCACTTATTTTTAAAAAATTGCGACTATCTCGACTTTTCTTTCTAATATTACAACAAAATAATAATATTTTTTACTATTAAATGTAACTCATTTCGATTTTTATAGTGCGAAAAATAACTATAAACAAATCTTTCAAAAATAATTTTTGAATTATTTTTCTACTTAAATTCTCGAATACAATTAAGAAGATTTTGAATAATTGAAATTTTGTAAAATTTAGTTGAAAATATTTAATTTTTTTAAAAGTATTTTGGTAGAATTTTTAAAAATCAACTTTTGAAGAATTTTAATTGTAAATTTTCAAAATAATTGAATTATCAATAATTTTAATGAAAAATCTTTAAACGTAAATTTAAAAATTAAAATTGCGACTTTTTAGACTTTTCTTCCATGGGACAAAATACTATATTTTTAGTATAAAATGCTGCAACTTTTTTTTTATTTTTACGCACAGTATAAAAAATAGCTGTAGAAAAATTTTTCGAAAATTATTTTTGAAAATTTGTTCTAATTAAATTTTTGAAATATACAATTAAAAAGATTTTGAATAAATAAAATTTAGTAAAATTAATTGAAAATAAATCCTTTTTCTCAAGTATTTTATTATAATTTTTGAAAATTAGCTATTATAGAATTTTTATTGAAAATTTTGGAATTAATTGAATTTTTAAAAATTTTAATGAATAATCTTCAAGTGTAAATTTCGATAAAAAAATGAAAATATTAAAATAGTTTTGAAAAAAGTAATTCTATGACAAAGTAATTTAAATTTTTTTGAAATTTACTATTTTCGAATTTTTGAGAAATTATTTATAATTAAAATTCATCATAAATTTGATTATTTTAAAAATATTTTTTAAAAACTCAATTATTTATTCGCTTAATAAATTTTTTTTGCAAAATTTAATTATTTTAGGGAATTTGATTAAAATTCGTTGCAAAATTTAATTATTTTCATGAATTTTAATAAAATTTATGTCTAAATTCCATTTTTAGAATTTTTAAAAAATTTATTGCAAAATTCAATTATTTTCAGGAATTTTAATAATAATTTTTGTCTAAATTCAATTTTCAGGATTTTTTTAAAAAATTTATTGAAAAATTCAATTGTTTTCATGAATTTTATTAAAACTCTTTACAAAATTCAATTTTTTCTGTAATTTTATTAAAATTCAAATACATCTATAATTTTAATAAAACTCTTTGCAAAATTCAATTATTTTCAGAAATTTTATTAAAACTTTTGCCAAATTTAATTATTTTAAGGAATTTAATTAAAATTAATTGCAAATTTTAATTATTTTTCAAAGATTTTACTAAATTTAAATTATTTTTTAAAAAGATTTTACCAAATTTCAATTTTTAAAAAAAAATTTTTAATTGTTATGTAATTGTAAAACTATTGCGTCTTTCAAAAATTATTTAGAAATATTTTTAAAAAGTTAATTTTACGAATTTATTTATTAAAATTTTTTGAATATATTCTACCTTAATATTCTTTAAAAAGAAAAATGAACGGTTTCAATTATTATAAAAATTGAATTTTTGTATTTAAATAATTGAATTCCTGAAGAACTTTCGGAAAAATATTAAAAAGTAATATAGACAATTGATTTAGAAATGAAGTTTTGTTAAAAATTATAGAAAATAATTGAATTCTTGTAAGGGTTATAGTTTTAATTTTTAGAAATTATTAAATTTCAGAATTTGAAATTTTTTAAATTTTATTTCCTGGTGAAAAAAGAAATAAGAAGTATTTAAATATTTTATTTAGCAAAATTATACAAGTTTTGATTAATTGAATTTAGAAATCAGTAAAGAATCAGGGAAATAGAAAATAAAATATTTGTGACAACACTAAATTAAATAATCGACTTTTTTTCTATTTTTAATCGACTAAAGCGACTTTTTTTGTTCGTTAAAGTCGATCCGAGGCCTGGAAATTAATTAGTTTTTTTTAAATATTACAGAAACTTTTGGAAAATTATTTAAAATAATTGATTTAGAGATGAAGTTTAGTTGGAAATTGGAGAAAATAATTGAATTCAGGAAGGATTACAATTGTAATTTTTAGAAATTATTAAGTTTCATAAATTTTACACATTTTCCGTAAACTTTCATATTTTCCTGTGAAAAGCATTTTGCCAAGGAAAATAATTTTAATTGTCAGTAAATTATCAGGGAAATGTCAGGGAAATTGATAAACTAAAACTTGTGACCATCCTGATATTTGAATCTGATTTTGTTTGGTAAACAAATATTTTGTTCGGAGGAAAAAAAAACAATTTGACGATTATTGGTTACAGGTGAACTTGTAAGACATGTTCGGTACAGACACACTCATGAAAAGCCGCACAAATGTCACGAGTGTGATTACGCTTCTGTTGAACTGTCGAAACTAAAGCGACACATTCGTTGTCATACTGGAGAACGACCTTATCAGGTACGTTTAAATCTTATTTTATTTTCATATTTAGGTGAATTGGTGCGTCACACGCGATACAAACATACGAATGAAAAACCTCATAAATGCACAATTTGCAATTATGCCAGTGTGGAAAAGAATAAATTACGCAATCACATGCGCATTCATACAGGAGAACGTCCATACGAGGTTTTTCTTTATTTGTCTATTAAAATATTTACTTTTTCTTCTTTATATCCTCGACGATATTTTACAATACAATTTTTCTTTTTTTCTCATGTTTTTCCTTTTTCTCAAATTTTTCTTTTTTTCGTATTTTTTTCATAATAAATTTTTTCATAATTCATTCTTTTATTATTTACGTTTTTTTACATTATTTTACAATTTTTTACATTACAATTTAAAAAAAAGCTACTCTAAAATTGTAATTAAAAGTAATAATTTCTTTAATATTCAAATTGATTTTGTAAACTTGAAATTGATAATAATTTCTTCCGCAGTGTCCACATTGTACTTACGCGAGTCCCGATACTTTCAAATTGAAGCGTCATTTACGAATTCACACTGGTGAGAAGCCATACGAGTGTGATATTTGTCAGGCGAGATTCACACAGTCTAATAGTTTGAAAGCCCACAAATTGGTTCATAATGGTATGTATATATTTTTTCTTCCACATTTTATACTCCATTGTTAACTTTTAATTATATATTTCCTTTTTTTCTCTCTTTCTCTCTTTTTCTTGAACAGTTGGTGACAAGCCGGTTTTTCAGTGTGAGCTTTGTCCGACAACGTGCGGACGTAAAACGGATCTTCGTATTCACGTGCAAAAATTACACACTTCGGACAAACCGTTAAAATGTAAACGCTGTGGAAAAACATTCCCCGACAGGTGAGACGGAGAAATTAATAATTAATAAAAATGTATTAATTATTTAATTTCCTTAATGTAAAGGTGGAATTTAATTTCGTTAATTCAAATTCAAATATTTAACTATTAATTAATAGAAATATACAATTTAATTAATTTGTATCTTGAAATATTGAGTTCATTTAATTTAAAGATAAAAGAGGACATTTTGATGTTTTCTTTTTAATTTATACTAATTTTTTTCATTTGCATTTTTCAGGTATAGTTACAAGCTTCACAGTAAAACACACGAGGGCGAGAAATGCTATAAATGTGATCTCTGTCCTTATGCATCAATATCAGCGCGTCACTTGGAGAGCCATATGCTTATTCATACAGATCAAAAGCCATATCAATGCGATCATTGTTATCAGTCATTCAGGCAAAAGCAACTCTTGAAACGACATTGCAATTTATATCACAATCCTTCTTATATTCCTCCGCCACCGCAGGAGAAAACGCATCAGTGCCCAGAATGCGAGAGACCATTCAGGTAATTTCAAAAATTAATTCAACTGTAAACGAGGGGGAAAAAGTAGAGCATTTGCTTAGTGATTATTATTGATACAAATAGTTAAGAAAAAAGAGGAGAATTCTATCGATTAAAAGAATGAGCTTAAAGTAAATTTTAATTTCTAAGCAATTTAGATTTTATTTTTCACAGCAAAATATTTATATTTAATTATTTGCCTATTTAATATTTAAAATTTTAAATGTTAATATTTATATCAATATTCATTTTTTCATATAAAAATTTCAATTCTAATTCATTCTGATTAAATAATAATTTAATTATAGAATGAATTAGAATTGAAATTATTTTATTTGGAAACTATTTAGACTCTGTTTATTTAAATTTTATTTTTGATAAAGTCCCTGAAGTTCTAACTCAATAATAATTTAATTAGAATGAATTAGAATTGAATTTATTTTATTTCAAGTCAAGGAGAAAAATTGAAAACTATTTAGATTTTGTTTATTATTTATTTAAATTTTACTTTGATAAGGTTCCTAAATTAAGCGTCGACATTTTTAACTCTAAAAGCCGTAAATAATAGTTTTCGACACTGAGCGGCTATTTTCAATAATAATTAGATTGAATTGAATTTGAAATTATTTTTTATTTAGAGTTAAACTGAAAAATTGGAGGATCTTTAGACTTTGTTTACTTGTTTATTACTAAAAAAAAAACTTGAAATTTTCAAACTGGAAAACATTATTTTTGATTCAATGTTTGATGAAAATACTGGGTTTATTTTATTTATTTAAATGAACTTTGTTTATAGGCATAAAGGTAATCTTATTCGCCATATGGCTGTGCATGATCCTGAGTCATCATTACAGGAGAAACAACAGGCCTTGAAAATGGGAAGGCAAAAGAAGATTCAAATTATTGACGGTCAACGAGTTGAAGTTATGACAGGTTCGTCTTTTACTTTCTTCTGTAAAATAATATTTATCTCATATTCAATTAAATTGTTATCTATTTCTTTTATGAATTATTACTTTTTATCTATTATTTCAAATCACCTACTAAATTTTCGATTATTCTAATCTTAGGTTCAAATCTATTTATTCAAATTTTCAATTCTTTCTGTTTTTAACCATTTTTAATAACAGTCGAGATAAAATTTTATTTGATTGAAATTCAGTAATTTTTATTTTGATAGAAATTTTTATTTGCGTGTATATTTCAATCTAATTCGAAATTTTAATAATTTATGAAATTAAATTTATTTTTTATTTAAATTAAAATTTAATTAAATTTTTAATTTGAATGCAATTTAGTAAAATTAAACAAGAGGATTTCAGAAGTATTTTAGGTGAATTTTCTTTTTTTTTCTTTGAATTATTGAGTTTTCAAAGAACTTTCTCAAAAATCTTTTAAAATAATTGATTTAGAGAATAATTTTAGTTAAGAATTCTAGAAAATAATTAAATTGAAATCTTTAAAATAATTTTGGTGATAATTAATTTAGAGAAGAATTTTGTTTAATAATTCTAGAAAATAATTGAATTAAAATTTTGAAAACAATTTTGATGATAATTAATTCAGAGAAGAATTTTAGTTAATAATTCTAGAAATTAATTCAATTATTTTTATAAACTTTAATAAAATTCTTGGCAAAATTTCACAGGAATTCAATAATTTACAAGATTTTTAATAAATTTCTTCGAAATAAATCGATCATTTATTTCCATAAATAATAGAATTTTCACAGGAATTCAATTATTTAATATAAAAAATTTCAAAGAATTTTTCGAAAAATATCAATTATTTAAAAAGAATTTTATAAAATTCTTCGCAGGAATTCAACTATTTAAAAAAAATTTAACAAAGTTCTTTTCAAGAATTCAATTATTTTTATAAATAATAAAATTCTTCACCGAAATTCAATTATTTTAGAAAAATTTTAATAATATTTTTGGGTAAATTTTTTATTATTTTCATAAATAATAAAACTCATCGCAGGATTTTAATTAATTTTTGATACAATATTCTAATCAAATTCCTCGATAAATGTAATTATTCTTAAAAATTTCATTAAAATTTGTCAAAATAATTGAATTATTTAAAAATTTGTTTAAATTTTTAAATTCAATTCTTTATGAGAATTCAATTTTAACAAACATTTAATTATTTAATAAATTATTTATTTTTTAATTTAAATAATTGAATTCTTCCAGAATTTTCTAATAAAAATTGATTAAAAAATTAATTACCGAATAATCGATTTATTACTTATGAAAGTAATTGAATTATTGCAACGAATTTTATTACAATTTTTTCAAATAATTGAATTTTTTGAGAAAATTTATTACTTTTTAAAAATAATTGAATTCTTGCGAAGGATTTTATTAGGATTTTTGTAAATAATAAAATTTTTTTTGAAAAATTTTATGGTAATTTTAATTATAACAAAACACAAAGAAGGCGATCACTCCGAGTCTTCGACTCGGAGTGATCGCCTTCTTTATGTTTTGTTATAATATTCTTATAAATTGTTGAATTTCAAAAAGGTTTGAATTTGAATGTATTGAAGAATTTTAATTCCTACGGCAAAATAATAATGATTAAATATTTATTTAAAAAAGAAATTATTGATGTTTTTTGAATAATTTTACAATTAATGAAATTTGTAAATAAATGTAATAGAACATTTTTTTGAGTTTCTAATAGTTTTTAGAGTGAATCAGAATATTTTTTAAGGTCAGGGAAAAAGTGAGTATTTTGTCTAGAAATCAGGGAAAAGTCAGGGAAAAATAAAATTAAATATTTGTAGTAACCCTGTTATTATAAATTTGAAATTCTTGCGAATTTAATTAATTTACTTTTGTTTTATTTGTAAAAAAAAATAGGTGATTTGGCTTCTAAATTAAGAGGGTATGAAGACGATGACGAAGAGGAAGAGGAAGAAGAGGAGGAGGAATTGGAAGATGAGGAAATGATGGCCGTTGAAGGAACAGACGGTCAGCAATACGTTGTTCTAGAAGTTATTCAACTTGCCGATAATCAAGGAACAGATCAGGTAATTTTTAAAGGGAATTTCGCACTTTTTTCAAGTTATTTTGTTTTTATTGTAGTTTTTGTTTATTATCAGTTTGATATCACTTTAACATCATTTAATATAATTTAATATAATTTAATATCATCGAATTTTAATTACATTGCTTATTAACATCAGTTAAATTTATTAATAATTTTTTATCGATTATAATATTTGTTATAAATTAAATTTATTGTATAGGGAATTTAAACTGAATTTAGTTTCATTATTATTGCTTCCTCACAGAGGAAGAATTGTAATATTTATTTTTTTTACAAAAATAGAATTAAACATTTGGATTTCTTTTAGCAAATGGCTGTCGTGGCCAACGAGGACGGCGATATTGTAATGGAGGATCCTCTCAGTCAAGACAACAGCATTGTCGCCGACGTCTCTGGCGAATTAGATGCCGAGGAGGAAGACACTTCGTTAGGCGATTTGAAATTGCAACCACAACTTACGAGAAACAAATCTGAATCACAGTCTTCGCAACACGATCCGAAATTGCGCAAAGACATGGAAAATTGCTTTGGCTTCGATGAGGTTAGTTAAATTCTTTTTTATTCATAAAAAAACGAAAAGAGAATAAAACTCCGAATTTACAATTTTTTTCTATTACAGGAAGAGGAAGATGAGGATGCAAACAGTGAGATGCAGTTATTAGATACCATATCGTAATGTCCGTCATAGTGAGTAAAGGATGTACTCAAAAATAGTTAAGTATATTTCTCATCCAGTATCAGTGTATAAAATATTAAATGGTGAAATATTGAGAGACTGTGGAAACTGTATACATTTGTAGGTACTATTAAACTAATTTATGGGCGTAACATGTTAGTTGATAGTTTTAAGAAAATGTAAATCCATCAAATGAAAAAAAAAAAACAATCGCTAGAAATTAGGAATTTAATTCTGCACTTTAACTGAAAGATACTTTTTTCAAAATGTTTATTAGTAAATATATCAATAGTTTAGAAAAGCGTCAATTTCACTTTAATAACAAGAAAAAACAGTTATAATGGAATTTAACTGAAGTATTAATATTAATATTAAATGGTAGATAGTTATAATTATTACAAATCATTTAATATTAAAACAATCTTCGTTAAATCGTAGAAAAATTTAAAAATTTTCACCGGGTGAATAAAAAAAAGAATTTGTTTTTAGTGTTGCTTAGAGAAAAAGAGCCTAATGTGTTACCTCAACATTCTGGATGTAAATAGCAGCTTTTCCATACATATAAATATATTATATATTATAAATATTTGTTCGAAAAAAAAGGGTAATTGTAGCTGAAAAAACTAATCAAATTTACGATACATTACATTGTTGTCTTGTCTCAACGATTTTGAATGGATTATTTAGAATCTTTCAGTGGCGAAAAGGAACTTGTGTCGTAAATAATTGCCTGAAGTTTAAGAAAAGGGGAAAGATTGTAATAAGTTTAATCAAGTTTATATTGAGAGAAATTTTTTTTTTCTTTTTATGATTTTAGATGAGCGACGTGTGTTAATGAATGAATGAAACGAGGATATCAACTTCAGCAATTAATTCTTTTGTGAAGCACATTTCATTTTATTTTATGCCCAAGAAAAAAAGAAAAATGTGAGTAAATTGTTTGTTTTAATATATTTCAGTTTTTACAAATTGGAAATTGATAAAAAAATAGAAATGAAATGTGAATTAGTAACAAGTAACAAACCATTAAGTTTATGGTTTATTAATAACAAAAAAAAAAAGAGAAAAGGAAAAGTAAAAATAATTTTTGAATAATGGAAAAATTTTTCTTTTCTTTAATTTATTTCTTTTAAAAAATTGATAACATTTCCTTTTCTCAAGAATTGAGTGTAATATTTTTTGAGTTTAAAAAGAAAGCAAAATAATATTGTAATAGCAATACGAGAAAAAATGGTATGAATTATATTATTATTTTTTCTCTTGATTTTTTTGAAAGTAATCTACGACTTTCTAGGTTGTATTTTCTTGATTGCATAATTAATATCTGTACCATTTTTTCGCTAAGATTTTTTTATTATGCACTTATTTAATTATTATAAAATTCGAAAAAAGCTTTATTAAAAAAAAACAACAAAAAAAATAAGAACTTTGGGCGAGACGGCGCTTAATACGAAAGTGTACAAAAATATGTACAATTTTTTACATGCCAATTGTAAAATTGTAATTTATAATGTAGGTATTGAAAGAAAAAAAAAAGTATAGTCAATAGTCCTTCGCATGCTGTTAAAATTTATGCACTTTCTTACATTATTCCAAAGATGAAGAAGAAGAAAAAAAAAATGTGTAACGTTTTCTCTGTAATAAACACTACATCATTAAATGACAAACTCTGACTAATTGAAAATTAATTTTACTCTAAATTCTATTTTTTACGTTTTTGTTTTAATTTTTCTAATATTCAAGTTTACCGAAAGTAATTTAATTCTTTTTCTGATTTATAAAGTGATACTTTCATTTCAGAAAAATTTATGCAGAAAATATTTACCATTGATAACGAATAAAAAATATTTAATGAATGTGGAAATTAGTTTGAATGTGATTGACAAAATTGGAAATTATTTTTTTATTATTTACTGATAAAGAGTTGAAATTATTTTGAATATTATTTTATTGAATAAAAATTGAAATTATTATAATTATATGAATTATATAAATTATATAATTATAAATTGGAATTATTTGGAATTTTATTGTTTATCGACAAATTTGAAACTAATTTGGAATGTGTTTGTTTGTTTAGCGAGAAAGAAGAAGAGAAAAAAGAGAGAATGACTGTGTGAGCGATGCTGGAGTGACGTTATCATTGATAGATTAGTTTTCAGTCTTGCAATTTGTAAATCGACTGAATGGTCAGGAGAGTTCGTTAAGACCCTTGGTGCTATTATCAGAAGAGCCGCACCCACTTATACAACCCTTGGTCATCAACCCCATGAAACTAACCATCCTCCTACCAACTCGTCTGGATGTCTATATGTATTTATAGAACATGCGATAGGTACTTTGAACATTATTTTTTTTCCTCCATATTTACATCATTAGCTTCCCTAATTAATCCAAAAACAATTATTTGAAAATTGTCTGAAAAAAATTCGAAAAAAAGATTCTACTCTAAAACCTAGTATTTACTACTTTTTTACGATTTTATACTATTTCGATACTTTTTTTAAAAATTATTTATTGAAATTATTTATTTATTTATTAAGTTTGATTTATTTATTATTATTAACTTATTAAAATTTATTTATTTATTTCTTATTTATCTATTATTTAAACAATTCATTTGTGTTATTAAAAGTTCCTTTTTTTGGAGAAATTCCACTACTTTAAATTCGTTAATAGTTGAAATAAAAAAATTATTCTCAAAAATTTTAATAAAATTCTTGAGAACAATTAAACAATTTTAATAAAATTTTTGAAAACGATTAAAAAAATTTTAATAAAATTCTTAGAAATAATTAAAATTTTTTTTTTTTAATTCTATGAAACAATTCATAAAATGTTAATAAAATTCTTTGAAACAATTCAATTATTTTCAAAAATTTGAAGAAAATTTTTCGCCAAGAAAGCAATTATTTTCAATATGTAGGTACTATTTTAATTAAACCTCACAAAATAATTCAATTACTTAAAAAAATTGAATGACATTCTTCTCCAAAAATTGAATTATTTAAAAAAATAATACAATTTTGACAGAAATTCAATTATTTAAAAAACAATTTTCATAATTTTTTTTTTCGAAAGAAATTATTTAAAACAATTTTTAAAAAATTCTCCGTAAGAAATAAATTATTTTTGAGAATTTTAATAAAATTTGTTTACAAGAATTCATATACTTTTAATACAATTTTAATTAAATTGCTTGAAAAATTTTTAATTAAATTCTTTGCAGGAATTCAATTATTTTCATAAATGATAAAATTCGTCCCAAAAATTCAATTACTTTTGAAAATTTCAAAAGAATTCAATTATTCTTTCAAATATAATAAATTTTTTCACATAAATTTAATTATTTAAAAAAAAATTTAATAAAATTCGCTGCAAAAATTCAATTATTTAAAAAAATTTTCGGTAGAATTCAATTTATTTTTACAAATTTAGAAATTCTTCATGGAAATTCAATTATTTTCATAAATCATAAAATTCGTCCCAAAAATTCAATTATTTTTACAAATATAATAAATTTTTCCACAAAAATTCAATTATTTAAACAAAAATTTAATAAAATTCGTTGCAAGAATTCAATTATTTTCATAAATAATAAAATTTTTCGCAGGATTTCAATTATTTAAAAATTTTTCGGTAGAATTCAATTATTTTTACAAATTTAGATATTCTTCATGGAAATTCAATTATTTTCATAAATGATAAAATTCGTCCCAAAAATTCAATTATTTTATAATTATTATTTTATAATTTTATTATTTTTATAAATAATAAAATTCTTCGCAGAACTTTAATATTATTTTAAAAATTTTTTCTATAGAATTCAATTATTTTTACAAATAAAAAAATTCTTCACGGAAATTCAATTATTTTCATAAATAATAAAATTCTTCGCAGGACTTTAATTATTTTAAAAAAATTTTCTATAGAATTCAATTATTTTCACAAATAAAAAAATGTTTCACATAAATTCAATTATTTTCATAAATGATAAAATTCGTTCCAAAAATTCAATTATTTTTACAAATATAATAAATTTTTTCACAGAAAAAACAATTGCTTATTCAATTATTTATTTCTGTGTTTAAATAATTGAACTTTCATTGAACTTTTTAAACAAAATTGATTTAAAAATTAATTTCAGTTAAGATTTTAGATGCTAATATTGAATATTAGAAGCGTGATAAGAATAAATTTTTAGAAATCATTAAATCTCAATAGATTTTTAAATTGAAGTCTTTGAAAATTTTAATTGTTGTGAAACTAATAATCTTTAAATATTTATTTAAAGAAATCATTAAATTATTAATTTATTTTAAAAAATTATTTAATTATTAATATAAATATTTATTTTAAAAAATTATCAACTTATTAATTAAAATATTTATTTAACAAAAATTATTTAAGTTTTAAATAGTTTAATTTAAAAATTATGAAACAAAATTTTCCAATTAATTGAAAATTGTGTCAAATTTTATTGAAATAAATTTTATATTTTGAAGAATTTAATTTTTTTTTTACTTTTAAAAATCGTTTTTAAAATATAATCGTATTTTTGTAGAATTTCAAACAAAAATTTGGAAAATAATTGAATTTCAGAAAAATTGAGAATTGAAGTTAGATAATGAAAAGGCGAATATTTTCTATGGAATATTAGGAAAAAGTCAGAGAAATACAGCTAATCAAATTTTTATCAATTAATAATTTTTTTAGGCGTCAAATTTAATTTTTCGATAGCTAATTTTTACTACTTTTTTCAGTCTTAAAAATACTTCTTTTAAAATTATCTTTTTAATTATCGAGTTTGAAGTTTATTTTTCTTTGATTATTAGAACTTTTCGCAGGTTTCAAGAAAAATACTTCGCTAATTTGGTAAAAGTTCCCTAATTTGGAATACCTTTCCTAAATTATAAAAGGTAAACTATAAAATTTTTTGATTCTTTTTGAATTTTTCGTCTCTTATCTTTTCTTGTACGTTTCTTAAAATTATTCCTTTTTTCTTTTTAGAGGAATTGAGCCAGATTCTATCTTCATAAGGGCAATTGGAATGAGGATGTGCGTAGGATCAGTGTGCACGTAACAGAGGAACATAATTCATGATAAAAGGCGCATTCACTTTAATTTATAACAGTAATAAGAACCGAAAGTCAGTGATTTTTTTTCCAAGAGGATTATAATGAGATTATTACCGTTTTTCTCCCAAAAATTAGATGCATTTTTCGTTTCTTCAAATTCTCTCATATAATTATTATGAATATACCCTCGGTAAGAAGACACTGAAAATTTATTAAGTTACTAAAAGGAGATTTAAAATTATCTCAATTTTTTAATTTATGGAGAAAAATTGAAAAAAGAATGAAATAATTTATTTTACTTGCAGAAGATAATTTTCTTTTTTTTTTCTTTTTTGAAGGGCGCTATACAGACGGATTTCTCATTATACCTGTGAATTATTGCCGGAAGAAAGGAAAGTGATCTTAAATCAAAATGTCATTAAATTATACATTAAGCATCCGTTTGAATGATTGCATCCTTGGAAGTAGAATATTCTTTCGACATGTAAACCAGTTTGACACTTGCTTTTTCGGATGACTGCTGTGGGCTTTTATTATAATATCGCCAGAGTATACTCATTTATATTCGTCGAGTGTTCATCTGAGAGAGAGAAGGAGAGACAGGACATAATGACATTCTTCAGTGAGTGAATTTCAAATGAAAGTGCCCGCGTTGGGTATAAAATAATCACTCGGATAATTGCAAAACAACGGGATGAGAGGACAAAATAAATAAAATCAGAAGTGCATTACTCTGGTGAGTTAATTCGAGATGATGATGATTTTAATTCTATCTTTTTGTCGAGAATTTTCTGCAAAAATTGTGCAGAGATTTTTTTTCATCTTTACTCTGGAAAAGTGAATTCGAAAGAAAGAAAAAAGGAAGGAAGAAAAAAAGAAAGAAAGGAAGAAAGAAAAAAAGAAAAAAAGAAAGGAAGAAAGAAAGAAAGAAAGAAAGAAAGAAAGAAAGAAAATGTTTCAAAAACGGATCAAGGAAAATTTTCTTTGAATTAGGAGGGAAAAATGGCAATTCGTATTTTTTTCTTCCCTCTTTGTTATTTTATTCTTTTTTTTTTATCAAAAAACACTCGGAGACTGAATTGCGAAACAATGGTCTCTCACGTGTACACGCAAGAGTTTTGCAAATAAAAATGTCTAATAACTGTGCTGCCCACATCGTGCCAGTAGGAAGTGAAAAGAATATACGCAAGGGAGTGCGACGAAAGTGCCAGGAGAATAATACTTAAAACGCCTTGTTCCCTGAAGAAATCAGCTCTAACTTCCTCTCATTTTGAGGCTCACGAGATTACCACATTCCATATTATCAAAAGTAAATTTATCTTTCGTTCAATTATTACTTATTTAATCATCAATTTATTTTATTTTCTTTTTTTTCTTTTCATTCATTATTCTTGTCATTTATTATTCTTGTTATTTAGTATTTTTGTTTTTTATTGTTCTTGTTATTTATTACTTTTGTTTTTATTGTATTTTTATTTATTATTTTTCTTCTTAATATTTTTTTATTTATCATTTTTTATTTTTATTATTCTTGTTATTTATTATTTTCGTTTTTATTATTCTTGTTATTTAGTATTTTTGTTTTTAATATTTTTGCTATTTAATTGAAATTTTTTATTTTCTTATTTTTATAGATAAAAAACAATAAATTAGATAATTAATTAGTAAATTAAATAATTAATTAATATATTAAATGAAAAATTCTAAAAAATGTCTCCCATCTAATATGGAAGAAAAATTTATTTGATTTTTAAATAAACGATTAATTGTCTATTGTCAAATAAATATTTATTTGTATCAAATAATTTGTATTTGTATCAAACAATTTGTATTTGTATTAAATAATTTGTATTTGAATCAAATAAATATTTATTTTTATCAAATAATTTGTATTTGAATCAAATAAATACTTATATTTATCAAATAATTTGTATTTGAATCAAATAAATAATTATTTGTATCAAATAATTTGTATTTAAATCAAATAAATTATATTTGCTTCAAATACAAAAATTACGGGTAAAAATAAAATTTATTTTGATTAAGGAAAAATTATTCGATTAAAGTAACTTTTTAATTAATAGTAGACGAGTAATATTACAAACAATTTTTTATTAATCATTTAATTTATTTATTAATATTCTGATTATTAATTAAAAGTACCTAGAGAATAATTTATGAAAATTTAATTTTTACTCATTAAAATTTCATATTATTTTACGTACAATATTAATAAAGAAATTTAAAATAATATTTTTCTAATAATTATAGAAAGTAGTATGAAATATTTTATTTAGAATGAAAATTATCATTATTCAATAGTAAAATTATTTTTATAAAAATAATTGAATTATTGCGAAGAATTTTACTATTTATAGAAATAATTAAATTGTTATGAAGAATTTTATAGAAATATTTAGAAATAATGAAATTTTTTCGAGAAATTCAATTGAAGTTGTTTCGAAAATAATTGAATTTCTTAAAAGAATTTTATTAAAATTAAATGTATTAAAAATACATGTGAATTCATCACATGTAAATTCATCAAATTCTTGTGAATTCATCACAAGAATTTTATTATTTTTTGAAAAAATTGAATTCTTCCAATTTTTTTGACGAAAATATTTAAAAATTGCATTGAAAGTAATTTAATTTTTATATAGAATTTTTTAAAAATATTTTGAGAATAATTGAATTATTTTTAGAGAATTTTAAATTCTTGTTGAAATTGAATTTTATGGAAATTTTTGAAAACAATTAAATTCTTTCGTATAATTTTATTTAAATTGGATTAAAAAGTATTTAATTCCTGCAAAGAATTTTAGTATTTATAAAAATAGTTGAATTATTGTTTTGAAAAATTTATTAAATTTTTAGAAAAGAATTGAAATTTATGGAAATATTTAAAAATATTTCAATTTATTGAAGAAATTCAATTAAAATTATTTTGAAAATAATTGAATTCCTGCAAAGAATTTGTCTATTTATAAAATTAATTGAATTCTTGCGAAGAATTTTACTATTTATAAAAATAATTGAATTGTTTAGACGGATTTATTAAAATTTTAGAATATAATTGAAATTTATGGAAATATTTAAAAATATTTGAATTCATTGAAGAAATTTAATTAAAATTGTTTTGAAAATAATTGAATTTCTGTAAAGAATTTTACTATATTTATAAAATTAATTGAATTCTTGTGAAGAATTTTACTATTTATAAAAATAATTGAATTTTTTTTAAGGATTTTTTAAAATTTTAGAAAAAAAATGAATTTTTTCGAAATGTGTTAAAAACTCTTTTGAAAATTGAATTCTTTTGAGGAATTCAATTAAAACTGTTTTGAAAATAATTGAATTTTTGTAAAGATTTTACTATTTAAAAAAATAATTCAATTGCTTAGAAGGATTTATTAAAATTTGAGAAAATAATTGAATTCTTTCGTGAAATTTTATTAAAATTTTTGAAAATATGAACAGTAATAATTAATTTTGTACTTAATAAGTGAATTTTTAAAATTTTGATTATGAAATTAGTAAAAAAATTTATTTTTGAAAGTAAAAAATTTGGTAATTTGCATAACAATAATAAATTGAATATCTTGTTCCGCGCGCTAGCGAGCGTAACATTTGCTAGTTATTAATATAAATTTTACTAGAAAAATAATTATAATAAAAATGATTAAATTTCAATTTGAATTTCCCGCTAGATATTAAGTTGATTTTTACGAAGAAGTTTTTATATCTCCTATATTCTTTTAAAATGAATATTCCTTTTGTTTAAAAAGTTTAAACATTTTCGGATAAATGTTCTCTAAGAATAAATACTATTTAGTAAATTTTAATAAGTAAAAATTAAAGTTTTGTCTTTTTAATTCTTTTCTATCTTTTAATTGTCCCAGGTACATGCAGCGCCACTGTGGCCATAGTGTTCAACTCAAGTGACGCATTAATGTGATAAGTGTTGTGCGGTGTGAACCCAGCAGTAAGTTCTCCTGGTTCTAATGAAGAAAGAAGTGGTAAGACAATAATCCTCTAATAATCTGGCTAATCCTAAATAATTAATCATCCTAATTGTAGCGATAATGAGTAAATAATCTCAACAATGGTACAGAATTTCCATTTTGGCAAGATTTTTGATATTATTCTTTGTACGTCCATGTCCTCTCTGGGATTCTGAAAAAGTAATGTTATGTCGCACTCGTCGCATTTAAAAAAGGTAAACAATTAAAAATCTTTCAAAATATTAATTGTCAAGTGTAATTAAAGAAAAAAGGGAGAAAAGTAAAAATTTTCTTTAGGGTGGGGGCGGAAAAGTAAGGTTATGTTACAAAATCTTTCCGCACATTAAGTACTGCGGAACTTGCGGAATTTATACAACATTGTCCACACATAAAAAATTAACAAAAATAATTAGAGAAAATGGAGAAGTAAATATCAGAATAGGGGAAAAAATATGAAATATGGGAAAATAATTCTCGGAGAAATGCATAAAAATGATTTTATAGTTGAGAGAGAATAAATTGGATATACGCCTGAAAAAAGGGTTAATGTGATGTTTACAGGAGTTTCTGTTGCATATAGAGATCTTAATCTCATAAAGGAGGGAATAGCTTGTCTGTGGTCGCGGTACCATTGTTAATCGCTTTGGAGATTAAAGTGGATCTCCAAGTGAACACGACTCGTGCATAGTATTCGAACCGGACGACGACGACGACGAAGACAACGACAAACGAATGCAGGGACAAATGGACTTGGCTCGTAGGACATATGCAGGGCCCACGCGACAATACTTCAAGTACCCGTGTGCAGCCTCCCACGGCCTCATCTCTTCTGCCCGGAGAACCATGCGGAGAACAAAGAATGAAGAACATTGCCCGTCTACTGGTAAGTCTCACGTTAAGCCTCTTAAGGAACTCTAGTTGCTTGCAGCAAACAGTGGCGTGAATTTATGTATGAACCATCTTTTCTAAGCAAAATTCCCCTTAACCTTCTCTAAGGGTATTTCATTTCAACCAAGCGCGAGAAAATATTTTCTCTTTCTTCTTGCATACTTTTTTTTTACTTTTTAATTAGTTTAATAGCCACTTGTACTGTATTTTCCCAGGGGGTTGAAGTTTCTTGTTTTCGAGAAACGATATCTACAATATTTATAATTATTAATTAAAGGGAAAA